CCCCCCCCCCCCTCCCACCGAACAACGTGTACTTGGGCCTTGAAGTTCCTATGACGTTGGCCACCACAGGGCCCGAGTTGATTCCGATCCTCAGCTTCACGCACCCCAGCTCCTTCTGCTCCTCGTCGACCATCGTCTCAGCTGCCACCTGGACCGCCTTCATGGCGAAGAAGGCGAGACGCGCAGCATGGTCCTCCTGCTCTTCCACCAGGTTGGTAACGCACATGTAGGCGTCTCCGATGGTCTCGATCTTAAAGATGTCGAGCTCGCCAGCAATGCGATCCAGAGCCGTGTACAGCCGGTCGAGCATGTCAGAGACTTTCTCCACGTCGATCTTCGAGCAGATGTCGGTGAAGCCGACGATGTCGGAGAAGTAAATGGAGACCATCTCCTTCTTCTCCGGCTCCACCTTCTTCCCGTCCCTCAGAGCATGCGCAATGTGCTCGGGGAAAACGTCGTAGATCAGGTCTGACGCTTTCCTCTCGTTCTCCTCCTCCGTCCCGTCACCCCCGTCCACCCTGCTTCCCGTCTTCCTCCTCCTCCACCTCTCATACGCCAGCTTCGTCTGGCAGGACGAGGATGCTGCTGCCGTGTCCACCGCCCGCAGCCTTCGGGCTATCTCAGCAAGGAGGGCGAAGCTCTGCCTCCTTGTTCCAGCAATCTCTGATCAGCCCCTTGATGTCAGCAGGACACCTCTCGTCGATAGCAGGACGTTTCTCCTCCTCCCTCCCAAGGTCCATCACCTCCAGCACTACCACCCTCATGTCCTCTCCCTGGTAGGGGTCCTGCCTGCTGAAGACCTCGTTCAAGATGACACCGAACGAGTACACGTCCGACTCCGGCGTGTTGTTGCCTCCTCGCAAGAGCTCCGGCGCCATCCATGCTATCGTTCCCGTCCCCTTTACCATCTTGTCCCTCTGGTGAACGCTCTTCACGCGGGATAGGCCGAAGTCAGCTACCTGCAGACAGCAATGAGACGATCAGCGGACGAAAGGGAAGTATGGAGACCACTGAGAAGCGGTGAGGAGAAGTGGAGAACGGGGGTAAGAGAGGGAGGCGACAAGGAGGAGGAGGAGGAGGAGGAGGAGGAGGAGGAGCAGCAGCAGCAGCAGCAGCAGCAGGAGAGACGAAGAAGAGCATGCAGTGAGTGCAAGAAGTTAACTTCTCTGCCTCCCTAGAGCTCTCTTCTTCCTGACTCGATCCCTTTCTCTAAACCAATCTCTCTACTTCTCTTGTCTCATGCCCTCTTCACCTTCATTTCACCTCGACCCTTCTCGTCCCTTTCGCTCGTTCCCTCCTCGTCCTCGTCCTCGTCCTCGTCCTCGTCCTCGTCCTCGTCCTCCCCCCTCTTCCGCTTCCTCCTTCCCCTCTCCTCACCTTGGCTCTGAACTTGGAGTCGACCAGCACGTTGTGACTCTTCAAGTCGCCATGGATGACCTGCGGCTTGGACGAGTGGAGGAAGCGAATCCCCTGGACGACATCAAGGAGGATGCAGACAAACATCTCAGCCTCCAGCTCGATCGTCTGGTTGTGGATAAGGGAGTGCAGCGAGCCGAGGTCCATGTACTCGAGGACGATGAGCGGGTCCATCTTCGACTCTATGACAGCTCCCATGATGGTTATGACGCAAGGATGTCGCAGCCTGGAGAGGATGCGCATCTCCTTGATCAGATTCTTCCTGATCTCCTTCCTTAACGAAGAGAACTGGCTCGATCCCCTCGTGTTCGACAGCGACCCGTTGCCGTCCTGCTTCCCGTCCAACATCTCTATCGACCCCGACCGCATCACCGAGTCCTCATGCATGAACAGCGGCAGCGACATGCTCAACCTCCTCAGGCGCGTCATGTCCAGGAGCTTCGAAGACCCGCTCGCTCCTACTCCCGTCATCTTCCTTGCCAGCACTCTCTTCACCGCGACCGGCGTCCCCCGGAACTCAGCCTTGATCACCTCCCCAAACGTCCCCTGGCCCAGAATCTCCTCCGGCTCCTCTAGCTGCAACTCAGACGCCGAGACAAGCCACACGGAGTCCGCTTCCCTGGTCTTGTACAGCATGTACCAGTACCCGGCTGCCGCGCTGATGAGTATGACGGGGATGAAGATGAGGAGGAGGAGGAGGATCTTGTCAAAATGCTGCTTGCACACGTTGACCGGGTTCATCCCTCCCTTGGGCCACACCAGCAGGGAAGGAGAATCGCCACCGATCGCGTAGGGGGTGAACAAGGTCAGACTTCCACTGATTATCTTTCCTACTTTCTTCAGGCCGCTCCCTTGCATGTTGATCACATCAAACCTGCGTTGCAAAAAGTGAACACAAAGAAGAAATGGAGATCTGTCAAAGGAAAGGTGGCAGGCAGGCAGGCAGGCAGGCAGGCAGGCAGGCAGGCAGGCAGGCAGGCAGGAAACATCAAAGCTCTTGCTATCAGACTCACGCATGCTTCAACTTCCAACCTCACCTGCCGTTCTTGATCTCCAAGTTCTCATCCAGCTGGATTCTCCCCGATGCTCCCATGTAGTCGACGGTCCGAAGGGAGCGGATGAGGTCGGAGACGTTTCTCATGTCCCCTCCCCTGCTCAGAAGCTCGTCGAACGCCAGCGCATACGTGAACATCACATCGTGCGACAAGGAGAGATAAGGATCGAACTGCAGCATATCGTAGCCAGGATACTTGGCAGGGTCAAGCCCCTTCCAGTAGTCGCTCAGCTGTATGTAAGCCTCGCTCGTGCTGTTGATCTCGATGTTGAGCCCCAGGTAACCTGCTGGGAGGTTCTTGAACGCAGACGTCACGGCATCGCATCCGATCCACACGAAGTCGTCGTAGACCCCAGCGCTCTTGGCAATGGTGAAGAGCGTCTGCGCCTGGTCGGCCTGGAGCAGCAGCAGCAGCACGCGGGGAGCCGAGCAGTTGTCATGCACCTCCAGGAGCACGTCTTGAGTGGACTGGTCATCGCCGAAGTCCCAGTGTTTGGGCGTCGTCTCCACGAGGATCTCCCTGTACTTCTCCTGCTCCATGACAGAAAGGAACTGAGCTTGCAAGCCTTGGCAGAAGCTTCCGTCGCAGGCGACCACCTGCACGTGCTGCCAGCCAAAGTACTGAATGAGCTCCGCTAGTGCCACGGCCTGAACGGAGTCGGAGAAGCAGATCCTGCCGATGTCAGGGAAGGCATGCTTGTTCGACAGCTGAGGACTCGATGCAGAGTAACTCAGCGCAAACATGTTGCGCGACTGCAGGATGGGCTGGATGAGCACGCAGTCGCTGCTCCAAGAGGGGCCAACGAAGGCAACGACAGCGTTGGTGGTGTTGCATTCACTAAGCAAGTCTTGTATGATCATGGCGTATACATCTTCCATCAGTCTCTGCATGTCAACAACAGTGCTGGTATTCTGCATCGTCCTCAGAGCTGTCACATCGGCATAAGACACTTCAAGCCGAGTTCCTGCAAGAAGCTTTGGGTCTTTGTTGATCAATTCGAGGGAAACTTTGGAAGCGATGTACTCAGGATGTTCCACAGTGCTGCTGATTGCATACAGACCGCCCAAACGAATGTTAGATGGTATTTGATATGCTGACACCATCAACCGCAAGAACAGAAGCATGCAAGATACTCGTAACCGTATCATCTTGACAATGACGAAGATGAGAGTCGCTCAGAAGCAAGTCACTTGCTTCGACAAGAGCTTCTTGCCTGACATGCACTTCCTTCGAGACCCACTCCTACCTTTCACTCCTCTTCCTCCTATTCTTCCTGCTACTCGTCTCGCCTCAGCTGCCCCGCTCTCATCGTATCATCGCCATCGCCACATCTACGACTGTCCCATGATAAACCCTACCCCGAAATCATGCGTTTCCCTTTTTTCAAAAAACTATTATTAAAGGGTCTTTAAAATGAATATAGAACACCAATAATGGTTGTACACAGATATAATTATTTTAAACATTTGACTGCTACATTGTAAAGGGCAATGACAGTTAAACCACCGTGACCCCAGGTGCATCTACCACCCCTACCCCCTGCATCCCATTAGCGACGGCCGACACCATAACTTCGGACTTGAGGGCGGGGCCAGGGGTACAAGATTCCTCACACGTCCCCGCAGAAACCCCACGAGTGCTTGAGACCTCTGCTGCTCACAGACCCCACCCCCCACCCCCTACCCTGGTAGATGCCAAGGTTGCCTCTTGGACCCTGTCTTGGACCCCTGTCTCCTAAAGAGGTCATGCGGGTCGGCCTATCCGACTGGACCCCCCGCTAGCGAAAAAGTTCAGGAACACGATGAATCTCCATCTCTTGCAGTTTTTTAGTACCTGAGGACCTTGCTTGACATGGTTCCCTTCTCTTCCCTCCCCCGCCGCCCTCCTGCCCCCGTACTTCCAGCTCTCTCCCCACAGTGAACTTTGCCATCTCCTTCCTTGCATACCAGCACTCTTCGTTCAAGGACTCTTCACTCTTGCTCAGAGGTTCAACCCATGGTTCCTACCGCATGCAAGTTCTTTCTCCCGTTGTCTCTCTCGCCATCAAATACATGAACCTCCCACGCCAGGCCTAGCAGCTGCAGAACCTTCTTCGTGTACGTCGACCGTTGGAAAGCTCTCGAGCTCAACCTCAGCCCCTGCATCCTGCGTCGGAAGGACCTCCTAAGAGATCCCGAGCGGACGAAGGCCCGAGCGACCTGCGCGTACTCTTGCCAGCTTCTGACTACGAGCGTTCCCTCCACTCCGAGAGAAGTGAGGAAAGACGCAGGGACCTGGCAGTCCGTTAGGTCAACTCGCCTCCACAGCAACGCGTGCGAGTACACGGGAGGTGAGGCGAGGGCCTGCTCGGGTAACGACCGGCACACCAGCCCACAGACAGTCCACAGCGACCTACGTCAGCAAGTCGTCAGCCCGTTGTCATCGCTCCACAGCTCGTGGTACAGTGTGAGTGGAGTAGTGCCTCGGGTCTAGTAGAAGGGCTCCACAGGACAGCCCTGGCAGCCAGTCAGTCTCAACCATGCCTGTAGTAGGAACAGACGCGTCATGTAGTGACGGCTAGAGGAGGCCCATGTCACGAAGAGGACCCTTGAAGGGCTCACACCTTAAGCAGAGTCAGAGGAGGAGACGGAGCAGACAGGAAGCCACCATGTAGCCGCAAGTAGGCATTGATCGATGCGTTGAATGCAGCAAAGTATGGCCCAACTTGAACTACCAGAATCACCTTTGGGTTTTCTTTGGCCTGATACAGACAGTGTCATGCTGGGTCTCGGACATTACGAAAAGTTTTCCATCTGTGCCCATATTCTAAATATTGTACTGTACGACAATGTCAAGGAACTTTTGGTAAGAACGGATCAAACGTACGGATCAAGCTTGTAATACTCGTACAGTCCGAGGATCGCAACGGCATCCTTGCTCCATTCGCAGGCATCCTTGTAGAAGAGACATGAGTATTCAAGTTCGTTGCTGCGGAGTTTTGACATCACCGGTTCCTCGGTCCAGTTGTATGCAAAGTCATAATTGAAGAAGTGGCTGTTCGGGAAGAATGAAGGCTGTCAAAATGCACGTGAGAACCGAAACATCACTCCCATGGCATTCAGACCGTTGTGAGCAGTAGTGAGTCCGGCTGCAGGGCAGCAAGCTCCGGAGGAAGGGCAACGCGATCGGCAAGTAGGTAATCGATGGGCCCTCCACCCGAGGTAGAATGCACGTCCCGTGAAACCTGTACCGGAGCTGGTCTGCTCAAGATTCAATGGGAGAGAGGGACGAAAGGGAAGGATGATACCTGAATGCCATAGTCTCCAAGGTCAGGGACTGTCTGCCCTCAGGGATCCAACCCATGAAGTCCTGTGCTCATTTCAAATGTTCTCACTCTCTCTCACCCCATTCTCATGCAATACCATCAAAATATTGATCTCCTCCGAGTTGATTCGAGAAGCAGCCTCAAACTCATTGAGCAACTCGAGTCCAACAACACGCGCGATAGCATGAAGGCCCTGAGCTGAGCTCAGATTGTTTTGAATGTAATACAGGGGCAAACCTTGTAACCAGCATTCGGCACATCTTGAGGGGCCAAGGATATTGAGGGAGAGACTTCCCAACTGAAGAGTGTGAATGAAAAGCGGGAGGCCTGTTGTCCAGCAAGAGATACTGGAGAAGTAAGGAAATCACGCAGCAATCCTGACTCAAGGCCAGAAATTTTGTGGACTACTAGTCCAACTCTGATCAGATTGTTTTGTGATGCCGAGAATTTGAAGACTTGAGCTGGAAATTTGACTTGATTCTGCTTTACCAGGCTGTTGATGCGCAGGCGAGCGATCTCAACCACGTGTTCATGTTCAAGTGGGAAAACTGTGGCCTCCCATGGTTGCACGATACTGTAGCATACGCCCTGATCAGCAGTCGACGTATTCTCCTGAGATCTCTGACGTTTGCATTTCCTCACATCAGACTCAACGGCAGCTGTCAACAGCGAGCTCATAACGTCCCAGCTGAACCAATTTGAGCACGTGTACTGTCCTATTCGCCAGCACTCAACGATAGCTCGAGCTGCACTCTGTCCGTGGCAAGCGATGTTTCCACCCGCGTCTCTCTTGCAGGCAAGTTGAATGTAGACGTCGAAGAGCCGGAGAGCTGCTGACAACTCCATGCCTTGACCGATCCGATCGCGAGCAGCGATGTAGTTCAACAGAAGCTCAGGGGCGTCGCAGTGAGGAACGGAACCCCCGGTCGTCAGGAACCGGAGGCACTCCGAATGCCCAAGAGCGAGACTTGCGCTGACATAGGCCATGTAATGAGATTCGACGTGGCTGAGAGCGACGCTCATGTCCTGAAAGAGTTTGTAATGCTTGCAACCGCATCTCTCCACCAGCTTCAGGAGGGCAGCGCTTTCACGATACCGCTGCTGACCAAGTAACAGGACTGCTTCACGATACCAGGTCGAAGAGCTCTCTGATACACAGCCTTCCCCCTCAAGCTTCCCATCGCTCCTCACCCGAAAGTTATAGAGGGGCGGCTTCTCTAATTTCGCCTCGACGTCGGAGTTCACGTGGACCAGCACCATGAGCAGCAAGCCGATTACAAACTTGACTTTGCCACATCCCATGTCGAGGTTGAAGTCCCATCAATGGCTTCTTCTAGCCTGCTCTCCGTCCTCTCGTCGAAGTATCATGTCGCTTCGCTCACATTGTAGCCCTCCTCCCGCTGTCCCTCGCCCACCCCTGTCCTCCCAGCACGATCCGCATTTCCTCCCGACAAACTTGTACCCACCCCCGTGTTTGTTGACGAAAAACCACCCACCTGGGAATAATCGAAACAGATCGGCATAATTGTACCCCTCCTACATGACTTGACCCACCTCAGTGAATCACTCTATGGCAGCCTGTCCTAGCAGAATTGGCGGGAGAAAATGCGCAAGACGTGGAGTGGGAGGGAGGGAGAGCGAAGGTGGGTAGAGAGAGGGAGGGTACAATGGAGTGAACGAGCGATCAAGGGTGAGAAGAGGGGAGGAGGAAGAAGAGCTGGGAGGGGGTCAACTAGCCTGCAGAGCAGGTGTCAATGAGTTGAGCATGGGGGTGGGCGATACCAGCTGATGTGTGCGTTGGTTCTCTAGGAAAGATGGGAAGGTGGCTGACAGGACGAGCGTTATTGCGGCGACAGCAAGCGACAAGATGCTCGAGAAGGAATCTTGCTCTTCTGCTCAAGTCCATGAACAAGGCCGACCGCAAGGCCCTGGATAGGTTGAGCCAGCACAACTGGGCTGGGCTGCGGGAGAGGTGCAACAGGAAGCTGCAAGGGACAGGGAGGAAGGCATTCAGCATGAAGCAAGTGCGATCCATGGTGACCGATTACCGCCAACATGTTAAAAGGATGTATTCACAAATGATTTCAGGTGCTGGATGCGTCTACTACTCCCCACTTGCGACCCGTCAAGGCCAAGACCTCCAGGACAAGGAGCCATGGAGGCGGTTCAAAGGAGGATGCCCTCCATCCCTCCCCGTCCACAGGCAGGGCTCCTGACGGTGCTCGCCAAGGAGGGTGGGACCCCTCCGTGTCCCTTGAATCGCTCAGGGTTCTGCAGCAAAGGTTTGCCAGCGAGAGGAATTGGGATCAGCACCACTTGCCCAGAAGCCTCGCACTCGCACTCGTCGGGGAGGTAGGGGAGCTCTGTGAATGTTTCCAGTGGAAGAGAGACTGCGGGGCCAACCCTGGCCTGCCGTCGTGGAGTGCGGAAGAAAGAGTTCATGTCGGAGAGGAGATGTCAGACGTCCTGCTGTACCTCATCAGGTTGGCTGATCGATGCGAAGTTGATCTCTCCACAGCAGTGCTGGCCAAGATCGAAAAGAATGGCAAGAAATATCCGGCTTCTCTGGTCAAAGGCTCCAGCGCCAAGTACACCGCGTACCAAAAAGATTGATTGAGAGCCAGCGCGTCCTTCTGCCTTGTATAAAGTTCCTGAAGCCCGATCATCCTCTGTGCCTGCTGGATGGGTAATCAGAGTTCTCTAAATTCTGAGTCGCTGTACACCGAGTCCATCTTTGCTACAAGTGAGTTTCCATCGCTTGAGATTGAAAGGTCAATGTTGTTGAAACTGACGGATTCTGGGTTTTGACACTCAGACATGAGTGCGTTTTCGATGATGGTGGAGATATCGTGATCGATGTGTGTCTCGACTCCTCTTCCTCCATCAGACACGCACGTTGCATCCGACCAGCAATGTTTCGCGATCCATCGTGGTACCTGAGAGACAAGTCAGCGGCAAATATGTACCATCGGTGTCTTCACCTCCTTGGCCCATGTGAGCTTCCCGATCCACGATCCCTTATACTCGATAGCAAGCTTTTCTCCGAGTCTCTTCAGCTCTTTGACCGCCACGCTGGCAAAGTCTTCCTCCGTGAGTGGGAGGAAGGGCACGATATTCTGTAACAGCGCGCGCTTCTTGGATAAGAGGAACTTCTTGTCCGCGTCCTCTTGCACCGCCTGCTTTGCTTGCTCCCTGTCCATGTAAGGGTTCAACTTGGTGCTGCCAATGTCTGAGATGACGATGACAACGCACAAACTCGTATTGACAGGAGCAGGGTGAGGATGGAAGAAGAGTGGGGGGCCGGACCCGTCGAAAATCTCGATGATAGAATCCAAGAGTTGTTCGGAGATGCTCTGAATCTCGTCGAAGATCAAGACTGACCTTGGGCAGTGAGACAGCTGTTCACCAACCTTGCGCCTTATGTCCTGCTCGTACTTCTCGAGATGAAAGGGGTTTCGAGAAGAGTACGCTCTCATCTGAAGGATAAACTTCCCGCACAAACGATTGTCAGCATTGTGCCGGTTGAACATGGAGCTTGCGACTATGTCTGCTGTCAATGACTTCCCGACTCCCGTTGGCCCAGAAAAGTGCATGAAGAGCGGTCGAGCCTTCAGTGCTTGAGGGTTTTCGTACGCCACCAAGAAAGTGGAAAGCATGTTCTGCCAAGGTAAGGTGAGGTATACACTGAGGGATCAAGCACTCTACCACATAGTAGGGATTCCAATTCTCTTTCGAGTAGTTCGAATGCTTTTGGATGTTTCGTGACAGCGCCTTGTGAATCGCTCTGCCTGCCAGGGACTGAACGACGGATGGTCAAAAGATCTCTATAACATGGCGGGAAATGCTGGAAGAAAGAGGAGGGAGGAAGAGAACCTGTCCGAATATCTTGCTCTGGAACAAGTTATCCCAAATGGCCATCGGATCCTCGTTGATCGGGCATTCGATCTCCTGTAACGGGCGATCAAGGCAGGGCTGGGAAGGGGGGCAGTGCAGGAGGTTGAAATAGAGAAGGTAGAAGAGGGGATGAGAAGAAGGACGCGGAGGGCAAGGGACAGACCATCGGGTTCCATGTGCTGCAGTAGGAGGGGATGGAGGGGAGAGCACATGCCGAGCATGCGAGGGCGGCGGCCAACATCACCGCCCTTGCCATGCTGAGAACGTAGTCTAGGGTGGACATGCTTGACTATAGAACTTGTAGCGGATGGGTGACTAAAACATACATGGTACACAATTCGTGTTGATAGAAAAATTAGTATACGAAAAGTCAAACTTTTTTCCAAGACATTGACTACAAAACTTTAGCTCGTATATTTCAAGGCTTTGCAAACCCGCCGGGGCCGCCGATTGAGTGAATCGTACAAGTCAAGTTGGCCGGGCCGCGCCAGCGGCCGCGGCCGCCCGCCGGGGCGGCGGCGGGCCGGGCGGGCGGGCCCCGGTGACTGTCCGGCAGAGAGCCCGGCCGCGGCCCGGGGGCTGGGTCCCGGCCGATCATCGGATCGAAGACGGTCCCGGCGAGGAACTTCGGAAACGGTTGACCGCGGCAGCCTCGGCCCGGACTGTACGGTACGGTCACTGAGTGGCACCGTCCGATCCGATGGTCCGCCGTCGGAAGTTAGTCACCGTCGCATGGCGGCCAGTGAATTCAGTACGCCAGTCACTGGCAGTTCAGCTCGGGCCAGCCGATCCATCCATGACTGATGATCCGGGACCCTTTGAAAGTTCCCAGCTAGTCAGTGAGCCGTCTCAATCATCTGCCCCTTGCTGCTCCCGACTCTGATGCCTCCTCTTGGAAGTTTCCGTTGTTTGAGCGGACGAAACGCTGCACGGAGGTCTCGGACGCTCCATTGATGGCGATGAAGGTTGTTTTCACGACACGAACCTGAAGGGTACAAGAGGATCATGATTAGGATCGGCAGACAAGGAGGGCAGGAAGTCAGGCAAGAACAAAACTGCGTTACCTCCCTTCCATTCTCAACAAGATTTTCTGTCTCGACTCTTTCAAGACCGCCTCCAACGCGGCGTGTTGTCATTTGTTTTCCTTTGATTAGTCAGCATCAGGTGTAGCGGAATGTAGGCAGGTGGACCTTGGTCCAAGGGAGCATGGAACTGTGCCGTTCGTGCCCTCCCTCCGAATCTCGGGTTCCTGGTTGCTGCGACCTGCCATCCCATGCCAAACCTGCGGGCCCTGTCATGCCGGGGCCGGAGAAGCCACCAGCAGACCTGTTCGGTCGCAACTGCTGTATATCCCCCCTCCATTTCTGCTTGTAGCGACTCATCTTTCGACCCCAGACTGGATCCCATTCTGAGAAAATCGTGTCCTGCGTCAGGTGTCAATCTCCGCTCCTCTCTTCTTGCTCTCTCCTACCAGATCGTCTTCCCCAAACATGTCCTTCCATACTTCCTCTGGAGTTCGCTGAACCTTCACCTCGGTAGCTGGGCCTCTGAAGCAAAGGAATCAACGGGAGGAAGTAAGGAGACGACTCTCTACCTCATGTCGTATCCTTCCCGAGACGTCGAGTTTCCAAGAATCTCAAATGCTTCAGCTATCCTCTTGAATCTGAACATGCAGACTCATCATAGATCATGGCAAAGATAATAGAAACCTGATTTCGGCTGCTTCACGATCTTTCATATTTTTGTCAGGATGATGCTTCAGTGCTGAAGGAAACCGTCATGAGGAGCATGAAACAGAGAAGTGTATGATGCCTGCTCTCCGATATGCTTTTCTGATCTCTTTGTCGCTTGCTGTGCGATCAACTCCCAAGACCTGTTTATTCCAAGGTTCAATGTTCACGTTCACCATCGTCACACGTGTTTACGTCGTAATAATCTTCAGCCATTGGATTGCATTCGCGGGGAAGTTCTTCCTCCTCTTTACGCGAGCCATGAGCTGATTCCGGCAAATCTTCTTCCTCGCTTGAACTTGTTTCCACACCAGAGCTTTCGTTCCCAGCAGCTCCACTTGCTTCCGCCATGACCACGACATCGAGCCTCTCTTCTCCTTTACTGCAGGGTCCAGGAGGAGGCATGGGCCGGCTCGTCGTTCGCGGGTTGACCTCTGGGACTGGAGCTTGTAAGCGAAGATGGTTTGCATGTTTGGCGCTAAGAATAGCCTCAAGCCAACTGGAAAGGGCATCATGCTCCACAAAGGAGGAACGAAAGGCCATGTACCCGTTTCGTTCGTTGGGAGAGCTAAACAGAAAGAAGGATACAACGTCTCCGCGAAGATCTTTGACCTCGAGGCAGCATCTTTGAACTTTCTTGTTGGACGGTGAAACTTCAGTCTGAGCATGGAAAATCATTCACTGCCGTCAGGAGTGCAAGTGGTACTGTCTCCAATGGCCACGAGTCTTCAACACTTCCTCCAGCTCGAACGTAGCATTTTAAAGAGTCGCTGCTCAGAACGAGAGTTCTGGGCAACACAATGAGCTTCGATCATACATGGAAAAGATCACCTTTCGCTCCATGGTCGCAGTCCCTTCCATCCCTCCTGCTGCTTTCGAGCACACCCTTCTATTGGGATAAATGAGCTATGTCCTTTATCCAAGACCACAACATCTTGTTTCTTTGTTCTATAGTATCTCCTTTCCTCCTCTCCCTCTTCTCTCTCCCTCCTCTCCTCCTCTCCTCTCCCTCTTCTCTCTCCCTCCTCTCCTCCTCTCCTCTCCCTCTTCTCTCTCCCTCCTCTCCTCCTCTCCTCTCCCTCTTCTCTCTCCCTCCTCTCCTCCTCTCCTCTCCCTCTCCTCTTTTCCCCTTCCTCCGACTCTGTTCTCACCTCGCAAGATCATTCCGCCATCACCATCTGCCCCACGATTTACTCAAAGTTAAGTAATAAATTTACTCCCTCGGGCCCCGGCGCCGGGCCCGCCCGGGGTGTGACAGTGCGGCGGCGGCGGGAGGCAGCCCACGGAGGCAGCCTGAGTGCTTACTCACCGTCCGATCACGGTCAGTGAGCCCAGCCGCTGCTACGGAGCCGTCCGGTGCCGGGAGCGCCGGCGGGTGGCTTCATGCCGGGCCCGGACACGCGGCGGCACTCAGCAGCTCGGCTGAGTGGCACCGCCACCGTCACGCCGGTGTGACATCGAGTCGGCCGACCGTGCCGTGCGTACGGTCCGACGGTCCGATCACGGGGTGACCGTCACCGGCGGGCGGGCACGCGGCCGAGTCTCAGCCGCGCCGACCCGTGACTGCCGGCCACTGAGTGGCCGCGGGCGGCCGTCCCAACTGGCAAGTGCCGGGCGCGCGCCCGGGCCGCGGCCGCGCCCTGGCAGCCCGGCCGGGCCGTCGGGGCCACGGTGATCGGACCGTACTGCCACCGACCGCCCAGCCGCGGCCCGGCCGCCGGGCCCCGGCCGCCCGGCCGCTCGGAACTCGAAACCGGTTGAAGTTTCAAATTTTCCATTGTTTTACAGGTCCTCACCCACCCCCATGGAGTCTCAAATTCGGTAACAAGGAGGGGTGCTCGAATTTGGTTGTGTCTCATCAATCCGACTGTAAAACAAGCAGAAAACAAGAGGTCCTTCTATTGCTGAGTTATAGGATTGCAATATTTTTGGAGAATTTTATGTATAATTCTTAATAATTATATATAATATTGGATTGCCTTTGGCCAGAATATACCGCAAACTTCATATCCTATTCTTTCATCAGTAAAAAATTGGTGGAAGGCAGAGAGGCCGGCCTCCATGGCGGGAACAAGAGACCGCAGGGTGAGAAGAAGGGATGGCAAAGTAGAGATGTGTGGTGTGCACACAACCTTCAATGTGACAAAATGTCTTGTGCATGGATGAGAGAAGTTTGGGAATCAACGACGAAGAGATTGAGCTCGTTGTTGTGCATTGAGCAGTCCTAGAACCTGTGCAGTTGGGCGTCGCAACGGAGCGAAATCACATTTTTGGAGAAGCGTTTTTCAACTATCTAAATCATAAGGACTGAAACGTAAGAAGAAGCATGACAACAGGGGTGTGCTGTGTCCATGATAGGCTGAGGTGAGGGCAAGGAAGACTTGGGGTCAAAATGGTAGCTTGACGAAACATCTCATTACACGGCCCCTGTGAAGGGCCGAGCATTCAGCTTGATATTCTTCTTGTGTAAATTTGTTACATTCAACGGTCAAAGGCAATTTGCAGAACTAAAGGGAGGGAGAATACTGACTGTCAGAGCGCATTGAAAATGGCGGATCAGTCAAACCGGAAGGAGAAAGGCTCTAAATCAGCAGGGAAGAAAGTAGAAAAGAAGACTTCGATTGGGGTCGTGCATGTATCGATTGTTATAGCTGTCCTTCTAGCCTTCAACGGTGTGTACATGAAGCAAAGAGCGGACTCCTTGATCGCCGAATGTGCCAAACACCACGAAGAAGGCGATATGGTGACCGCCCTGCAACTCTGCAGGAATGCGCATTCGCTGTACATGGCCTTGAACGACTACACCAAGTATGCCGGGTGGAAGGATGGCTTCTTCATAGCAGACGTCATACAGTCACTGGTGATCTATCTCTATCTATCTACGCTGCCGTCACTGACTTGGGTTGGCATGCAGGACAACATTGGGGTGGTGATGATGAACCTGGGGGATCACGCAGCATCTTTGCAGTATCACGTCCGTGCTCTGCGATTGACAGTCGGAAAGTTTGGAGAGAAGCATGTGAATGTAGCGGCAGTGCAAGACAAGATCGGGCTTGTCTACCGTGACATGAACGACCTTGAAAATGCCCTCAAGTGGCACGAGCGAGCTTTTCAGATGCGAAATGAGATCCTTGGAGAGAGAGACTTGGGGACAGCGACGTCAAAAAGTGCGATTGCTGACGTTTACTTCCAACAAGGAGACTTTGACAAGGCTCTCAGCTTGTACACGGAAGTTCTCGAGATTCAGGTGAAGCCTCGTTGTGGCATCGTCGATTCTTTCTGATTCGATCCCATTGAAGGAACAAGTTTTGAGCCATGACCATTTGGACGTGGCAGCAACTCTTCACAACATTGCGATCGTCCTGAAGAACAAAGACCTTGATGCAAGCTGGGAGAAGTTTGAGAAGAGTCTGGGGATCATCGTGGGGGTCTATGGATACAACCATCGAAGTGTCTCAGACACTTTGAGCAGTATGGCCACCATCAGATTTGCGCAGAAGAACTGGGAATCGGCGCTTGACACCTTCCAGCAGGTAAGTTGCCCGTTAGAAACGTGTCAGGAAACGATCTTGACTCTGTGCCAGTCTCTGGACATAGCGAATAACGTCCTTGGGAAAGAACACCCCGATGTCGCGTCTACCTTGTACGGCATGGGAGCCACATACGCGAAGTTGGGCAGGAGCGAGGAGGCGGAGGAAAAATATAGGACGGTAAGAGGAGGCGGTGGACGATCTTATGAACTTAGAAAACCTCATTTCTGTCGATGCAGGCGAAGGAGATTTGGGAGATGAATGGAGTGAATTGGAAAGAAGGAATTCAACACCTTGTATCACCCGAAATTCTTGAAACTGAAGAGCAGGGAACATAAACAATGCCCTCTGTCCCAGCCTGTGTCCGACTCGCCGACACTGTGACACGTGAACTTGCCGCTAACTGTTCAACGGTTCCGAAGTTCGTAGCGCCCGGGGAGGCCCGGCTGGCACCGGTCACTGCTGGGGTTGTGACGCCGGGCTCAAGTCACCGGAGTCAGAGTCACTGAGTCGATGTATGGAACTTCGGAAGTTGTCTCCGCCGTTGATCTGATTGGCCGCGATCAGCCGCCCGCCGTTGGCGGGCTCGGGGCTGGCGCCACGGGCTTCCGCCGGTCACTGAAACCGTGAACGTGACCGGCCGCCAGACGGTCGGTCTTTACAACTGAGTCGTGAGATTGATCACCCCAGAAGTTCCTCTGAGATTCTATAAAAGTTCATGGTCGCATGCTCCTCCCTAAAAAGATCTAGAGGGTAGGGGTGGATTGAAACCTTAGATCAGGGGTGGGTAGTTTCGATATACCGGGTCTGTTGTGTGAAATTTGGGGGGTAGGGGTGTGTACACTGTTGTTAGGTGACGGTCCACATAAATGTCGATGGTGGGGTACGAGGAGATTGTTGACCACCCCTGTATTGTACTGCAATATTGAGGTATCTGACAGGTAGGGGTGTAACATATAAGAGAGTGCCTTCAAAAGACCCCCCATTCAAACACTTTGATTAGCCTTTGTAAGGGTGGGGTAGAGGAGGCGTAGGATGCTATCAAACCAGAGGGTGGGTGGGGGTACGTGAATTCGGATTCTTCTCACAGGAGAGGGGAGGGTTCAGAGCATGCTTGGTTCGTAGGGGTGGTAGGTCATAAACATACAGTAAGGTAGGGTAGGGTAGCAGAGGAGTGGTGGGTGGGGTGATATTTCTGACTGCACGGGTATCTTGTTATAGGCGATTCATTATATAAAAGGGGGTAGGGTACTTTGAGATTGTGAGTGGTAGGTAGTCCGACCATGAAAACAATGGGTGGGGTTCATTGAGGCTTGTGGGTGGGTGAGGTGGTGTGAAACTCAGGGGGTGGGTGGAGTAGGGGGTGGGGGTCACGGGGGGAAAATGTGACGGCAGAATGGCGCGAGGAGGGCAGTTAGTTAAGAGTAGCACAAAGGGAGATGAAGGGAAGGATCTAGGAAAGAATGGAAGAAGTGAACGATCGAGATGTAGAAAGCAATGAAAGCAACAAGTCTGAGAAACAGCAGTTAAAATCAGGGTATGAGGAATCTACTTCAGAACGTGGGTTTACCCAACACTGTAGAGGGTCTGGGAGTGCTCGATCAGTACGGACACGAATTAGACTAGGGAGCTGATCATCAAATTTTGTATTGTCATCTTCACCATCATGATTTGTGGGTGTTGAGCTAGATGTGTAGGTGGGAACTTGCTGTATTGGTGTGCATAGATACGGAAGATTAACTTTTATTACTGCCCCCCACTTGGTTCAATGTCTAGCCGATCAGAAAAGTCTTTTGGTGAACTGACTCGCTTTCTGCTGCAGCTTGGGTCATGAGCAGTCAGTTCCACACCTAATCCCTGCCTATATCTTTACATAGTTCCACCTGCCTGGATCGTATTTCTTATCCCTTCCTCCTCCTTTCCTCCTCCTCCTCCTCCTCCTCCTCATACCCATAGTCAAGCTCCATGGCAACAACCATGTCGTGCACTGCGAAAAGTTTGTGCGGGTTCATGCTGCTATGCCTGGCTGGAGCTGCCTCAGCTTGGTCAACTTCGTTCCATACTGTGCAGAGCCTCGGGGGTTCGCAGCGAATGAGGTTGAGCAAGGCTGTCGATGTTATGCCTGCCCTCCGGCTGACGAGGAAGAACGGCATGCAGAAGAGGTGTGCCTGACGGTATGACAAGGTGCCTCGGAACTGATCGCTCTATGGCAGGGGAGCGACATTGAACATGATGACTGTTCTAGACGCTTTGTCCAGCCCGATGGTGCTCACAGCAGAGCCATCGGGACCTTGGATGGTTTTGGAAGGATAGCCATCAACATCCCGAGATATATGCCGTGAGCAGTGCAGCCGCCGAGCAATTCTCCATCTTTACCCTTCCTGCCAGGAAACTTTTGTCACAGAAGGATTTGGGCGATGACGCGGGCAACAAGGTCTCGTTGTCTGAACTTCGCGAATATGTTGTGGAGGATTACGTGAGATTGGAATTGTTCCCCTGCTCTGTGCCTGACGTACTTCCTTGGTAGGGTGCCAAGTTGGATCTGATCAAACTTTTCGTTTCGTGTGACGTGCAAGGGACTGGAGTTATCTCGAGCGCCTCTGTCCACAAGCTCTTCGATGAGCAAGGTGTGTTCATGCCGGTACTGGGTGAGGGACGAGGATGTTGACGAGTCGGGACAGAACGAGGAACCTTTCGCATCGGAAGCAAATGGGTGACAGCGGATAATATCCTCGAGGTGTTCGAGATGTTCTGATCGTAACTGTCCACTGACATGGCATGCAGCTGACGGGGCTGGACAGGATGACGAGCATCAACTACATCAAGTTCATGGGAACGATTGTGGAGGCGGCTGACCTGGAGGACATGCGAGTGAAGGCGCAAGCGAAGCTCGTGTCCGATGGCTACGAGGCCTGCAAGGACATGACAAGCGAGTACGCCAAGACTTTCTACCTCGCCACTCAGACTATGCCCGACGAGCAGGCCATGGCCACGTGGGCGATCTATGCCTGGTGCCGGCGAGTCGATGAGATCGTTGATGGCCCCAATGCGCTGGCGGAGGCGTCCATGCAGGAGGAGAGCCTGCGGGAGTGGATGGATCGGCTGGAGAGGATGTGGGAGGGGAAGAACTTCAACGGGCTGAACCAGTATGACGTGGCGTTCGCGGACATGATCCGAAGGTTCCCGGGCAGCGACATCGAGCCGTACAAGGACATGGTGAGAGGGATGATGATGGATGTGTCCGACGAGGTCAAGTACGATAGCTGGGAGCAGCTCTACCTCTACTGCTACAGAGTCGCGTCGACCGTTGGGCTGATGACGCTGCCCGTCATGGGGACTGCGGAGGGAGTGACACAGGAGGATGCACGGGAGTCCGCGATTGCGCTAGGGATCGCGCTTCAGCTGACCAACATCCTTCGGGACGTGGGGGAGGACGCGAGGGACAGGGGAAGGATCTACCTGCCCGAGGAGGACATGAAGAGGTTCGGGGTGGACCCACAGACTGTGCTGGACAGGAGCTTGAAGGGAGGGGAGGTAGACGACGCCTACCGCAACCTGATGAAGTTCGAGATCGAGAGAGCTCGGGAGTACTACAGGCAGGCCGAGAAAGGGATCCCGATGCTCGCCAAGTCTGCCCAGCTCCCAGTGGCAGTGGCCATGGAGCTCTACCGAGAGATTTTGGACAAGATTGAGCTCAACGACTATGACAACTTCAGCCGCCGAGCTTACCTGACAGGTAAAACACGCACCTCCCCTCATCTCCTGTACCCTCTTGCCTCCCGCTCCCCCTTTCCTGTCTTCCTCCCTCTCCTCTGCCCCTCCTGCTCTTCCCCTCCTTCTCTTCCACCTTCCTGAACTCATTGAACCGGTTCTCACTCACCCTGATGGAATTGCAGGGTTCGAGAAGCTCTGCAAGCTGCCTGGCGTCTGGCTGCGAGTGATCACAGGGAGCTGGAATGTGGCGTGAGAGGAGGAGAACATGAGCTTTTAGATGCTCTGTACAAGTACGACAGAAGCGAGCAGGATGGAGTATGACTAACAAGTGAAGTAAATTTTGTTTGAGTATCAAAGGGGTCTGTATCACAGCAAGTCGTCTTCGGGCCTGTCATGGCGTTCATCACCTCAGTCAGAAGAGGGGGGAAAGAAGGAGAGGGAGGTCATCTCAGGGAAGGAGGGGGAGACTGCAGAGTAGGTCCTACCGTAAGGGCGGCATCTTGCCGTGCTTGCGGTAATACCTGTACTGGTACTTGAGTCTTTTGAGTGACTCCTTCTCATAGCCTTTCCTGTGCGCCATGTGTCAGTCTGTCAGGTGTTCTAATGCAAGCTTCTCACTTCAAGCAAGGATTCTCCTCAGGGATTGGTTGGAGCTCTGAGTGACAAGCAAGTGAGTCAGGACGTGGCAGCACCAGCACCAGCACCAGCACCAGCACCAGCACCAGCACCAGCACCAGCACCAGCACCAGCACCAGCACCAGCACCAGCACCAGCACCAGCACCAGCGGCACAAGACAAGGTCCGCAGCGGCGGCGGCGGCGGGGGGGAAGCAGCAGCAGCACCAGCACCAGCACCAGCACCAGCAGCAGCAGCAGCAGCAGCACCAGCAGCAGCACGAGAGAACCAGAAGTCTCACCAGATTCGGGGATGATGTCGAGGCGGTTTGAGTCATGGAGGACGAATTGATCGAGCCAAGTGCGAATTCCAAAGGTAGTTCCATCTTCTCTTTTGATTCGGCCGTGCCAACTGTCCTGCATGTTGTTGTATTCATGCTGAATCATACTGCACATGTTGCTTGCTTCCTTCAACATCTGCCCGAACATCGTCATCTCCCGCCATCTCAGCCTTGATGCAACCTCTTCCACAGTCATGTTCAAGCCTTTTTCTCGTTTGAAATCCTCCAGGGCGCTCCAGATCTTCAGCACATCATCAGAAGGTGAAACGCTACTTCAAGATTCACCTCATCTATCTCTTTCCTCACTTGCTCATTGTCTGAACAAAAGACCAACACCAGGCCCGATGTCAATCGAGTTGTTGTAAATTCGAAGGCATCATTTACCTATCTCTCCATCCTCGTTGATGCTGAACTTTGGGTCCCGTATTTTTGCAACGTTTGGAGTTGCATTTCTCTTTCAAACAAACTTCAAACGCAGTGCCTCCAAGAACTGCAACAACCTTCTTCCAGTCGTCTTTATGCTTCCAAACTCCCTGCGCTGTGTGTTCCTCGACGATTTGGTCAAATCTGGGCGAGACTGAGTGACCTCATGGCAACCAATCTGGCTCACGTCTTCTTCAGATCTTCCCTCATGTTGTCTAATTCCGCACATTTCTCCTTCCCTGCAGTCTAGTCATGACATACCATGAGGGAAAGAAACTGGATCGTACAATCGCACACTGTAGTGTTAAAGGCCTCGATGTCACGGGGATCGACCATCAACTGACAGATACACATCATGTTGCTATTCTTGAACGACATCGTACACCTCTTTCTGAAGAAATTCTACCACGTGCGGATGATTATTTGCAATCGCGTACTGCAGTGCACTTCAAAGTGTGTCAGTCAAGAGAACGGACAGGTTGCACACAAACAACTTGTAGCCAAAGGCGTCAACTTGGCTCAGGATCCGGTGCCCCTGGTCAAAGTGAGCGGCAGGAGGCATCCTCTGCATTCTAACCTCAACTCTGTTTACCGGCGACCTTCCTCCCTTCTTCCTCAATGTGTGACAGGCTCCTCGTTCGTACAAGATCTTGTCCCAGGGTCAGGACCGACGTACTGTTTGTTTACATCTCAGGACCTTGAGGACATGAAGGTTCCCATACGCAGCTGCTAGGATGAGAGAAGTCTGCAGTATATCATGCACCTACACTCTCTTCCTCTCCTTCACCTGGTTGTTGTTGTTCACCGCTCTCACGTCCGCGCCATGGTCGAGAAGAACCTTGAGGAACAATCAACCCGTTATCGGACAACCAAGTTCTCACTTTCGCAGTCATGTTGCAGTTGCCGACCTGGGAAGAAAATAGATCACGAAGCTGTCGTTCTCAGAGGGAAACTTACAGCGCACGAGTGCAGGGCAGTTCCGTTGCCAAATTCAGCGTCTCGAGCGATGTTCACCTAAAGTTTCCTTACGAACTCATCTCAACATACAGAGTCTTCCAACCTGAGCTCCAGCTTCGATGATTTTCGGAATAATTTCGTGCTGCTCGTGGAGTGTTGCAAATCTTAGAAACAATGACCTCAGTGACCAAATTGCACAACATTTCACTGTCACATCAAACGTTCATTCAGTCGCTCCACAGTCAAACTGTTGGAGAAAACGTCAGACTGGATTTTGCGTCACATGAAACTGCACAGACTTGATCAAACTTTGTTCTGTGATGATGTGTGTCTCCCAGCTCGCAGGAAGCGGTTTCCAAGTTGCATTCAGCCAGATATTATCGGTCCAATTTCCAGCTACCCTCCTCCCAACGTACTGAAAGCAAGCATGTAAGGAGAATTTCAACATCATTAGTCAGTAGTCCTCAAGAAAACAAATCGTGATGAGTTACAGCTCAAACAGGTACATAAAGAGACGGTTTCTATCACCGGGTCATAAGGCCAATCTTCGTCGTTGGCTTCCTCTAGGGGAGGGTTTTGATAGCCCGGAAACGTCTCATTGTCAGCATACCAGTTCGCAAACGACTCGTTGTCAGTGTAACGTGTTAGAGTGTAGTTTTCTAGTCTTGCTGACTCCTGCAGCATGCTCCAAATTTCAGCTTCAATCTCAGCATCGTCCTTGAAGCCTTCCTCGTCGTCCCCAGGTCCCCGGTCATTATCTTCCAAAAATCCGCGCAATCTCTCGTCGTCCCCAGATTCCCAGTCTTCCTCTTCCCCGAATCCGCGCAATCTCAACGCAGGAGGGCTCCAACCCGATAACACAACCGAAGAGCATGACTTCAAGATTCCAGGCTGCCTTCGACTTGCAATCAGTCTCTTCACAACTACTGCTCCCACGCCTCTTTTCCTCGCTGATCTTTCATCGCTTTCCTTCAATCCAACATTACAATCGCCATCGCAGAAATCTGAGAACCCAGCGAAGTTGTTGCCTTCAACTCTGTCTCCTGGGAGAACAACCGTCTTGCACATGTATTCTGTTCGTTCTTGCATCGACAATATGCCTCCTCCCGCCACCATCGCCACCATCATCATCCCCTTCAAAACCATGACGGGGCGCATCCCACGGGACTCACTGGAGCGGGCCGGGTGGCCCGGAGGAACTTGCAGACCTATCATTGTCCGGGTACCGTTGAATGTAACCGGAAAAGAAACTGAATATAACGGTCTGCACGCTTGTCTGCGTAATGATATGGCAGAGGAAACGAAGGGTTGAATCTGCGAGCAGGAGCAGGAGCAGGAGCAGGAGCAGGAGCAGGAGTAGGAGCAGGATTAGGAGCAGGAGCAGGAGCAGGAGCAGGATCAATAGTATGTGCATGAAGTCTAGAAGGAGCTGAATTCCGATGCGGCTCTTCCAGTCAAGGAGATAGATTTACGAGGAGATAGGTCAGGAAAACAATTTGATACCATGTTTGGCTATTATGCAGAGATGATCCAAAGGAGAGACCCGTACATAGTATTCACTCGCAGAAGACGCTGCTAAGATCCTACTTTGATACATGATGAATTAATGCTGGAAAACTGCATGATCACTAAATTTTGGAACTGTCCTCACGCTGTGGTCCAGTCGTGCCCTATGCTAGGGATCGTTCCTCCTCTCATGACAAACTTGGGTGCAGGTTTTGAATCACAGGAAATTTGATGACTTTCTTATACTGTGCGAACTGTCTTGCGCTGACATTCGTCCCTCCATGGATCTTGTACAAGTACAAATTGTGAGTCCCTAGTATAAAGGTTTGCGGTTCTTTTGACCTGTTATGGACAACAGGATAGAGTTTGCACCCGTTGCACTTGTCGTGCAAGCAGCGTTCGTCTATGCAGGCACTCAGCTCTTTCAGATGATCCTGATGGCAACTTTTGTTCCCTCAGCGGACCCTCATGAATTCAACGTGTCGCAAGAGTGCATGAAAGCATTCATCACGCTTGCTGACGTTTTAGGGTTGCATTATCTCTTTCAGAAGAGATCTTCTATGGGGACTGCTGCAGGGATCGGATTATCATGGAGCGCGACAGAATCGTTGTTCCGACGACTCGTGCCGCTGTGGGTTGAAGCGAGAAGTTTGCAGTTTAGTTGGAATCATCTCCTGACCTCGATCGAAGCAAACATCAGCATTGCTATCCACATCGCCTTCGCTCTGCTTGTCTGGTTGTGGATTCGCAAGCCAAACTCACGAATGACAGTTTCTGGAGTGATTGTAGGGCAGAAGTTTCTGTTTCCCCTCGTCACCAGGTTTCCTGCTCTCATGCGTCAAGATTTGTTCTCTTACCCTTTGCGTCAGTTTTGCCCGTTACTCCGCGTTCGTTGAATATCCGGTCGCTGCCGTGATCGTACAATTTATCATGGCTGTGGTCTTCGGGGTGACGACTTGGCGTCTAATATCTGCTGCGAAAAACTGAAGAATTTGAGATATGAATAAACTTTCTTTTACACAAATTTTATACTCTCAGCTTCTTAAGCGTCTTCGCACATTTGCTACGATGTTCCACGCTGCAGATCCAGAATTGTCTCCGGCCTTGATCGCCTCGAGCGCTTGTGTGTGATTGCGTAAGATTGAAATTCTTGGTGACAAATCTTTGTATGTCCTGCTAGCTGCATGGAGACTGTCATGAAACTTTCGGGCATTGCCTGGAGATCGCGCTGACTGAGAGCCACCGTTCTTGAGCAATTTCACATTCTTACGAGTTTTCTTGTTCTGCTCCATCTCCAAATCAAGACTTGGAGGCTTCATAGGGTTCTTATTTGAGTTCTGCTGCTGATCTCCAGCAACCTTGTCTTTCTCCACCGATATGAATAGAGCAATACCATCTCCAGGATTCTTCGGTGAGTTTGCAGCTTGTGTACTATCATCCTGCTTAGCGTCGTTGGCTGGGGCCGCAGCTTCAATCGACTGAAAACCTTCTTCTCTATCGAACTCCACCGACGAACTTGGTCGAGTGTGAGCAGCAGACCTTATCTGTTTTGACATGTCGTTACGAAATTTCTTGTATGACTCAAGGATTGAGCTGTCCTTGGCCTCTGCCGTTCCTTCTTGTCCGTTCAACTCTTGGAGGGAACGGAACACAATATCCTTCTCCTTCACGGACGTGCTCGACGATAGGCCTTCAGTCTCTCCAGCATTGCGAGGACGTGCCGCTGCAACATCAGACGAATCTTCCTCATCCGTGTTGTTTTCGGACTGAGAGCCTAGTGGACCTCCAAGATTCGAATATTTCGCGACCGTCGCGGCAAAACGATTGTAATCAAAGCCTGCATCTATGGAGCTTCTTGCGCTAAGAGGCATGGGCTTCAGATCCCTCGTGGAATTCGTTGAAGAACGACTGATTGTTTCCTTGTATTTCAAGTACATGTCTTGAACATCCTTGGGCGGGGTTTCGCCTCTATCACCTTTGGGCCTCAAAGCTTTTTTCCTGCCGACCTCGCTTCCAAATTCCTGTGACACCTGACCTCTCGACTCTTGGCTCATGCTCTTCTCTGGAGGCTTCGGTTTCACCTGGGGCTCCTGCTTGTCCTTGCTCGCGCGGAGGGTAGTCAGCCTAGGAGAAGCGAACTGCTGCCGCTCAGCGTTGGACCTCTCAGGCCTCCCTTGGGCCTCGGAGGCTGAGGAGTCCCGGTGCTGCTTCTTCCGCTCGTAAGCGTTCACTCCACCAGAGTCCTGTATGTCGGATCGGATCTTCTTCCTTGCTGAGAGGATCACGGCGTCCATGAGCCCCACCCCGTCTCTGGCGATGATGCTCCTCAGATCCTCCACGTTCACCCCGATCTTGTCGGAAGCAGACTTGAGCACGTTCAGACGAGGAACGTGAGGCAGCTGCTTAGAACTCGTCCTCGAGGGTGAGGCCACGTTGAGACCCGACAGCGCATCACGAATTTGCTCCGCGAAACGACATCGAATTCGTCCCAACACGGCCGAGCATGTAGGACAGCCTGCATCGGGCGTGTTCAGCCTTGACCAGCATGTCTGACATAACAGGTGGCCTTCTGTGCATTGGAAAACAGGCCCAGCAATGCTATCAAAGCAAACGGTGCAATCTAGGAACTTCATTACGGTTCCTCTTTCCCTTGACCTCATGGTGCCCTTTGGTGCAGTCGGCGAAGAAGCAGGATTCTGGTTCTCCATACTCATGATTTCCAAGAGAGTTATTTACGCATGCAAAAGCGAATCGAGTAACAACAGCAGACTCTGACGAGAATAGGATGAAAGATACGTGCTTTGACCGTTGTGAACAAGCAAAAGTTGTGGATGAAGCAGCAACGATAACACAACAGTATGCGTCTTCTTCTCACACTACCTCCTCATCTCTCCCCCTTCCTCGTTTGTTCTCTTCTCCTCTCTCTCTTCTCCTTGGCTCAGCCTCCTCTTACTTCCGCATCGCCTCCTGACTTCCTGCTTTGCAGTCCTCCAACATGCACGACCGGCGCTCAACCGACATGTAACCGTCCAACGGAAAAATGAAACGGATTCAACGGCAGACGGACATTCGACAATCAGTGATTGAGGACTCGGCCCGGCCCGGGCTCTCTTAGTATGAAAACATTCTTTACTCAACATTCTATTGGTAGTGTACATGGACTCGTTGGTCCCTTCAGCGACTTGCGCTCATGATGCTCTTGAAGTGGCTGATTCGAACAGCCGTCTCCTTGAAGCTGCTCATGCGCCATGTCAGTCAGCTGCTGAGGGGTTGAGAGGAGGGATACCTCTTCCTCGACGTCCGCTCCTTGCTGTAGTCTCCTTGCTGCGGGGCCCGGCGTCAGGAGAGTGACAGTGACAGGCCTGAGAGGCGGAGCTCACAGCAACGAGGTCCGCGAACGCGAGCGAGGAGGCCCTTGGCGGCTTGACCGTCTCAGGAGACCGCAAGGAGACGGAGGATTGAAAGTCAACGATCTTGGAGTGCGACTTCAGCCTGACCTGCGCCGTCCTCTCACTTCCTCTCCTCTCCCCGTCTCTTTCTCACCTCCGGTGAGGTGTAGTTGTAGTCTGTGAGAGGGACTGGCAAGTGGCTGCTGTAGAACGAGTCCGCGTGCAGGCGACCGATCCCCAACTTGGGGAGGAGAGGCCGCTGAGGAGGACCTCCAACGATCCACTGCACGAGGAGGAGGTGAGAGGGGAGCAGGGTGAAGTCAGACTACCTGTGACGCCTCTGCATGCGACAGGCTCTTCTCCCTCACGTATCGAACCTTCCCCGTGCTGCGGGGATGCATGCTCTCGTTCTGGGAGGAAGCAATGAAAAGTTTGCCGCCACGACGTGACTTGCTTTCCTCCATGTCGACCAGGCTGCTGGCTCTACCAATGGGAATGAGAGGAGGAATAGCACGGGAATTCGTCTCACCCGTTCCCAAACTGCGGACTTGAAGTTCGCGGCTGCTGCCGGGAGCGGCTGAAGATGTTTGGGAAGAGAGCCTTCGATTGAACAGTCTCAATGATCATTGTCCGTAGCTCATCCTGATCGAGAGACCTGTCGTTTCCCATCGTGAGGAGGAGTAAGGAAAGGGAGGTCAGAGTCAAGAGGAGGGGAGAAAGAAACACTCACTGTCGTTGCGGGAAAGTGATTTTCCTCTCCTTGATCAGATGACTCATTGCAATGATGTCTCCCTCAATCAGCGTCTTCTCCACCGCGCTCCGCATCTCTTCCTTTCTCCTCCTCCTCCCCTCGTCCAGGATCCAAAACCACTCGCACATCGAGTTTCCCAGCAGCCGCATCCTCCCTGCCCGATGGAACCTGGCAACGATTCCTCTACCTCGCTCGGCCCACCGCACAAAGTCGCGCCAGTCGATGATGGCGATGTGCAGGCCGCGCCTGAGGAAGCGAGAGATTGTAGGAGAGCTCTTGGCGAGGCTGAGCTGATGAGAGTAGTGGGAAGACATGGTGACGTCTTGCCACTTGTCGTAGCAGAGCATGAAGGCCTTGGTCCTTGCTCTCGAAAGCACGGCTCTTACCTTCCTGCAGTAATACGCGAAGCCCATGAGCGTCACGACCAGCCTGTGCTTGAGGAGGAGGCAGTGCCTCTCCTTGATCTTCCATGCCACGAGCTTGTGGAACTTGGCCCGCTGATGATACGTGAGGAGCTTGCGAACAGACTTGAACAGCGACAAGTTGGTCCAACAGGCCACCACGTGCCTGATGATCGCTCGATCTATACCAAGGTCCTCCACGTGCTGCGCGTAATGCAGGAAAGCAGCGCGCAGCTCCCTGGTGTGCATTCGATGGCGAATGCTCGCAAGCACTTGTGCCTCCCTCTTCCTATCGAGGAACGAGGAGATCCAAGAGCTCAGGTGGAACCACAGGCTCGTGTTCTTGAACCTTTGAGAGGCAGATGAGAGGAGGAGGGGAGGTGGCGGCAGAATCATACCTCATCGCTGCTCGCTTGTTCTTTGACCAGAGTGATTTCCACTCCTCAAACATCAACGACATCGTCTCTCCCGAGATGTAGGACACGATGGACGAGAATTTCTCGCGAACCTGCGGAGAGAAAGTGAGCAGGAGAGATTGGAGCACGTGGTTGCTTCACCTCCTCAAAGACGCTCATCGCTTCCTCGTAACTTTGAATCCACAACTTTAGACATCGCCAAAGGGCCCCCTGGCTCCATCTCTTCAACGCCGCCTTCCGCCGAGATACAACAAGGTTCCACTCTTTCAGCATGATCATCTGCAAAGCACCAAACAAATCCTTCAGGAAACGTCGAAATATCAGCTGCATCCATCACCCCCATCGTCGCTCCTATCCCAACAACAACTCCTTGCAGCTTGTTGGTCACTTCGCCATACAGAAGTCGGTGGTCTTCCAGCAAGCTTGACCACGACACGAAGGCCCAGCTCAACGTCGACTTGAACCACTTCATCGCAGCCTTCTTCCTGCTCCTGATAGCTCTTCTCCACAGCTGGTTGAAACATCACGCGATCTCCTGAAGACAACCAGACTTTCACCTTGAAGGTTTCTTCTTTCAACCTTGCGTTCATTCTGACATGCGACTTCAAATGCGACGAGGCGACTGTGCGCTTCATATTCACCACCTGGAGGTTTCAGTCAGGAGCTCAGGAAGACCGAGTGAAAAGAGCTTTCCTGCAGCCATAGGGGAAAGAATGTTTTCCATATCTTGAATCTAGAGGACAATCCACTTTCGATCTTCTTCGAGATTCTGCCAGCCCATCAATGTGCATCTTCCTTTCAAACTTCAAGAATACCTTGTCATCTCTCGCTTCCAATGCAAGGCAGCCAGGAGCGCTTCGAATGCCTGCAGTCCGTGCTTAGCGAGCAGGTTGCTCTCGCCCCGGACTCTGCTTCTTCACCTTGGCAACAAGAGTCTTTGATGTGTTCAACCCAACCTTCCCAGCAATCCCTCGAATCTTCTTGCTCTGAAGACAACATAACTACAAGAAATCACCGTGAAACTTTCAAAACTCTCACACCTGCTCCTTGAACTTATACCATTTCATGTAGCACTTCACCCATATCGGTGATCGGATGAAGGAGATCAAACGGAACAACTCCTCTTGTCCCAAGAACGCGTCGTTAGACTCTTCGATCCTCGACATCGTCATCCTAGTCTGTGGTCCGCAGGTCAGCAACATCACCATCAACAACAACTCACCTTGATCCTGCAGGTTGTGAGGTGATCGGATTGCGAGCGACGGAATTTATAGATGTCTTTCAGCGAGGTAATGCTGAACTCTTTACCGTCCTTGTCCAAAGGTGGGAGGCTTTGCACAAAATCCAGAAAGTGGGCGAGGGTTGCTTCGCGAAAGTCATAGTCTTCCAGCTTCGATATGATTGTCTTCAAAGTTTTTCCCAGTCAGCAACAACATTATCACAGCCCTTGTTAGCAGACCTTCCCGACGTCATTCGCAATTGCAAGTTTATGTTCAAGGTCTGAAGTCCAATGCTGTTACTACTACTGATTGGGTGCTGGGAGATTTCACCTTCACGCTCCTCATTCAACACGGCCAACTTCTCCTCGTCTCTCTTTGCATCTTCTTCATCGTTTACCTTGACACCCTCAAGTAAGTACATGAAGCTCAGGCTTTTCAACCTGTACTGGCACAACTCACCGAACTTTCTGGGCCCTTGCCTTCGACCTCGATGTTTTGATGGACTTCATCTTCCGCTGAAGAATCTCTTGGCTGTCGTTTCCCTGTCCTGAACATTTCATTCTGCATGGACAGTATGAGCAACTCAAAGCAACGTCGGTCATTACCTGAGCTTCAAGTTCTTCTACTGTCATCCCAACCTTGGCCGCGTATTCAGCAAGCTGCTTTCTCCTCTTCCTCTGCTTTTCTCTCTTGTTGATCTCGGAGATGCCTTCTCTGACGACACCGAGCTTGCTCTCCAGCTCATTAATCAGCAGGTTATTCATCTTCTTCTGTGCGTTCAGTCGATCGGCATTCTCGCTGGAGAACTTCATGTTCCTTCGCTCACTCGAGATGATCTCCTTGAGGACTGACATGGTCGCAACTCCTGTCACCCTCCCATCGCTCCCGACAACCGTCAGCGTCTCGTCTGCCATCCTCCTCCGCTCCAGCTTGCTGTATCCCTTGTCCTGTAGGAAGAGCGAGAACGACTTTCCAAGATACTCGATCGTCGGCTTCGAGTGTGTCTTCCTGGTCACCTCCAGGTAGACGCCCAACAAAGTGCTGTAGTACGAGTTCCTCCGAACGCCATGCTCCCTCCCTCCCGTTGGGGTCTCCGCTAGGCCCTTCCTCGACATGGTTGATGGGCAAGTAGGATCTACTTTTTCCTTGCAGCTCCCTCCGCCTCCCGTTCCCCTTTGCCCTCCTCTTCTCCCTCCTCCTCCTCCTCCTCCTCCTCCTCCTCCTCCTCCTCCTCCTCCTCCTCCTCCTCCTCCTCCTCCTCCTCCTCCTCCTCCTCCTCTTCATCCCCTGCAACCTCCACCTCGATTACTCTTTCCTGCTCCGTCCTCCTTCACCTTGTCCCCACCTCTGGTCTACTCTCTCCTTCTTGCTGCAAAAGTTTTGGTTACATCCACGACTTCAGGCTGGGATTGCTGCAGCGCTGGCAGCTGAGAGCGGAGATTTCACAGTGGAGGAGGACGATGGGAGGAAGTGGAGGATCAGAGACTTGTTCGCCGGGAACTTCGAGCTCTTGTCCTCGGCAGTGAGCTCCGACTAATAAGTGAAGACGCTGCTGACGCACTTTCTCCCCTGCTAGCTGAGACAAGGAGCAGGGCTGAAGATCTGTGAGGCCCAAGGGGGCTACTTCCTGGTCAGACGCCCCTTGCTCCCTGCAACACGCTCTTGTCACGCGCGCGGCAGGTGGCGGAGACGGACGGGATGCGAGACGTGGACTTTTGCAGGAAGCTGGCGCAGGAGAAGGGAGTAGTTTGCACTCCCCTCTCGCCCTTCTACCTCAATATGCAGCCAGAGGTTCAGAAGCTCCTCCCACTGCCTTCCCCGCTGACTCTGCGCAGGATACCTGCAAGCTGGTTCGCTTCACCATCTGCAAGTCCCGCTCGTACATAGAAGAGGCTTGCAGGAAGATCAGGAGGGAGACGAAGATATAGGAAGCAAGTGGTCAGTCAATCTCTCAGCGTCTTCCGATTCTTGCATATAAGAAAGAACAAGAAACCGTCGCAGTACATGTACATGTCCCCAAATTCTTTCCTCCTCTCACGCGCTCGCTTGCGTCATCGCCGTCCCCGAGCTCTTCACTGCTCCGAGAGTCTGAACCGTCCGGACTCGGAGAGAAGTCGCCGGCCCCCCATCCCAGCAGTTCCCCCGATTGTCGAGGATGTCTGCGCTGATGCTGACTGAGTAAGAGCCGAGCGCTTGCGATACGGGGAGGAGGCAGGAGGTCGACACGGACCCTCCCTTGCACCGCAGCTTGAACTGCATGCTCTGAGGAAACTTAGCAGTCGTGCCCTTGGGGTCCAGCGCATCATAATTGATCACGACAGAGAGGACGATGTATGTAATCTGCATCAGTGTCAGTTGACCCCCCCCTCCCCCTCCCACCCGCTCTTCCTTCGCTTTCTCCCTCCCCCTCTCCCCCTCTCCCTCCTTCTCCCTCTCCACCTGGGAACTCCACGACTGTCTAGTGTGGAGGTTGACGATGGTGGCTTCGATCTTTAGGACGCATCCGATGCCAAGTTGAGTCTCGATCGGCTCCATGGCGCTGGAGGTCGGAGGGATCAGAACGAGGAAAGAAGGCGAGAACATGTCGAGTCACCTCTTAGGGCTCGGCAGGGACTTGATGTCCACGTAGACAGGGTTGGAAGTGTCCAGGAAGCTCGGGGGCACGAGCAGCGGGAGTTTGTTTAGCGCGCCCATGACATGCAGGAATGCCTGCACCCGGTGAAGATCCGACAGCTCCCCACGCTCGCTGTCGTTCCCTTCCATCGTCTCCCGCCCGCTTTCCGCGAAGAGGTCCGTCAACCACTTCATCAGCGCCTTGCACGTTTGAGCCGGCAACATCGCCAGCACAGTCTGCTTCTCTCTGGTAATGATGCTCTCCACGATCGAATCCCATCCATCTACAAAGACAACTTGTCAATCAATGAAATACGACGACGAGAAGGAGGAGCAAGACTGACAGATCAAGTTCTCCTTGTCCTCGTTGAGGAACATAACGGAGGCAACTCGGGCAATGAAAGCTTGACAGATCGCATGTTGCTCAAGACACATCTCACTCTGCGCGTCTGTTCCTGTCATAGAGAGTCATTAGAATCCTCGACAATGAACTAGAAGTTCACCAAATCTGCATCGCCTGAGCTCCAAAATCTTGTCCTTAGCAACCTCCAACGATCTGATTGCTTCTGATATCATCTTACATTCGTGCAATTCTGCAGAAAAAATTAAATCGAAGCGTATACACGACAGGTTAACCTTCAGTGTCACTGTGCTGCACTTTTTGACTTGGATCGAGCGGTCGGAAATCGAGCCAGTCCCAGACTGCGAGTCTGAAGTTTCTTATTCAGCAACGACAGACTACAAGCTCGGATCTTATCACCTGAGCCTCGACAGGGCGTCGTTGGAGGTGATCAAAGCCTTGAGGTATCGTTTCTGGAAGGTGAAAGTCTTGGAGCTCGGGCCAACAACATACATCTGTTGAGCCGCCTGCAGAATTCTCCTCTCAACCAAATTGCTACTGAGTGAGAGCACAAGACCTCCTGGAGCTTCTCGACCGTCATCGAGTAATTTTCAGAGGTTCTAATCTCTTCAGCCTATTGTGATTACAACCAATGTCAGACGGACGTCTCTCCTAGCTCCCCAAGACCTCGGCCAGGAAGTAGAGGGAGGACATCCATGCTCGCATGCGGACGCTTTCAACCTTCCTGAAATCGGAAGTGAAACCAGCAGAATGGAAGCGATCAAGGTTCACGTTTTCAGCTCGTCGATTAAAGGCAGAGCGAGCTTAAGATATCCCATGACAAACGCACTCCTCAACAACCTTCGAACTTGCCATCAAGACGATAGAGTAGAAAGCGCTGAAAATGTACACCACCTGTAACCGTTCCAAGGATTCTCTCTCAACGCAGACAAGCACTTGCTCTTAATCATTTGAATCGTTTCCACCTTCAACCACAAACAATCATGTCTCAGCCATCCACCTGCCACTCTTCACCTGAGACTTCAAGTTCGACATTCCAAGAAACATGATGGACTTCACGAGGCTCAAGAACAACACCTTCACCATGTTGTTTCAGTTGCAACGCACATGAGCAAGTCAAGATAGCAGTACTGGATTCTCCGAGCCTCTGGGACACTCAAACAACTTTCGAATCAGATCGTTCTAAAGCACCTGATCATCTCCTCATCCCACCATGAACGCATTACCATCAAGTGCGGAAATTGACTTGCACATAACGACAGACTTTGACAAGATGCTTCTAGCGCGCGATGGGGATCACCCTTCTCCCTGATACCGAATGAGCAGGATTGTTGAGTTTCAGCAATGGAATACCATGTTGTGTTGATGGCTTCACAAAAGGAACCCACAACACGGGAGCAAAGCGTCATCTGTGCAGCGAGACTCTCTGCACTCCTTTTCGATGATGCAGAATTGGTCGGAAAGATTTCGAGTAGAGTATGCATCAAGGTAATGTCTTCTTTGTTCAAACTTCCAGTTTCTTGCAACATTGTTGATCCGCAAGTCAAAACCTTTCAAAAACAAAATCACAAGGTCCCTCATAGCATCTGATTACAAACCTTGGATTGAAATGAATACAAGTCCTCAGAAGAATCGCAAGATTCTTGCTCAACCAACACGACCTGAATTAGCGTCATTGGCATTCTCCATCCTAACACTCATACCGTTGCAAGCATTGCACAAGTAAACTTTCTCAATCGAATATCTTCAGACCACGGAACTGAAGACGAGCAAATGTATTGGAGAAGATCTCCTATCACAGTATCCGTACGAGACACCTTCCTCGCCCGCACCAACGAACTCTAAAGGAGAGATCGCATTCGATCAGTACAGCACACGAAACAGTTTCGGATGCACACACCATCATGCGAATGCAGGATTCCTGCACTTCGATGCATTTCGACGTTCGGGCAACGGCAACGATGTCGTCATGTGGACAATCAAAAACAAAAGCTGCGCTAGACACTAATGTTGAAAGGCAGTGCGCTGCCATCGACTGGACTTCACTTCGTTCATCGGTCTTCATGTACTCTAGCATGAGCTTGATGAGCTGCTCATGTCGTATGCTGCTCTTGATCGACAACTGAGAAAGAGTTCTGAGGGAGACAAGAACGATGGGCAGCATGGGATAGCGATCCAAAACATCTGTGAGAAGAACCCAAGAATCCAACGCAGTGACAGGATCACCGCACATGTACTCCAGGGAGGAAATCAGCTGCAATCTTTGCATGAGAGGCGTTTCAAGAGCTAAGACGATTTCACGAATGAGACTGAGCGTGTCGCTTGCAAAGGAGATTGAGACTCGGCAAAGCTCTTTGATGCAGAATATGCAGGCGGAGACCTCTGATTCATTTGGAGACCGGATCGCGTTTCTGACATCGCTATGGATTCTCTTGTCATCAACAAGGAGGATCGCCATGCATGCAAACATCCTGATAGCGAGAGATCGCGCTGCTGGATCAATCTCGTTCTCAAACACATGATGCACTCTTTTCACCAGGCGCTCGGCGTTAAACACCCTAACCAGAAGTTTCCTGCACTTCTCAAAGACCTTCAGGACACAAAACCGGATGGTGTTATCGCCGCTCTTGAAGATATCACCAAGTTTCAGGAAAATGCTGTTGCAGACAGAGGTAGTCGGATAACTCGATAGAATGTTCACAAAGCTGGCAACTGCAGAACATCTGGAGGGAAATTATGACGGCAACGACTACTCAGAGGTTACCTGACGGCAGGAGTCGATGTCTTGCTATTCAAGAGCTTGTCCAACTCTATGATAGCACTCTGTATCTCATGTTAGATGCACGATAACGACAGAATTTCAAAGACTTCGAACCTGCTGCTCCCTCTCTGTGGTGACCGTGTTTGGAAGAACCATGGACAATTGTGTGAGGTAAAAGAACTAAGACCAGCAGCTCCGCTCAAACAAACAGTGAGGAGAGGGATGAAGAGGAGGAGGAGGGATGGTGCAGAAGATCTGACAGGATTCGCCAGCGTCCATGCGCGCCCTGCCAACTAAGATGGCCCAGCATGAGGCAGAGGACGGCGCAGGAGAGATGATCCGAGTCTGCCTCAGAGCAATGTATAGAGAGGTTATGAGCCTTCCACTCCTTTTTTGTGTGTAAAACTTTATATCGTGCTGTATGAGCTTGGATCGTTTCGGCCCGATACTACCAGACGCTTGCCATGGCGGCGTTAATGGACAAGTGAGAGGAAAGAAGAGCCGAAGGTGCGGGAGACCCTTGAACCCTCTGAGAACATGATCAACGTGTGTAATGGTTGACTGCCAACGATCTCAGTCGTGACCTCTTCAGTCTGTGTTCTGCACTCAGTCGTGACCTCTTCAGTCTGTGTTCTGCAACATGCTGATTGACGCCTACAGATCCCGCAATCTATTGGTACACACTTGAACTGGAGCTGTTCTGTTGGCTGCGAAGGCAATGTCGTTCTTCGACGTGTCAAAAGCTACAAATTCGTTAGAAGCATGGAGCAAATGGTTGATTGATAGAGTTCATCTTCTTATGCCTTCCGCTCCAAGTGATGAGCTTGATAAATTTTTGAAAAGTCAGCAGACACTGTAAGTTGCGATCCTGATACTGCAAACTCGTTAATGAATCATTTTTAGATCAATTCTTGACAAATATCTTGAGAGAGATAATCAGAAATTTCTTGTCATATGCCGTAATGGAAGCAAGTACAGTATCCACAACTCCTGCCCTCAAGATGCCTTCACTTCGGTACGCCATGGTCTGCATGAGCAAGGCTCATGACAAGGTTTCAGGGACTCTTGCTGACAAAGAGGGTGGCAAAGGAGGGGGAGAAGCAAATATTGAGTATCAGCATGACTCAGATAGATGGCAAAAGAACACTTCAAAACGCTTTGCACTTGGCTCGGGATTTGTATTATCCGCTGATCCGCCATGCTGCTGCGAGGGTATTGTACTTTGAGTGCGCTTGAGAGTTTGATCTCGGAGTCTGCAGGAAGGCTGGCCGGACGTGATTGCAAAAGAAATTCAAGAAGAGCTGCAACGATTCATGTCAGCTACCTACATCACAATAGGTGCCAACGAAATGCTGAGGTGACTTGAATGGGGGAGATGAAATGATGGGGTTACAAGGAAACATCGCCGGAAATACCTATCTGCCTTTGCCATACTTTGGGACTGAAGACATAGAGATCAAGGAAGAAATCAGTGGATACAACGACAAAGAAAGGTTGTGCTGAAATCATACTCTTGTGGAAAACTGATGATGTACATTTCGTGCATAGGATCCATGTTATAGAAAACTCGATAGTTCTTTGGACAAAGCAAATCAAAGATGTCTTGCTACTCAATCCCGAGGTAAACGTGAGAAAGTCCTGATTCAAACCTTACAATCGACCGTAGACCATCTTCAAGCAAGGCTTTCCCCGTCCAGGTGACACGACCATGTTTGCTTCTCTAGACCAGTAATGGCCTGAATGCGACAGAGGTGGAGCTAGAGTTTTGGTCCAAACAAGCCAAAAAGCTTAATTCGATCTCTCATCAGGTGCATGTCAAATAGTTCACCTCAGTACTCAGTACTAACTCGCATCTATTTGAAGTTGGAGAGCTCGAGATTTGATAAGATAATGCAAATCCTAGAAATAAGCAAAAGTACCTTCTTTCCAGGTTTTCCCTCTTGCGATATAGAAACTTGATTGACCGGTCTCTGACGGATTATTTTGAATGCAGCGTTCAGCAGACTATGCAAAGAAGTCAAAACAGCACAAGAAGAAGCAAATGACAATGTATTGTATCTTAGACCAGCCAACAAGATTTATTCAGCAATAATGGTTTTCTTCTTCATCCTTCTCTTGTCAGGATCTTACCATTTGTTATTTGCACAGGTTGACAGTGTAACTACGATGAGACAAAGGTTCAATGTCATTATGCATGTCACATTACTTGTTTGGAAGCACTCAAAATTCTACAACACGCAAGGTAGACTAGTCCTCCTTATAAGGGAAATTTGCAACGAGATAATCATCCGTTCGAGGAGGCAAGGAGTTGAATGTCTCATAGATACACTTGATTGACAACAATACCAGGTACATGGGGAATGAAATATGGACTTCGGAGCCTGAACATGCTATAGGGATGGTGTATGATGTTATCGAATCTTGCGAAAACTTCAAACAGGTCTATCAAAAATTCAAAGAAAGATCAATTGCAGAGTGTCCTGACAATCCATGGAGATTTCAAAATGACGTTCTCTTCGAAAAACTTGACAATTTTCTGGAAAGATGTAACGATGTCCTGAACCTGATGACCAACCTCAATGACTTTAAGACCTTGAAGTATTTAGAAATCGGGGGTTCAAAAGGAAAGACTTTAACTTCAAGTGTATATCAAATTAATTCAGATTTTGAGATCTGCGTCTTGAATTTTCAAAATGCCAACATCGACATATTTGATGCAGAATCGAGATTATTTGATGAATCGTATTTCGCATTCAAGATCAGGGTTGACGAGGTAGCCAAATTTGAGCTTGTTATTTCTGCGCTGATAGGTTTGTGCAGCTTGAGAGACGCCTTGCCTCTGTCATTGTTCAAGCATTCGAAGATTGCTCCACAATAATTGGAAAGTTGAAGTTGTTACAAAGCTTTGGAAACTTGTTGCATCGGGATGTGTTGCAAGCTGAGCTACAGTCAAAACACACGCAGCTCTTCCGGGAATATTTGCAGGTGACCCATGCTCGAGCAGTTTTGGCTTTAGTTATGATATCAGTGTTTGCAGGACATCCAGCAAGTGATAGAAATTTTCAACTCAGGCAAATCTCTCAGCCGTTTTCATTACAATTCTCCTCCTCATGCAGGTGCTGTCATGTGGTCACGTGGTCTGCTCGAAAGAATCCAAGAGCCAATGCTCAAGTTTCGACAGATATACAGCAAACAATTCAATAGGTCTGAAGGTCAAGACATCCAAAATTTGTATTCTACAACATCACATCAGTTAAGAGCTTTCGAAGACGAACATATATCACAATGGTCAGAAAATATTCTTAACATATCCGAGGAAAAATTGAAAATGCCATTGTTGAAAAGGATTTCAGGGAAGGATATGAACCTTTTGTCAGTCAACTTTGATCCCGCTTTAGTCTGTTTGCTGAGGGAAGTGAGGTACTTTGTTTCGCTAGCGATATCTGTTCCTGAAGCTGCTCGGACCTTGTTTTTGAATGAGGAAAAATTTAGAATACAGTCAGGAAATCTTGACCTGATCGTGGTGAGGTACAACAAAATTTTACAAATGTTGAGTCAAGTTGAAAAGAGGCTGATACAAACAAGAATAGATGCTATTGACAAAATTCTTGAAAATGGGTTGACTAATATAAATTGGAAAAGCCATTCAATCGACGAATTCATAACTCAGGCAATGTCAATGGTTGGGGAAGCATATCATATTGCTGAGTCCATGAAACATTACATGTCATATACACAAGATATTCTGCAATCTTGGATCGACAATCCCATGATACAACGGAAGACGATGAAAACGTATCTGCCCACAGACTTTTCCAAATTGCAGTCTTCAGTTATTGAACAAGGTTATGCTCATATCCGGAATGGCGGTCGAACGATTCATGACTATCTTGTTAAATTTCAGAATATGGTGGGAGCCAACAAGGGGTCTGCTTCCTTCAAGGCATATCTACAAAGTGTGGATCAGATCGTCGTAGAGGGACTTCGCCGTGCATTTCTCGCCAGTTTAACATACCTTTATCACCAAATTGATTCAGACAATCTGATAAGAAGTGATACTAATCCTCTCCTGGAGATACAACTCCTCCTTGAAAACAATCAGTTCGTATTTCAACCAACAATCTCTTCAACAGATGACAAGAAGGGCTTAAGAGACATGATTTTCTCTTGGATACACAGTTTTCAGAATATAGGAACCCTAGTACCAAGGGTAGATAACAACGTTGGATTCGATGATTACGATGTTGAATTGCATGACGACACATTTCTCAGAAAGATTCTGAAACAAATTGATACTTCTCTGGCTGCGAGTGAAGCTGAGTGTGATGAATTTCGTCTTTCGTTCAACGAATTCTCTTTCTTATGGATGTCTTCGCCATCAAATGCTCTAGAAAGTTTTTTAGAATATGAACGTGAAATCATTGACTCTGTTCCCTCCGTTTCAAGCTTTGAAAGAGAGATTTTCAAATATCGTCAGATTGAAGAGGAAATAAGATTTTTGCCTGGGTCTCAAGTTGTTGGTTGGTTGAAGATCGACACAAGGCCTCTTCGGCAAACCTTGCTCAACTTAATAGCTTCATGGCGATCAGTTTTTCAGGAGTACCCGTTAAATTTTGTCGAAAAGTCTGTTTCTGAAATGCTTCAATTTATTTCTGATACATCAAAAAATCTTGACTTGGATGTCTTTGAATTCAATTCCTTGGTGAATGTTTTGAAAAGCTTGAGAGACATCAAGCTCGTTGAAGCAAAGTTTACCATGAGGTTGAATATGATGCTTCCAATGTTGCAGATGCTTTCGAAACACGGCAGAAACATACCTTTTGAACTGATACAAGAAGCTGAGGGTCTCAAGATGAAATGGATCGAGCTTAAGAACAAAGGCGGCTTGGTCAAAGACAAGAATTCAGATCTGATCAGGAAAGAATCTTCTTCGCTCCAAACAAAGATAAAAGAGATGACTAAGAAGGTAGAAAGGTTTAGGTCGTATTTTCTGCATCAACTTCCAAACTCCTTTCAGGATGATAGTTCTACAGCATTTGCTCAACTTGATGCTCTGATATCCGCACCAAAGAATTCGATTCAAGTCTACCAGAAAGAAAGAGAACGACTCCTGCTGCTACAAGAGCTGTTTGAGGTTGAGATTCAGGACTTCCCTTCGCTACTCGAATGTCTAAGGGATGCACAAGTCGTGAAAACATTGTTGGATATCAATTCTTTACTTGTGAATACTTTGAAGCATTGGAAAAAACAAAGATGGTACGATGTATTACCCAAAATGATGGAAGTTGATATGATGGAGATTGACTCGATATTAGAAAATCTGAATCCCGAAGTTAAGAGGTGGAACCTCTACATTGAAATGCATAACTTGCTTGCTGAGCTGAAAATCACCATACCTATTCTGGAATCTTTACAATCCGAAAACATCAAAACTAGGCACTGGAAGCAAATTATGAGAGCAACGGGAGTTTCATTTGTCATTGACAACAAATTCGTTTTGGAAGAACTATTAAAGTTGAACTTGCACTTGTTTAAGGATGAAATTTCTCGCATAATTGTTCAATCTTCCCAAGAGCACGGAATAGAAAAACAGCTAAGGAGGATTGAAGACTACTTTAATCAATTGAAAATGCAAGGCTCTGACTCGAGTCAAACTTTCAACTTAAACCTGGATCCAGAAATCTACAGCGATCTTGAACAAAATCTCAATGTGCTACATACACTGGCTAGTTCCAAGTATGTATCATTCAACCAATATCTTCAAGAGGCTATTCACAGTCTTTTGGACAAACTTGGATTTGTGGAGAGGTTTTCTGAATATTGGAACACGGTGATCACGAAATGGCAATCGTTGGAGGGTGTTTATTCGAAATTCAAATTGAAAGAGGATTTTGATGAATATTATCACGTTGCAAGTGAATGGAAAAAGTACGTCGCTGATCTACCCCAGGATTTTACATCCCTCCACTCCGCAAAAGAGATAACTTTGCAAGCATTGTGGGGTTTTGTCAACAACTTCGAAAAGTTCGAAAAGAACCTGGAAGCCTTGCTCAAGTATCGAAGAAAGATTCATCCGATTCTCTATTTCCTTTCAGACAAAGATTTGATTAAGTTGTTGACTCTCGATACCAGGATTCAAAGTCTTGACGTGTATGTCAACATGTTATCACAGGGCATTCACGGACTTTCAATTAGAAAGGAGAACAATCATAATTTCCAAGTACGTGGAATAGTGAACAATGCAGGAGAGACACTTGCATTTCCAGAAGCAATCCTTCTATCCCAAGAAAATGATGTCAATGTATCAAACGTAATGGAGCATACGAAAAAGGTTATGGAAAATCGAATTTACAGCATGTACGTGGAATGCAAGCAAAAAGAAAGGTGGAAGACGTTTCAATCAATGTCTACACAAGAAATCCTTCATATTTTCAGCATTTTCTTTACAGAAAAGGTAACGAATGCATTGGAACAATGTGAAAAACCTGATTCCACAGGGGACATATTAGAAATATTGAGCTCAAACCTCAAGGCAGATCATCAAGAAACAGTGGATCTTAATGCACAAACATTGTCGCACATAGAACGTAAAAAGTACGCTTCTCTTGTTGTTGCAGGGCTGGCTCAACTTGACATAATGGGAACCTTGGTGAAATGTAGCGCATCTAGCAGAAGTTCCTTCGAGTGGCAATCTCAAAAGCGAATGTACATGAATTTCGAAACCTGCAAAAGTCACGGAGAAATTTTGAATTATAAGAGGGAGTATGGACATGAAGTTCTAGGGCATACTGAAAGAATCGTGTTGACACCGATGACTCAACGATGTCAAATCTCAATGGCAAATGCTGCTGGTCTCCGCCAAATAGGAGCTCTACTTGGACGCTGTGGGAATGGGAAACGTTCTATCCTGCAGGACATGGCCTCGTTCTTCGGCGAAGCAATCCGCTCACAAGTCTTCTTTGAAGACTGCAAAGATATCGTCGACCTGGTACATGCACTTTCCATCACAAACAGTTGGGCCGTATTTGAGGTGTCGATGTTGAAGTCAGTCGACGCGGCTGTTCTGTACTCTGCGATCAAGGAGACCTTACTTTTCTTGAGACGAAACATTAACGTCAATAGAGGCGAAGCCGATACTATCCTACGCAGCGCTTCTTCTTCTCCCACGTTTTCTGTTCAACCTCAATTCTTTCTCACCATCGACGTAGATGCATTGAACTACCTTTGGCATCCCTCAATCAAAGGAGATCTAAGAGCTTGCACTGTCTTTGAAGTTCACCTTGAAATTGTCCTCAGTACAAAATTGCAAAGTGAAGGCTTCCAAAAACATGTAATGCTCACCCATCGACTGTGCAGTCTCAAAGAGATAATCGAGAATCTGGTATTAACGAGAGTGAGCGTCAGCCTGTTGAAAGCTCTGATATGGAAAGCTAAAACCATTATCAGTGCAGGTTTGCTACAAGATGAGATTTCTGCATTTGTCATCGCTGTGGAAGAACTTCTGAGTCAGAGGTTCGATCTTCAGGAGCATACCAATGCGCAAATAATCTCACAAGTGTTTGGAGAACTGAGTCTTGAGACAAGTCCGACAGACAAAACTTGGGTGTATCGCGATTTTAGAGCAAAGACGATCTGCTTTGAACAAGCAGCGCAAGAACACCGATCTATATTTGTCATTGGACCTGCAAATAGTGGAAAGTCTTCCATCATTCACTCATACATTGAATCTAAGGTTCAAGCAGGCAAGAAAGTGAAACATCTCTGCATGAATCCAAAAGCAATACAGACAGCTCACATGGTCGGTTATTATCGAGATGGGATTTGGATGGATGGAGTATTGACATGCGCATTGAAGGATTTAGAGCAGGATGCCGTGCACGATATGAAGATTCTAATATTCGATTCTTTGATGGATCCAGTCTGGACTGAGATGATAAAGCCTTTGATTGACACCAAGAGGTTCTTTCAGTCAAAGAACCAAGAGAACATAGCCATCAATCCAGACACAAAAGTCTTCTTTGAAACACCGGACCTTCAGTTGTGCGCGCCATGCATCGTTGGAACAAGTTACATCTCTTTCGTGGGAGATGATTGTGTACCCTGGAAAGCATTGATTGAATCGTGGGTATCAGAAACTCCGCACAAAGAAATTCTCAGGGAATTTTCTGAATTCTATCTGCCCAAGATTGTGAATTTCTTGGAAGAGAACGAAGACATGATCACAGGATACCATCTGAAGAGCAGAATCAAGGGTCTGATTGAAATATTTGACCTGATTGCACAAATCAATGTCGAAAAACTTGACAGAGAGGAGCAAACACTTGAGAAGGCAAAATCTCTGGAGGGTGTTTACATTTTTTCTTGTTTCTGGGCATTGTTTGGGTGTTTTGACTGTGAGTCGGCGACAAACTTTCGGAAGAAAGCAAACTCTTTCTGGAAAGAGACTTTTGACAGGGTGATTTTACCCAGCGACTTGACAATTTTTGAAATTTGCTTTGATTTCGTGAAGCGTGAATTTGTCCCTTGGCAGTCACAATTATCAGTTTACTTTGACATCTCGCAATCTAACTTTGGGCAGCTGTTTGTCCCAACCCCTGAAACAGTGCCATATTCTTTCCTAACTTCAATGCTTGCATCATGGAACAAGTTTGTACTGTTGAAAGGAAGGCCTGGATGCGGCAAGAGTTCTCTTATCCGCGAGACGTTAAGAGTGCTTGACCAAGAGGTGTTCTCAACTGAGTACATGCTCTTTCAATGCACTACCAGTGCAGAAACACTTCAACAGAAATTTCAGGGAATGCTGGTGAGGTCTACAAAGAGGTTCTGGTATCCCCTTAGTGGAAAGAAGCTCATCATTCAAGTAGATGACATGAATTTGTGCGAGCGAGACAGGTATGATTCGCAGAATGCCTGTGAATTTCTGCGGTACTTCTTGAAACATCGACAATACTATGAAGGATTGAGCTCTATAAGCGTCAATGTGAAGGATGTTGTAGTAGTTGGAAGCTATACACCATTCCCAGGATTTGCTTTGAGTCAAAGGCTAGAGAACAAATTCATCTCCTTCACGATTGACAACCCCAGTGACAACGCATTGCACACCATCGTTACCACTCTCGCGCTCACTCACTTCAACACTTTTGAAACCAGAATCAAATCATTCATCTCAGAAGCGATGGTGTGGGCAACCATCAACGTTCATCATATGGTGAATGAATGCTTCAAGGCTGTTGGTGAAAGGTTTCACTATGTGTATGGATTGAAGGACATTTGTGCAGTGATGCAAGGAATGTCTAGAGCTACAACGAGGTTCTTCGATTCTCCTGCTTCGTTGATCAGCTTGTGGATACATGAATGTGAAAGAGTGTACAGTGACAGATTTGTTTCCAAGTCTGACTTTCAAATTTTTAAAAAGAAGTTGAACGATGCTTGTTTCAAATGGTTTGATGAGTATGACGATGATATTAACATGATTGTCTCCAAAAACAATCTTTACGCACCTTTGGTTCTGCAGGGGCTCGAGCCAGGGTCTGAACTAGACCAAACCATGTATTCCGTAATGCTGAATATGGACAAAGCTAAGCGAGTTGTTGCGGAGAAGCACCTTGAGTTTCAAAGATCTGCCAAGTTAGCACCATTCGTCACTTTGACGCATTCACTTTCACACATCACCAGGCTGACAAGAGCAATGACACAACCGTCTGGCCACGTCATATTCCTTGGCTCTCATGGGAGTGAACGACGAGTTCTGATTGCTATCAGTGCTTACATCCTTGGTATCGAGCTAGTGAGCGGCAAAGGCTCTTACGATGATTTCTGGAAGGCTTGCAAACGCTGGCATAAAGAAGCTGGTCTACATTCAAAACAAGTCGTGGTTGTACTGGAAGATGATGACCTCTTAGATTGCAAGAAAGTCTCCCTCACCCAAGAGATCATTGCAACAGGGTACGCAAGCTCATTTTTTGATCGACAGCAGAAAGAAGATCTCTGTAAACAAGTCAAACCAAGGCTGAATGACAGCGGCATCATCGACAACGCAGACAACTGCTGGGAATATTATCTTACAGAAGCGAGAAAGAATTTTCATTTTAGTCTGTGTTTTGCTAATGATTCTGAGTTCCGGAAAGTTTCAGTCAGTCGTTTTCCAAGCTTATATCAAGGAATAGTGATTGACTTCTATCATCCTCTCGTCAAGGAAAATCTGATAGAAATGGCCCAGATGTACCTTAAAAGTGACTTGCTTGTTCCAGAATATTTAAAGGACAATAGTGCCCAACATCTTGCCTTTGTGTTTGATTTCTTTCGGTTTTCTAGTATTTCTTCTACCATGTATCTGGATAAATCTCCCTCTGGTTTCTTGAATTATGTTTCTGAATTTCAAGCACTGCTGAGACGTAAGCATGTTGAAAGTCAACGACGGAAGGTTAGGATTCAGTCAGTCTTACACAAGCTTCAGACTGCAACAGAGAAAGCTAAGTTCCTGGAGCAGAGGCTCCAAGATGACTTGAGAGATCTTCAGGACAAGAGCGACATTGCCGAGCAGAGCTTGCAATCCTTGAGCCATGAAACTTCGATTGTGGATGCCGAGAAAGCATCAGCGTCTGAAGAGGAGGCCGTCCTTGTCTCTTGTACCTCCGAGTTCGAACGACAACAGCAGCAGTACCTGGAAGAGCACAAGTCAGTTGATCCTTTTGTCACCGAGCTCGAAAGCTCCTTGTCCCTTATAGACAAGAAGTCTCTGAATGAACTCAAGGCACTAAACACGCCTCCTAACGGTGTAGAAGACGTCATCTTGGCTGTTGCCGTCATCGTCAACAAGGGAACTGTTCCCAAAGAGGTCGGGTGGAACTTCTGCAAGAAGGTGATAGCAAACAGCGAGCAGCTGTTGAAAGCCCTAAACTCAATCAACGGTGAGAACGTGTCAGATGCTGCTGTAGCATACTGCGAAGCCAACCTCGTCAAAAAAGACTCTTTCAACCCCGACAAGATCAGAAGCAAGAGCGCGGCAGCCTCTGGAATGTGTGCCTGGGTGATCAGTCTTTGCAGGTATCACAAGGCATTCCAGGCCGTGATGCCGGCCCGTAAGAAGCTTGATGAAGCAGCAGGCAACATGCAGAGACTGGAGGTGAGGATGGCAAACGTTCACTCTCACCTGCAAGCCATGGACGAGAAGCTGAGCCACCTGACGAGTCTCTATCAAGCAGCGCTCGCCGAGAAGAACAAGGCACAAGGAGTGGTGAACGACACCCGGTCTCAAATCGACGTGGCAAAGAAGATGATGGACATCTTGAGTGTTCAGAGTGATCGATGGACCATGAACATCAAAAGAATCGAGTCTGATGATCAGTTCATCTTTGGGGACACCCTGCTGTGCGCTTCATATCTTTCGTTCATGGGAGTTTGCAACCGAGTGCAAAGAAAAGAAATCTTGTCGTCTTGGAAACTGGATCTAACAGAGAGAGACATCGCTGTGTCAAAGGAGTTCAGCATCACGAGAAACCTGCTGAGTGAGGTCGAGATTGATAGATGTCACCTTTGGAAGCTCCCTCAAGATTCTCTTGTACTCGAAAATGCTGCGCTGGTGCTGCACAGCCTTCAGACGCCGGTGATCCTTGATCCTGATGATGTTTTCTTGAGATGGCTGCGCAATCACTTGGGTCTGCAAGAACAAGGAGTGGCTCATGGTCAAACTTCCGAGGTGGTATGGTGCAGCTGTCATGACAAAAATTTCGTCGAGAAAATCGATGCTTGCATCACATCGGCGAAGATGTTGGTAGCCTTTGACTTGCTGGATGACATTCCAGACAGCCTGCTTGGGTATCTCAGTAAAAAGAACAACATTTACTTGCATACACGATTGGAAAGGCCGAGGTTCATCAGCGAGCACTGCTCCGTACTCACAGTCATAGACTGCAAGCTAGATTCAACATCCTTTGAGGCAATCTTGCAGGAAGTGATCAACCGAGAGCTCGACTTTGACAACTACAAGAAGGTTTTGAGTCAAAAGGAGGAACAGATCGAGTTGCTCGGGAAAAGAGAATCCTGTGAGCAAGAGCTTCTCAGCCTCATAGCGGACTCCAGTGGAGACGTTCTTGAAGACCCAGGTTTCTTGGAGAATTTGGAGAAATTCTGGACAAGATTTCAGGCAGCTGGTGAGGAGTACGAAAGAAGTACACTTCATCAGGAAGAAATTCGATTGCCTGCGGAGTATTATGAGGTTTCCTATCGCGGAACGCTGCTTTACCAGCTAGCTCAGAGGCTGGTACACTTGGACAGCACTTACATGGTCTCCACTCCTCAACTGTTGACTTCGTTTCTGCGAGGTCTGAGGAGTGCTTCGGATGATGAGGCACATCAGAACAAGGCGGACCCTGACTGGAAGCTGCAGAGCTTGATGCTAGCAACCACGTTGCACATGTGCAGGTTGGTGGTTGCTAGCCTGTCGAGCACTCATCGGTTGCCTTTCTTGTCGTTTGTCACGCTGGAGGTGTCGGCGGCCAAGGACCCATGGGCCTCGCAATGCAAGGGCTTTCTCTTGAGGAAGCAGCGAGCGCAGGCGACCGAGTCGTCACCCTTCCCTTGGCTGCACGAGTCCCAGTGGTCGCAGCTCTCCGACCTCGAGGACTTGGCCCTGCCCCCGCAATCCGGTTCCTCTACTTTGGTGTTGAGGCCCTTTGCAGGGTTCAAGCAGGAGATGCTAAGGTCCTCGGGCCGCTTCCGAGAGTGGTACCTCTCTGACAGCCCTGAGCACGCCTCGCTGCCCGGAGACTGGCGGCAAATAGACGAAACATCCATGATCGCCCTCGTCTCCATCCTGCGACCTGACCGCCTGCCACAAGCGTTGGAGCAGCTCGTGAGAAAGACACTCGGCCTGGGGTCCCTGTCCACGATCCTCAACTCCGATGAAGCTGTCAAGGAACAGGGCGACAGCAAGCATCCTATCTTCTTCATCGTCAACGAGGACGAAGACGTGGAGGAGCTGGTCAGGGCAACTTTGCAGTATGCTGGCCTGATGCCATCGGGTCGGAAGATGAGATCGATCATCCTGTCGGACACTGACATGGATAGACTAGACATATTACTAGAGGAAGAGCTTGAGGGGGACCATGTTGTTCACCTCCAAGATGTGCAAGTTGCAAGCAGATGGTTGAATCTGAGCTTTCCGCTCTTTCTCTCGAGGCTGAGACAAGGAACATTGCCTTGTATTTTGATTCTATCCGGAAAACGAGCCGCGATCACTGAGGTGATTAGTGGAACCTGCTTGAAGGTTGACAGGACAGCACCAAGGTCACTGCACTCATGCTTGAAGATGAACGTGCAGGCTGTCGGAGACAAGATCGATCTGGAGCACTCTTCTCCTACCTCCAGGAAGATGATGTTTGCCCTCTGCGTCTTCTACGCGGTCATCGACTTCCGCAAAAGCTTCCGGGAGGTCGGATGGAACCATCGGTACTCCTTCGGTCTCGACTCCTTGCTTGTCGCTTGCGAGTTCGCCTCCGACGTCGCTGAAGGCTTCGCCATCAGCCCCTGGCAGCACCTCAGGCACATGGTTGTGCGGCTCACCTGTGGCGAGGAGATGTCAGATGGTATAGATGAATCTGTGCTAGACGCCTATTGCCACAAGTTTGTTTCCGAGAGTCTCCTGTCCAACTTGGAAATCCTTCCTGGTTTGAAAACTCCTGGAGCTAGGTACGAATGGAACGACATTGTGGGTCAACTTCAGCAGGAGGAAGTCCTCCATTCCCCCACGAGCATCGGGTTGTTCAAGTACGCGGGGCTACGGCAATCCCTGGAGGAGTCTCAAATCCTGCTGGAATGCATCGGATCTTTGCAGCTCGAGGCCTCCGGGAGCAGCAGGAGCAGCGAGGAGGCGCTCACCATAGCAGACGAGATCCTCGACAAGATCCCGGAGGTGATCAGCGTCGAGAGCGCAAGGAAAGACCCGCTCTCCTTCTTCTTTCTCAGCGAGATCGATCGGCTGAACCGGTTGACCTCCAAGATGACGGTTGACGTCACCAAGTGGCGGAAGGGGCTGAAGCAGCAGCTGCTGTCAGCTGACGAGAGCGGCTCGGTGGGCAGCATGGCAAGTAACATGGTGCCGACGGCATGGGAGGCGATGGCCTACCCCTCGCTGAGGTCTCTGTCGTCATGGCTGGCAGACTTGAAGGAGCGACACGGTCAGCTGCGAGACATCGCGAGCTCCGACCTCGAGCCGCTGAAGGCGATCTGGTTGCCCGGCCTCTTCTGCCCTCAGGCCTTTATGCATGCCGTGCGAGTGTCGCTCGCCAAGACGACGAGCATGGCGGTCGAGGCGACTGAGATCGAGGCAGCCGTCTTGTCCGGGGAGAGAGCAGCCCCAGGAGCCTTCGATGGTGAAGCGTTTCATGTGAGTGGCATCTTCTTGGAGGGTGCGCGATGGAGCGAGCAAGACGCGAGGCTCGAGCTCGCGTCCGAGCATCACACCAGCTGCAGCAGAATCGCTGACGTCAGTCTGACTCCTCGCAAGGAGAGAAGCAAACCGAGCCTCTCCCTCCCCGTCTACCGCACTCGCATGCGCGGGAACTCCTACCTCTTCCACTTGCTCTTCCCTTCCAACGAGCACAGTGCTGCATGGCTCATGAGCGGGGCTGCCGTTGTACTCGACGTTGAAACTTCAGCTCGAAGTGAGGGAGGTCCTAGTGTGAGGTAGAGAAGTAGGTGACGATGAACATGGTACTTTAGTAAATCTATTTCTTCCTCATCAGCTGTCTGAAAACTTTGTTTGCACGTGTTCCTTCATGCGAATCACATTCAACTGCTTCTGCATTGCTCGTTCGTGGCGGATATTCCTATCGACCTGGAGCAGAACGTCAACGAAGAGAGAGGTGCATGGGGAACTTGTCCTCACTTCTTCAAATCGACTAACTCGGGTATTCGTCTTAGCAAACAACATTTCCAGTATCTCTTGAATGTGCGAATGCACGTCGTTGAAGCTCATGTTTCTCACAACTGCACAACTTTAGGACACAAACATGGTGATTGAACAAATACCTAAAGACTTCTCGCGCAGCCTCCTCGTTTCTTCGCTGCAATCCTCCCTAATGGATTTCCTCCTTTCAAGTCCAAGTCATTATCATCACCGACCCTTCCGTCTCTCATACTTGGATGTTGCGTCTTTCGAGTCTTCCTTGCCCTTCGCTGTCTCCACACTCTCATCCGATTGTCTTTTCCGCTTCCTTTCGCTCTCCACCCTTGAGATGACAATCATCCTCACGCACTCATCTCTCGAGTCTTTTACCTCTCGTGATCTCCATTCATCATGTACGTCCCAACCTTTCCCATCGGTATGACCGAAGCTTTCGACAGGTCGAAAGTATCCAGCTGAGGGAACAGTCAGCACCCTCATCGCAACTGCGTCGGAGCGTCACGTCATCCAGCTTAGAGGTCTCCATGTACTTGCACTCTATCGCTTCTTCGATCAGCTTCACCTGATCCCAGACAAGCGTAAGGCAATAGCGGCACTTGGCAACTCGCTTACTTCGTCATCGCTGACCACTCGGTACTGGGTTGGGAGGAGCTGCAAGGTCACCATCCCCGCACATCCGCAGAGCTCCACGTCGAATATGCCAGCCTAGGACAAGACTAGATCACACGGGAGGGAGCGGAAGGCGGGTGACACACCTGCAGGTTGTAGATCTTCTTGATACACCCTCGATTTCTTCTCGCCTCGTCGCAGATAAGAACGATGAAGCTGCCAACTTTTGGCACTGCCGTTCCATCATACGGCCATTGGAGAACTTCAAGCCTGCATGATTCGATCAGCAGCGAGCTTCATAATTCGTTCTCGGACCATCTCAAACTTGGTTCCCGGCGAATTTCTTCAGCTTCCCCTTCGTGATGGTCGCTTTGCCGTTCATCGGACATAGTTTCATCTGCGACAGGCAGACTTGTTGAAGATTCGGACCCTGACGAGATCGCTACATTCACGTCAGGAACATCAACTCATCTTCCACGTCATCACCATTGATCGCCGCGTCGTATGCACCTTCCAAATGAGGGCTTTCTTTCAAGCTTGCTAACCAAGGAAACCATCTTGGCGACCAATCACCCGGGAAATATTTTCGATCTTCACTCTGATTGACTGGTTTGAGAGGATAGCAATCCTTCGTGATAATGTAAGCTTTCAGAGGCGACGTGAACGTAACCCTTTATCACCTCAATGAACCTGTCGGCGATCGGCAACCTTGCGAAGTGCAACACGCATTGCTGCATCGTCTTGCCTCCCACACATTGTGCCACAACATCCCAATCATCCCCACAGCTTCGACAAGGGATTAGAAATCGAAGCTCACGTTCAAGGCTCACCGGTGAACCGCGTCTACTAATCGATTCGTTTCTTCTTCAGTCCAGTCATCGAATGAAGGCCTGTGAATGCATGTCATTAGACAGAACCATCACTTGTCAAAGGACGAGATTACTTGGATGCTGTCAGAGGATCGCTCAAAACCTTTTTCTTGAAGTCCGATGCCGCCATGTGCATGGGAAGCATTCCCGTGCTGATTGCTAGAGGAGAGAGGTACACTCCCTGCCACTTCTGGGAGGAATAATGCATCCTTTGCAGCGGTTCTCCTGTCACTGTACAGTTCCTGATATTCTTGCTGGGTCCTTGCTCAGACAAAAGCTTTGCGATTCCCCTCGGCGTGTCGAAGTTTGAGAGGCAGAACATCGCCTTAGAGAATCGCACTCGAGCGTCAGATTCGGTGTTGATGATTCCCCAGTAATCCAGGAAGGAATGTACACGGAAGACAGTGGATGCATCTGCTGAGACGTGCCGCAGGCAGTCTGTTGCATATAGAGGGACTTGGGGGAAATCCCGATAGGTCTCAACAATCTTGTTCCTTAGAGAGATGTAGCGACTGACATCAACTGGCGTTTGGGCATACTCAGGGAATGCAGACTTCTCGATCTGATGCATTTTGCTGATGTCAAACCAAACAGAGTAGCTAGGGAGAACAATCTGGAGTAGAAGAGAGTCAGCGGCACAACAAGTAAGGGATCCTATGAACCGGATCCTGTAGGCTCAAGTCACTTGCAGAGTCGTTGGAGGCAACCGCTGCATGTGTGTACTCTCTGGCGGCCATGACCTGCTCTCACTTCAACTTGAGAGGAAGTCAACCATAACTGAACCTGTAGTGGTATCGGAGTTGTAGTATTCTTGACATTCTTGGATGGCACAGCAACATTCTTTGACTCCACTTTGGGAGTAATTACATTGATATTCGACAGCTGATTCGAAGAAGCTGCCTGTGTGTTGGTCGCTGGGACATGCTGGGTCATGACAGGTTGACTCTGTTTGTTAGTCTGAGTCTGATAGATCGTCGAGCTTCCTGATGGAGTTGCTATCTTGTGCTCCTGCGATTCTCGACTTTCATCAGCACTGCCAGCTTGTTTCTTGGAATCCTGTAATTCTCTCAGATTGCGAGCACAGAGAGCCAAGGTATACATTCTTCTCTATCGAGTTTGTCTCTTTCACGTTTGAAGATTTGGTCGACGGCGTCGAGGTGGAGTCTGCCGCCTTCACAGGGGTAGCCTCTTTCCCCTTCCTCTCTGACTCCTTCTCTTTCTTCGGGGTTTCAACTCTCTGCGATCCCTCATTTGCCTCCTGCTTCACAGAGTCTTGCTTCTCAGATGGTGTTGCTGAATTTTTCGTTGATTCTCCTGAGGATTTCTTCGGCGTCGTTGTCCTTGAATCTTTTTCTGTGGCAGAATCCATGCTGTCTTCTACATCTCGGACGCTCCTTGTAACCCCTTTCTTCTTTCTCCTCGGAACTGGATCAGAATTTTGCATCTACAAAGCATGAAAAAATCAGTTGCATACTCATGAAAGATTCTCCTGTTCTCAGACATCCGTACTTTCCTCACTGCTCCTTCCTCCTCTGCGGCCTGTCCATGCTGCGCGGCTGCCCTCTGACTGCTCTATCCCTGCCTACTTCCTTCCCCCTGTCTCTCCTCGCTGTGCTCCTGAGAGATCCTCGGTTGTAAGCTCCTCTCCCTCCCTCCCTCCCTCCCCGTTCCATGCTTCGTTTCTCCCTTCATTTCCTGCCATCCCATCCCTTCCCTCAGTCGTTTTTGCATCTTCCCCGCCTCTCACTTGTCCACCTACCCTACCCCTTCCTGGTCAGACAGTATGTACCCCTTAATTTCCCTTTCAAAAATGAGAATTTAGCTACCAGGGGTAGATCACCCCCACCCCACCCATACAACTCTCTCGCAATGCTCGTGGTTGGAGGCGCCGCTGATGGGACGGAGAGAAGAGGAAGGGGATGGAGATGAAGCAAGAAGACGCTCGTGCTACAGGGTGAATGGTATGAACGAAGGAGGATGAGCACGAGGAAGAGGGGAGAGCACTCGGAGGGGGCAGGCAGAGTTGCTTCTGATGTATCTTAGTTTCTGCTGCTCGTCAACTTGGCAGTCCTGGATGTCTGACGGTCCCCTGGTTCTCACAGCTCAGCGACATGAGTCGAACTTGACCGGATCCTTCTTGGCTCCACGATGACCAGGCTTCTGACACCTGAAGTGCAAGTCCCATTAAGCGAAAGATTACACGCGTTGAATATATGAATGTAGATCGGAATGATGCTCGCATGCCGCTCAACGCACCTTTGCCATGCCCTCCTCTCCTACAGCTATGGCAAAAACAGCGTCGAAGCCTCCGGCTGAGTGCTGAGTCAGACCTGAGAGCAGGAGAGGGAGCATACCTCCAGGAACTCCTGCTGCGAGGACGTGAGGGATCTTGGTGGTCATGTCCAAGAGGTTTGTCTAGTGCCGACAGAGTGAGGACGAGCGAGCAAGAGCATAGGGGGACATCACCTGAGGTGGAGGCTCAAGCGGAACTCCTGCCATCTCTCCCATCTGTCTCATGGCCGCTCTCACCTCAGCCATCTCCTCCGCAAACTTCTGGATAGCATCGAGACACTCCCTGCACTCCTCGCCCGTCTGCTCCTCGGCGCCCTGCCTCATCTTGACATACAGAGAAATCGCCTTGCTGTAAGTCTCCTTGTTGCTCTTTGAGAGCGCTGTCACGTCCGAGAGAGCCTTCCCAACCTGACAACCACTGAGAACAAACCCCGCAAGGAACCAGCGAAATGCTCACCCTTGCGTTCATCGAAATTATCCTCTTCCAGTGGTTCTGAGCTTCCTCCGTGGAGACCCTCCTAGGAAAGAATCTCAGCAACACTTCGGCATCTCCGACAGGTCTCAACCATTTGTTGATCGCAGACACCATAGAGGGAGTCGACGAGCCTCCTCCTCTCACGTCACCCACAGCCAAGAAGAACCCGGCAGGGAGCTCCCAAGCAACCACGTTGTGATCGAAACCATCCGACTGACAGGAAGGGGTTACAAGGGATGGAGGTTGAAGCGAGTACCTTAGTGATGAGCTGACTTAGACTCTTCCGGTTGATCACGTTCTCTTCATCTTTCTTCACATCCAAGACTGAGGGCGAGAATCGGACGTATTGAATGCTTCCTACACCGTCAACTCGTCAGAGCATTCCAGCACAACAGGAGCAGGTAACAACCGAAGACTGCTGCTGCAACATCGAAGCCACTTCCAATCTTCCCTTGAGCTATGCAATGACAATACTGTGCCAGTTTGTGCAGAGTCTCTTGACCTTGAAAACTTGGGTCCTCAGGTGAAGAATTTGGACCTGGGAGTTCCACCACATGGAAATGCTGCAGCAGTGCAGCAACTAAGGAGGTCACGAGGGCAGCAGAACTTCCTAGACCAGTCTTCTGCACTTCAGCAGCATGCTCAGCAGCACCATCTGCTTGTCTTGCAATCTTTGGAAACCTGGGAACTTTATCATAGTCTCCATCGATAGCATAAAAAGATTTGTCTCCATTGATCGAAATTTTGATGGGATTGAAAGTTTGCAACTGCTTCTGCTCTGCAATGAATGCAAATGTGTTCAAGACAGTTGACTCGATGTAACCGTTCCTCTTCAGACCCTCACGTTGAGAGATCGATAGGCTCTCGCCCTCCATTTTGAGCGTGTAGACGCGTGTCTCCTCCATTTGGGGGGAGTGAACAACCACTGAATTGCATGGGAACTCTTCTCCATCAGCGATGTCCAGAACTTGCGTATAAACTCTTGCCGACACTGCGGCAACGATGGCTGGATTCGGTCTTTCCAACACTACATACCCACCAGCGATCATTACCTGCAGGAAGGAAGCAGTAAGCATTCATTGTGAGCTCATGTACTAAACAATCCACAGATTCAAACAGAGTGTTGTGCTGGACTTGATCCTCCTCCTCTCCCCTCATTCCTGCACGCACCTTCCCTGGCGCCGATGCGACCGTCTCCCCCGCCGCCGCCATTCTGCTTGTATGTCGTGGGGCCTTCTTTTACTCAACGATGGAGCCCGCCTCAATCTAAAGCTTGTTTTTTGAATTTTGCCCGCCCAATGGCAGGCCCCGCGGCCCGGGCCCGATCAAACTGAGCTCCGGGCCCGGGCCTCAGGGCCTCGGACAAGCCCGGCCGACTTTATTACAGTTACACTACTACTATCTCACTGCTGAGAGTCACACGAGACGTGTACCCCTACCCCATTACCCCATGGTTTTTTAAGGGGTCATTGCTCGGCGGCGAGGTGGGTGGTAATGTACCAACTAATAGCAGTCACTTCCCTCACTAAAATCAACGAGGTGTGTTCACTAGGACAAAGTAGAAACGAACGCTGAGAGCAACGCGCAGGATCGTCCCTGCTCCTTCTGATCGGACCTGTGCTCTCCTACCCTCTTCTTTTCTCCTTTCTCCCTCTTCCTCCGTCTTCCTCCCTCTCAACCCTCGTTGAGAGGGAGGGCTCACTTTTGCCTCCGTATTCCTTCTCGACCTCCTATCTCCTCCCTGACCATGAAGCTGTACCCTCTGCGCATGGTCACATAGCTTATGAACCCTTCTGAATTTACAGTATAGCATGCTGGCTGTAGTCAGAGCCATCTTCTTCAACATCGCGCTGTGCTCATTGCTTTCAACAGATGGCAGCAGAGTTCCAGTCATAGATGTTCGCTGGCCTTCGCATCTTCTCGTCTTGAAGAGATCGGTCGCCTCTGCTGAGGTTCCGTTTCGTCTCCACCTGAGCTCAGACGATGAGCCTCATTGTGAGGGTTGGGTGTATCGCCTGTACACGACAAGCCGGGAACCTAGCATGGAGGATGCAGTGCAGGGGGCCGGGAGCCCTGCGAGCAATGCTCACGACATATGCAGGCACTGCGAGCGGTCAGGCGATGGAGCGTACGCGTGCAAGATGAATGCAATCAATCTCACGCAAGGGCACTTGTGGTTCGGTACATACCTGGAGCACGAGGCGAGAGCTTCAGTATCGGGCGGGAGGCTGGTGGTGTGGCATGAGATGGAAGTGGTGTATGGGGCTAAGCTCAGCCTCAAGCTGCCAGCGCCAGACAGCCATCTTGTGCCCTCAGATCAAGGGGAAGTAGAGCTCACGGTCGGTTACAGCGCTGAGCTCGGGAGCAGTGAGCACGTGGTAGCATTCTACTCGGTTGAGATTTGGTTTGGGGATGCGCGGTTAGAAGCAGCGAGAGATACAAGAGAGAACGGATGGGAGTTGACAGAGCAGCTGTTGAGAGGAGAGATCATCGATCGACATAAGATCAAGGCAAGGCCTGGCTGCTACGAGCTGAGGGTCGTTTTGAGTTGTACGTATGCGTTGCCAGACGAGGACGCAGACGAGACGTCGCATGTGGAGGAGATGATGAGGGAAGTGTGCATTGAAGGGGAGGAGCCTGAGGGGGAGGGCTGGGAAGGATCGCTCTCGCCCAAGGTGAAGCTGTTCTGTCAGGACATGGCGTGTAAGTGTGAGCTGGACGACACTTGCCGCGATGACGACTACGAATGTGAAAGCCCGACCTTTCCGGACATGCTGCAATACACGGAAGATGCGATGATCAACACGAACAGGTACTTGAGAGGAGACTTCTCTTTCGACCAGGTGGAGCATGCGTTCGACATGAAGGTGTTTGTGTTGAGCCTTCCTGGGAAAGAACAAAAGCGACGACACATGGAAGGCTTGCTGAAGGCAGCAGGCTTCAGGAATGTGAGCTTTCCGGCACTCACCCTCAAAGAGGAGATCGATGTAGAAGCGTTGATCAGCTCTGGGTGGGTAACGCGGGAGGGGGTGGAGCTCATGTCGATCACGCCATGGACGATGCATGGTGCGCTGAAGCCGTACATCGCTCGGGCGATGGACAACCTCCGGGTGTTGGAAGAAGGTCTATCAAGCGGGGCAGAGCTGATCGGAGTGTTCGAGGACGACCTGATGGTGCATGACGACCTCCCGTCTCTCAACTTGCGGATCAAAAGAGCGCTGGAGGAGCTCCCGGCCTCGGCAGACCTGCTGTACCTGGAGTACTGCTTCGAGAAATGCAGCTCACACTGCTCGGAGCCAGGGCTCGCTCACATCAGCCGGGCACATCGGCCTCGATGTACAGGAGCGATAGTGTTCACTGCTCAGGGGGCGAGGAAGGTCCTGCACCTGTGCAAGCCCGTGTTTGCTGCTGTGGACAACATGCTTCCGATGTTGATCGAGCGGGGGCACCTGGAGGCGTACCTGCTGAGGAGACCAGGTTTCTTTCAGGTGAGGGGGGAAGGGTGCTATGCTAGCGTGACTGTATTGACGGACTTGTTGTGACGCAGGACGCTTTCTGGGGCTCAGATGTCGATCGACAGACTCGATTTCCTCACAATCCGAGGCAGCACGCTCCGATTGCCCCAGTCTGCGAGGAAGATTGGTTCAGGCATTCCAGGTTCTCAAGTATGTACAAGTTTTACGTGGCGTCAGTGGTAGGGAACATGACATCAGACAACTCGTACGTCGACAGTGTGTATGGGAGCGTGGATGCGGCAGTCTCAACTTGCATGCGACAGGCTGAGGGGGACGTGGTCCTGTTACCGAGAAGCTCGTATCACGTCTTCCACTCCATTCCGTCTTGCTCGCTGATGGTGGATCAGCCTCAATGTCTGCTGTCCCACGTCGCCGACTTGGCTCCTCGAGTCGAAGTGTTTTGCGATGATCCTGTCCTGGACGGCAGGATTTCGGGGGTTTGCTCAGTTGCTGAGAGCCATGAGCGGTTCATGTTTTCGATGTGCGAGGATGCGGAAGGAACGGCTCTGATTCTTTCTCCGAGCAATGACTGCTATCGGTCACGCTCTTGTCACTTTTCTCTGCTCTCGCAGGACGTGGAAGCGGACTATCGAGCTCGGATGAGCCTGCATCGAGAGTTGAGTATCATGGTGTTCGATGACCTCGAGCGAGAGCGGCGAGAGGTGTGCTACTTGCTTTACGGGGAAGCGCTCACAGGAGAGCACCTCGAGTACCTGCGGACAAGGCTTGCGGCCGATGAGTCAGGGGGGAGGCTGAAGCAAGGCATCGTGAAGCTTGTGTACTCGAGGCAGCTAGAAGGAGAGGGCGTCGCCGGGTGGTCGGATGTGATGGAAGCTCCGGCTGCGCTGAGCGTGTCGTATCTGCGCTGGCATCTGCTTGAAAGCGCGTTACGGCGCTTTCAGTACCCGATGGTGGAGTTTGGAAGGTTTCGCTTCTGCCACTACGACACTTTGTTGTCAGGGGCATGCGTAGAGGAGGAGGAGGGAGGGAGGGAGGGGAGGCTGGGAGGGAGATGGGCGTCAGACCGAGGGACCTTGACGCTGAGGGTGGGGGAAGTGAAGGAGGCGCTGTCGTTTTTGAATGGACTGGGGTAAACAGGCGTGAAAGCTTCAGAACTTCCGCATTCGCCGTGTTGCAGATCTGAGGAGAGGTGGCTTTCCAAGGGTTTGCGATGCATCAACGCTATATTCTTTGCAGGCAGTTCGTTGCCCACCGTTCATTATACTCTCGTTCCGATCATGTTGCTGTCCTCTCGCCCATGAGTAGAAGTTGCTTCTCTCTCATGAGCAAAGACTGAATTTTCGTGTTCCATTCCTATTGTGACGTCACAAACACCTAACAACATGCCGTTAACCTCAGGAGACAGCGGGCTGGAGCCTGGGCTGTTCACGACGGCAACATCCCTGCACCGAACAAGGTCAGTCTAAACTTCACGGAGCATTTTCGATCGACTTGTTGTCGAAACAATCATCCACAAGAGCCTGGACATCAAGTTTGGTAAGTCATCGCTAAGGGAAGGCCATCGGGACACACTTGCTTCAAGGTCAGGGCAGCCGCCAAGTCACTTGTCTGCGACAGGATCAGAGACAGACTGTTGTCATGGCTCCCAACCTCTCCATCTGCGATGTCTCCCGGAAGCAACTCTAACGACTGGTATTCCATCTCATCAAACATCTCCTGCACGATTGTTTCATCTCCAACAAGCTTGTGCCTTCGATTGGACCTCATTCATTCCACCGAAGGGACCCTTCAAGTAGCAATGAAATTTAGCCCGGATGATCGAAGTCTGTATCGACAGATCTCTGCCTGCCTCACAGACAATCTCCTCCCCTTGCCGTATGGCGTCCAAGGCGCCAAAGAAGTTCAAGACCCTACAATCACGAATGTCACATCACGTCCTCCCAGGACTCCAAGATGGGCACCAGAACAAAATATTTGCGTCCAACTTGGGTAGTTTGGAAAGCTTTCGTTTAGCTCCAAGAGCACTCAGGAAGACCAGTTTCCTCAATCTTGAACCGCAACCATTCACCACATTTCGAACCATCTTCACGTTGACATCCTGCGGGCTCTTGCCGAGAACCCAGTCCAGCGAGGGAAAACAAGACGTGTATTCCGAGATGACGATGAGCTCTGAGCTCTGAAGAACAGTATCGAGATTGACCAGACGATTGTCTCCAGTGGATGTAACTTGAAGTACTTTCAACTCGTTTCGAGTTTGCGCAAGGTTACCTACGAAACACCTTGCCGCGGGATTACCCGCATGACAAACTGCATCAGAATACTTATCAAAGCAGAGATTGACAGAGAGATTTTGCTCCTTCAGAAGTTCAGCTGCCAACCTTTTGCCCACTGACGTAGAGGCTCCGATGACGGTGACTGTCTCCTTCATGATTGGGCTGCTACATCGCGCTGGTTGCAAGGGGATCCTTTGGAGAGGAAGAGGACGGTAAGGAATGAAGGCACTCAAAGCAGCATGGTATGTTGAGGAGGTAGAGGAGGAGGTAACAGATCGCTCAGCCGCCATCACTGTCGCACACATGAGCAACATGCGGCTGCTGGTCAACCATGGAGCTTGCCCGAGCATGTCCGATTCCTCTAAATGAGAAAAAGATGAATTGAAATCTTTACTCAAAGTTAAGTTCAATCGGGGGCGGGCGGGCCCGGGGCCGGGCCCAAAAGTCACCGGGCAAGGCCCTGTCCCCGGCTCTATCCTCGGATGAACTTGACTATTCCCAACTTTGCGTAAAGGGTGGAATTCCCAGCTAGACTAGTTCAGGTCAAACTAAGTTTACTCAGAATGTTCTCTGCCTCCTCCTTTGATCCAACATGTGTGAAATCTCGTAACTGCTCTAATGCGTTGCTCCTTTTCAGCCGTTCCTCCAGAACTTCAGCTGCCTTGGTGTCTCCCACGTCACGCAAGAAGCTGAGGTACGTCTCGATCGTCGCGGCATGGTGCGGGTTCATGCTGAGGATATACTGGTACACAACCTCTGCACCCTCCGGCTGCTTCGTGGCATGAAGGTGATGGCCGAGCTCAAGCCAGAGGCTGATGTTGCGCGGGTGACGTTGGATGGCCCTGATGAGAACTTGTCGGGTCTGATCTGCAGACAACCGTGACAGCTTCTGACTGTTTGACAGCCTCAGGCTCTTCTTCTCCTCCTCCTGCGCTGCCCGGCGGCTCCGTCGCTCCCTCCTTCGCCAGGCTTCATCTTCTTCTGGATCCGATGCTCTTGTCCCCCGCATGAACATCACCGGCTGGATCGACTCGAAGGAGTGCAGAGCCTCGGTGCTCGCCTGAGAGCTCCGCACGGGCCTTGTCAGACTGTTGTGAAGGCTGCTCTGAGAACTGACCTCTGCCCCCTCCAGCTGCTGAACATTCGTTCCGTCCATCGCTCCATCCCGCTGGTCGGCACAGGCTGGAGCAGGAGAAGGCTCGCGTGCAAGAGAAGGTCGCTCGTCTGTTCTTGATGGGGCTCGATCTCGTTGTTGGAGGAAGCCCAAGGTAGCCTGAGCAGACGCATGCTGCTTGTCCTGACCGTCGGACACCCACTTCATGACCTTGCTCTCTAGCTGAGACGAGTCGCTCTGGCCAGCTGACTTGGTTGTCTCCCGAGGCTCCATGGGTTCTGACTTGGTTGTCGCCCGAGGCTCCATGGGTTCGAGGAGCGAAGGCCGTCGTGCTCGTATGCTAACGGCTGAAGAAGTTCTCCTGAGGAGCGCGCCTGAAGAAGGCTTGTCCCTCCGCGCTAGGTTCTTCCAGGAGTCGAAACAGCGGGAAAGACCCTGATTGATCCACCTCGCGAGGATCCGCATGCGGTACCTCTGATCTGCTGCTAGAAACCTCCTCACTCGCAGCGAGTTCCTCTTCCAGGTCAAGTAGACAGTCTCCAGCTTGTCGTACGACAACTTCGACGTGACCAGCCCTTTCCCTGTCTTTGCGGGTTTGGCCGTGACCTCCTTGAGGTTGATTATCAAAACGGCGATCAGGAGGTTGTAGATGACAAACTGAGATAAGAAGATGAAAGCTGGAGTGTACAGCATCGCCCACATGCTCCCGCAGTTGGACCTGCAGGGCGTCTCGAAGCTGGGATCCTCCCCGACGCTGCAGTCCACCAACCTCAAGCTCTGCAGGTAGTTGAGCTCATCGGCGGAGGTGCAGCCGGGGAGGAAGGAGCGGGCTATGAGCAGATAGTGATCTCTGTCCACCTCCGAGCTCGACTGGTTCCATCGCTGTAGCACTAGAGCTGCCTGATCGAGCGACCCAGGAGTTCGAGGAAAGTCGCTGTGCATGATGTTGGCATGGTCCATCAGGGTCGCCCACCCGTCGCCGCTGAAGATGCGGGTGAGGGTGAGGAAAGCGTCTTCGAGGGACGAGAAGCATGAGAACTCGCCGAAGACAGCGTCATCCGACGCTAGCAAGCAGCGGACAGCTCGAAGACGGGAGGTGACATCATCAAAGTTTGCCCTCCGCTGCGACTCGTCGCACATGTCCCCGAACAAGACGAGCCCGATGACGCCGAAGGAGAGGAAGAAGATGACGAGGAGCGAAGAGATGTAGAAGAACGCGGGGAGAGAAGAGATGAAAGTCTGGAAGATAGTGAGAATCCCCCCCAGGAACCGGAAAGCCTTTATTGCCCGGAGAGTTTTGAAGATCTTGAAGATCCGGACCATGCGGATGACGGTGGGGTCTATGAGAATGATGCCGTTGAACGTGATCTCTGAGAACGATCCCACCACGACCACGAAGTCGAGGATGAGCCAGTAGTCTTGGAAGAACTTCCTCGGCCGCATCACGAACATCCGAATCAGCGTCTCGATGGTGAACACGAAAGTGAAGAAGAGGTTTGTCCTCGACGTCAGAACGTCTTGAAAGCTAGACTGCTTGTAAGTCTCGAACCCCATGCAGCAGATGTTGAGAAGGATCATGACGCAGACAAAGACATCGAACGCCATCTTGACGATCATCCTCTCCAGGAAGAACTTCAATGCTCGCATGGCTGAGTTGCAACCGATGAACAGGTCATGAATGCGAAATCCGTGCTGGTCAACAAAGAGCTGATCCTCAAGGTTGTGCTGGACGTTATGGGAAGAGGAGGAGGAGGAGGAGGAGGAGGAAGAAGATGATGACGACGATTGTTGAGTATTTTCGTCCTTGATTACCTCCAGGTTGATCTCATGGAGATGAATCTTGGCGTTGTTGTTCAACTGGTCGAAGACAGAAGCAAGCTGAGAGTCGTCGGCCGAGGTCAAGTACACGTCGTACTTCTTCTTGTGCTGATATGACAAGTCCGAGCCCACAACGCCACCTCCAGCAGAGCGCGAAGTCGAGCTGGGAACGACTGACCGGACCAGAACAACGAAAGGGGACATGTTGTGGGTCCTCTGACCCTCCATGGCCTCGAACTCCCGGAAGTGGATCAAGTCAATGTCGGCGCTATGAAGGAAGATGATGTGGCTGACCAGCAGTGCCTCCTGCTCCTGCTCCAGCAGGAAGACGAGGGACGCCCAGGTTACCGCGGTTCTCAGCTTCCACTTCCCTTCCTCAGGCGTGAAGGCAGCCACCCTTCCGACCTCTTGGAGGCGGGACGATGAGCTCGAGATGTTGGAAGTTTGCATCTTTTCAACGAGCGACTTGACGTCTTGGAAGCTCTTAACATTCCTGCACATCCAAACCCACTGCTGCAGAGTCCTATCATACGCCTCCTTCTCGCGGTCGTCGTCGGGTGGCAGAGCTGGTAGTTGACTCCTGGATGGCTTGTTGTTCATCTCCACACTCTGCCAGAGTGCCTTCCTCCCTTCTTCGTCCTCCTCCGAGAACTTGGAGCGCAAGAGAGCAAGCTCGTACGCGTTGATCAGGATGGCGGTGAAGATGGGCATGACGAGATACTTGCCCATCAAGACGATGACAACCTGCAGAGAAGCGTCAGAGAAGATGAGATGAAGGAGGGAGGGAGGGAGAGAGGGAGAGAGGGAGGGAGGGAGGGAGGGAGGGAGGGAGGGAGGGAGGGAGGGAGGGAGGGAGGGCTCACGAAGAAAAGAGCGTTGGCAGGGTTCTTGTCTCTGTACGGCCCTGTGCTGTAGCCGGTCTTGTCAATCCCCGCAAACATGTGGTTGTACCAGTTAGACCCGGTCGAGATCGTCACCACAGACACCAGCGACTGTCCGATCCAGTCGAAACTCGTCGGTAGTCTCCTCCATACTCGCTCTTCCCCCGCTGCATCTGCTCCCTTGCAATCTTGCTCGGCGAATACTTGGTTGTCGCTGCACGAGTTGAGCTGACCCATGAAGAGCTGAAGGCCGAGGAGCGAGAAAATGAAGGAGAGGAGCCCAGAGAGGAAGATGGCGGCTGCGATGCTCTTGTAGCTCGTGAAGATCGTGTCGATCATCCTCTTCAGCCCTCTCACCTTGGCGACGAACCTCAGGGGGCGCATGGCCTTGGTGACCCTGAGCAACCGCAGGGCAGGGGAGTTGGAGGAGGAGGAGGAGGAGGAGAGATAGGAGAGGATCTTGAAGCTCTCCTCGACCATGGAGGCGGCAACGACGAGGAAGTCGAGACGGTTGTAGGAGACCTTGATGTACTCAACGAAGTTCATCCCGAGGACCTTGAGCACGAACTCGAGGATGAAGACGAAGTTGAGCATCGAGGTGAACGTGTTGAGGGTGACAGCCTCCGCCTTTGTCATGTTCGGGCGGTCAAGGAGGATGCAGACGCAGGAGAGGAGGACACAGAAGATCAGAAACTTCTCCACCTTGGGGTTGAACACGATCCTGCAAGACAGGATGCGGACAGGATGGAGAGGAGGGAGGAGCCCGAGGGAGTAGCCCGTCTGATAGCCATATTTGAGCCCCTCCTTCCTTGCGTATACCTCCTCTTTGAGCCTCTTCAGCGGCAGGATGCTGATCCTGTAATAAGCTCTGTTCTTTTCATCCTTCTCCTCATCCTCCTCCAGCATTCTGATCTTCCTCGCTATCCCATCCTCCACGATCTGCAGAGTGTTTGACACGTGTATCCCCAACTCCCTGCTCCCCATCCCCTCCCTGATGAACATCTCCTGCTCCGTCTCCTTCATCTTCGCCAGCGCACGGCGGATCGAGTTGACGTCGTCTTGGCCCTCCCCCTCGTACCTCCTCTTCGCCTCTCTCGCGCTCTTACTCACGAGTAGCAGGTCGTGCGCCCGCTGCTCCTGCCTCCTCCTGTTCTCCTCGATAGTATGCTGGAGGATCATCCTGGACTCCTGAAAGAGTTTCCACTGGGAAGCATCTTCCCTCCTCCTCGTTGTCCGTTTCAGCCTGAGGAAGAAGTCAGGGCGGCGGGAGCGAAAGGAGGCAAGAGCAAGGGACGAGGGAGGAGAGCGGTTCACCCTTTCAGCTTGTTCTGCAGCTGGTTCAGCTCTTCCATTCTCTTGCTCATCAACTTCTTTCTATGCTCTCTCTTCATGTACTTCACCCGAAACTCATTCAGAATCTTTTCCTTCTCCTTCTTCAGCTGCTCCTCCCCTTCCTGCAGAGAGATCAATCGGGAAAAATGAGAAGCTTAGGCGTCCTACTCTTGTTTCTTGCTCCTCCCATCCCCCAACCCCTCGTTCTCTCCTATTCCTACTCTTCATGCAGCCCCCGCCCTATGTCCCCTGGCCGCAGTCCCCCTCTTCTCTCCCCCTTCTCCTTCCCTTCCTACTCATCCCCCTCTCTTCCTACTCATCCCCCTCCTCGTACCCTCCTCCAACGCGTCTGCCCTCCAGCTCCTCCCCTTTCCTCTCGTCCTTCTTGTCCTCTCCCAATCTTCCACCCCTCCTTCTCGCTCCCTGTCCTTCCTGTCCTCCCTGCCCTTCCCGCTACTGTATCCTTTGCTTCACACCTCGCTGAATCCGATGATGACGATGGTGATGGCGATGGAGCCGAGAAGGTACTTGCCGAGGAAGATGGCGAAGAAGAAGAAGAAGGAGGAGGACTGCAAGCTTGATGCGCGGACGGCGACAGAGTAGATGGAGGTCCATCCCTCCACCAGGAAGATCTGGACGGAAGACAGCATGCTGTTCCACAGCACTGCAAAGTTGCTTCGGGGGAGCACCGAGACTATCTGGGGACGGTCGGTAATCGGGTTCGAACTCGCGAGGTCCGTGCGGAGGACAGGCGCACTTCCCTTCCTGCTGAAGGTCGACCAGACCTCGACGACCCAGGGGTTTCTCAGCTTGTCAAATGTGACATTGACAACCACGGCTGGGAGCCCGACGACTTGCTGAAAGGTCTCCGTTCGCGAGCTGAGCCAGACCTTGGCCCCCATGAACAAGTTCGCCTTCTCTTCCGCGGCCTCCTGCATGGTGGAGCCGAAGAGCGCCTGGCCCAGGAGGGCGAACATGAGACAGAAGAGGAAGTAGATAGCAAAGACGTTGGCGATGGAGAGGACCAACTTGACCAGGATCCGGATCTGCTCCTGGATGATGCGCAGGTTGCGAAAGACGCGGACCAGTCGCAGCAGGCGCAGAGCTCGGAGGGAGGTGATGCCCGAGCCGCTGCCCTCGCACGCCACCATGCTCGAGGCCGCGCGCATGCAGCGAACGCTGGAGAGGATGACTTCGATCTCAGCAGAGGAGATAACAACCAAGGTCAAGTCAAAGAGGTTCATGGGGTCCGAGAAGTAGAGTCGCGGCCCCAGCCCGACGAGCTTCACGAAGAGCTCCCACAGAAAGACTGCGATGAAGGCGATGTTGGCGTACTGCACCCACAAATGAAACGTGAGGTGTTTCTGATCTCCTTCCTCCCCAGCTCCCCACAGCTGCCCCACCATGCTCTGCCTCGCGTGCTCCATGGCCATGCTGACGGTGTTGAGCGAGACTACAGTCGTCACGATGAGCTCGAGGGCCTGCGAGCGAGCGAACGCGGCCCAGAGGTCAACGCAGAGCCAAAAGAACTTGGCAACCCTCCGGATGGACTTGAGCAGGAGGGTGAGAGCCTGGGCCTTGCTGTCCGACGAGACGCGGAGGTTCCAGTAGGGAAAGAAGCGCTTTCCATCCCCGTCGATCTCGAAGCGGAACATCGGGTCGACCGGAGGAGGAGGAGGAGGTGCGAGGTCGATCGCCGGCACGTGAGTTTCCATCCGCTTCATCTTCCTGAGCTGCGCGAACTCGAGCGAACATCTCACCATCGCGTTGTCGTCGGCGAACTTTGAGATGAGCTGGTCCCAGTGAAAGAAAGCCTTGAGCATGCCCGGCTTGGAAAAGTGAAGGATCACCCGCCGCTGCAGCCACTTCATCTTCGCCGCTCCGTTCTGCCGCCATCTGGACTGCATGTGAGCCTTGATCCTGATGGTGTGATACTGCGTCCAGTGCCGCCAAGTGTTGAACATCTTGGCAACTACCACATGCTTCCAGTGCGCTATGACCCAGGACGCCAGGCGCTGCAGCTTCTTCCTCTTCACCCGCTGGAACTGTCGGGAGAGGACGGCGAGGAAAATGTTCATCAAGAAGATGGGGAAGGTGAAGAGTTGGATGATGAAGAAGACGGCAGCAGCAGGGTTCGAAGTCTGCATGAAGAGATACATCTGCGAATTCCAGTCTACGTCTGCAAACAAAGGAGAGAGGAAAGGCGAGAGGGGAAGACGGGGGATGATAGTTGGAGAGATAAGGTGGGACAAGACAGGAGGACAACCAGAGGAGAAAACAAGTGGACGGAGAGAGAGACAGGAGAGGAGAAAGAAGAGAACGAGGATGGAGAAAGTGAACGAACAAGGAGTGGAGGAAAAGCATCAGGGACCCATCGCAACAGAACAACAAGTCGTTACTTGTTATGCTCCTTGCTACCAGAAGGAGAGCGGATCCGATCCCATCGGGGTGTGAATAATCCGGGTTTTCTCCGCTAGGAACGCACTGGTAACCAGGAGGGCAGTCTCCGTCTGCACGACAGAACGACTGCAGGTCAATGGCACTGCTGCTGGTGACGCTGGACAAGAGCTTGCCGCTGGTCGTGCTGAAGCATCGGAGCTGAAGGCACCCCCCGAAGAGCTGGACAAGGCAGATGGCGAAGACGATGGTGACGGCGAAGATGAGGAAGAGGGCGCTGAAAATCTTGTCGGAGGAGCTTGAGAGAGTTACCATGATCGTCTGCCAGGTGACGTCAGCGATGGGTCAGGTGCAAGAAGAAAAAAGGTCAACGTGGCTGACCTTCATCTCCGGGAGCCTCCGTATGCCTCGGAGGACTCTGAGGGCTCGGAGTGTACGAAGACTTTTGAGATTGTTGGCAGCTAAGGACGAAGTGATCTCAACGATACCCAGGACGCCCAGGATCAGGTCAAGGACGTTGAGTGAGTTTCTCAGGTATGAGGTGCTGTGCATGATGAAGCCGAAGGCAATGATGTTGAGAACAACATCAAGAGCGAAGAAGATTGAGACAACGATGGTGGAGATTGAGGACAAGACTGAGGTGGAGGTGGCCGTGTTGTTCAAGTCTGGAACATCCAGCGGGTCGTCGATGACGGTGATTGCGATTGAGAGCAGGACGAAAAGGATGAGAACGGCCCTGTACTCTCTCCTCTCGATGATCCAGATGCATGACAGGCGGATCACGTTTTTGATGTTCATTCCTGCAAGCAACACGTCAGCAATCATCTCATCCCCTCCTTGTCTATTCTCTCACCAAGGACGCCATGAGTGGCGTACACGTTTGGGTCAGGCCAGGGCTGGGAGCAAGTTCAGCTCTCACTTTCACCGCCGCATCTCGTTACCTCCAGCTCGACATGGTCATTCACTTCAGCTGCCTGCCAACCTCTCATGAGACGCACGGAATAATGGCCGTCAGATGTGATCGCGTGGCTCCCAGCTCGCCGCGGTATCAACCGCATACAAGTCTCCGCCCAGAAGCTCCTCGCCCGCCAGAACCCCAGCACGACGTACGTCCCGATGGGACTGCAGGAAGTCAGCACGTCAGGCAGGTGGGAACAATGTACTCACCCTCGCACTTTGGCGAGCTGCAGCTCAGCAGCCTGTCCTTGAACTTCCTCCTCGTTGATCGACACCAAGACGTCTCCTACTTGCACCCGTCGACTCTTCCAAGCTGAGCTGGACCTCAGCACAGCCGCAACACGGAGCTCCATGACTCCGGACAAGCTAATGGTACTGGTGCATGCAGTCATGCGAGGCGGCGAGCGCCCACAGTCATACACACCTCCTAAGGACGAACGACTGGAAGATGATTCCGACGTCTCCCACCTCCACTTGCGGGTCGTCGATCTCGAACTCTTTGAAGGTTTGGGAGTCGAAGTCAAACCTGAAGGACTTCGCTGCTCTCTCCACTGTTTCCCTCACCGACGGATCGACCTTCTGATGGGCCTGCTCCACGTTAGGACCCCACCCCTTACACCGCACGATTTCTCACCAGGTACTGATGGGAGAGACTCAACTTGGCTGCGTGTATCGATTGTTTATATTTAGGATCGATCAGGGACGGTAGGCCAGGTCGATACACAATCGCTGAGTTGCCCGGCAGGTTTGAAGGGAGAGCTTGAACGATTGAGGGGTTTGAGAGCGCGTGACCCTCTTCTTGGAGCAGAGGAGACGCATCAGTCTTCTCCTTCTCTTCCTTGTTCGTCTTTGGTCTTGAAGGATCCTCCAAAGACCCAGCGGTCCATGAAACAACTGGGTAGAACCCAAAGGGCCTGGCCCGGGGGTTGTCATTCCTGGGGCCATACGTCCTCTTGTGACTGGTACGAAGATACTCGTCACCAGCCTCAAAGGACTTCTCTGAGATCGCCAGACCCGACAGGGGAGTGAAGGCGGCTGCTGGGCGGGTGCCGAACCGCTCATTCAATTCCTGCTTTGACTTGCGGGAGTTCGCCGAGTGCATGTCGAATCAGGCGGGCTCTCAGGAGGGAGCGGGGCAAGGGAGGGAGAAGAGGAGAGGAGAGGAAGGGGAGGGAGGAGAGGAGAGGAGAGGAAGGGAGGGAGGAGAGGAGAGGAGAGGAAGGGAGGGAAGAGAGGAGAGGAGAGGAAGGGAGGAAGGTGAGGTGAAGAGAGGAGGAGAAAGGAGGAGGGGAGAGATTCACAGTCACATCCTGCTCCACGACAGCTGCGCACATCACTATCGCGTTGATAGTTTGATGGCTTTTTGTTTTTTTTTGGTCAAAAGGGTCCCGACCGGTCGGCGTCTGACTGTGACTGATTTTTTTAACTTAACTTTGAGTAAAGAGTCAGTTGCCTTCAGGGCTTCACTGAGTAGTGACACAACAGGCATCTACCATCAACACGACAGATTTGAGCGCAACGTGAACCATTTCACCTTGTTACACCTCGTATGAATCAGTAGAGGGGTGCTGAGGAGTGCTCCAGAACTTCTCACTGTGAAATCGTTTGAAGTTCCTTCATACAAGACTTCAATCTGATCATGAAAAAACTCCTCATAATCGTTCATTGAAAAACGACAGCGCCTCCTTCACTTCCCCCACCCTCAGCGTCAAGGTCCCTCGGTCTGACGCCCATCTCCCCCCCAGCCTCTCCTCCCTTCCTCCCTCCTCCTCCTCTACGCATGCCCCTGACAACAAAGTGTCGTAGTGGCAGAAGCGAAACCTTCCAAACTCCACCATCGGGTACCGAAAGCGTCGTAACGCGCTTTCAAGCAGATGCCAGCGCAGATACGACACGCTCAGCGCAGCCGGAGCTTCCATCACATCCGACCAACCGGCGACGCCCTCTCCTTCTAGTTGCCTCGAGTACACAAGCTTCACGATGCCTTGCTTCAGCCTCCCCCCTGACTCATCGGCCGCAAGCCTTGTCCGCAGGTACTCGAGGTGCTCTCCTGTGAGCGCTTCCCCGTACAGCAAGTAGCACACCTCCCGCCGCTCTCGCTCGAGGTCATCGAACACCATGATACTCAACTCTCGATGCAGGCTCATCCGAGCTCGATAGTCCGCTTCCACGTCCTGCGAGAGCAGAGAAAAGTGACAAGAGCGTGACCGATAGCAGTCATTGCTCGGAGAAAGAATCAGAGCCGTTCCTTCCGCATCCTCGCACATCGAAAACATGAACCGCTCATGGCTCTCCCCCAGAAAACAAACCCCCGGAATGCTGCCATCAAGTAAGGGTTCGTCGCAAACGAGGTTGATTGCAGAATGCATCTCAGCACTCTTGTGGGACAGCAGACATTGAGGCTGATCCACCATCAGCGAGCAAGGCGGAATGGAGTGGAAGACGTGATACGAGCTTCTCGGTAACAGGACCACGTCCCCCTCAGCCTGTCGCATGCAAGTTGAGACTGCCGCATCCACGCTCCCATACACACTGTCGACGTACGAGTTGTCTGATGTCATGTTCCCTACCACTGACGCCACGTAAAACTTGTACATACTTGAGAATTCAGACCGACGATACCAATCTTCCTCGCAGACTGGGGCAATCGGAGCGTGCTGCTTCGGATTGTGAGGAAATCGAGTCTGTCGATCGACATCTGAGCCCCAGAAAGCGTCCTGCGTCACAACAAGTCCGTCAAGACAGTCACGCTAGCATAGCACCCTTCCCCCCTCACCTGAAAGAAACCTGGTCTCCTCAGCAGGTACGCCTCCAGGTGCCCCCGCTCGATCAACATCGGCAACATGTTGTCCACAGCAGCAAACACGGGCTTGCACAGGTGCAGGACCTTCCTCGCCCCCTGAGCAGTGAACACTATCGCTCCTGTACATCGAGGCCGATGTGCCCGGCTGATGTGAGCGAGCCCTGGCTCCGAGCAGTGTGAGCTGCATTTCTCGAAGCAGTACTCCAGGTACAGCAGGTCTGCCGAGGCCGGGAGCTCCTCCAGCGCTCTTTTGATCCGCAAGTTGAGAGACGGGAGGTAGTCATGCACCATCAGGTCGTCCTCGAACACTCCGATCAGCTCTGCCCCGCTTGATAGACCTTCTTCCAACACCCGGAGGTTGTCCATCGCCCGAGCGATGTACGGCTTCAGCGCACCATGCATCGTCCATGGCGTGATCGACATGAGCTCCACCCCCTCCCGCGTTACCCACCCAGAGCTGATCAACGCTTCTACATCGATCTCCTCTTTGAGGGTGAGTGCCGGAAAGCTCACATTCCTGAAGCCTGCTGCCTTCAGCAAGCCTTCCATGTGTCGTCGCTTTTGTTCTTTCCCAGGAAGGCTCAACACAAACACCTTCATGTCGAACGCATGCTCCACCTGGTCGAAAGAGAAGTCTCCTCTCAAGTACCTGTTCGTGTTGATCATCGCATCTTCCGTGTATTGCAGCATGTCCGGAAAGGTCGGGCTTTCACATTCGTAGTCGTCATCTCGGCAAGTGTCGTCCAGCTCACACTTACACGCCATGTCCTGACAGAACAGCTTCACCTTGGGCGAGAGCGATCCTTCCCAGCCCTCCCCCTCAGGCTCCCCCCCTTCAATGCACACTTCCCTCATCATCTCCTCCACATGCGACGTCTCGTCTGCGTCCTCGTCTGGCAACGCATACGTACAACTCAAAACGACCCTCAGCTCGTAGCAGCCAGGCCTTGGCTTGATCTTATGTCGATCGATGATCTCTCCTCTCAACAGCTGCTCTGTCAACTCCCATCCGTTCTCTCTTGTATCTCTCGCTGCTTCTAACCGCGCATCCCCAAACCAAATCTCAACCGAGTAGAATGCTACCACATGCTCACTGCTCCCGAGCTCAGCGCTGTAACCGACCGTGAGCTCTACTTCTCCTTGATCTGAGGGCACAAGATGGCTGTCTGGCGCTGGCAGCTTGAGGCTGAGCTTAGCCCCATACACCACTTCCATCTCATGCCACACCACCAGCCTCCCGCCCGATACTGAAGCTCTCGCCTCGTGCTCCAGGTATGTACCGAACCACAAGTGCCCTTGCGTGAGATTGATTGCATTCATCTTGCACGCGTACGCTCCATCGCCTGACCGCTCGCAGTGCCTGCACATGTCGTGAGCATTGCTCGCAGGGCTCCCGGCCCCCTGCACTGCATCCTCCATGCTAGGTTCCCGGCTTGTCGTGTACAGGCGATACACCCAACCCTCACAATGAGGCTCATCGTCTGAGCTCAGGTGGAGACGAAACGGAACCTCAGCAGAGGTGACCGATCTCTTCAAGACGAGAAGATGCGAAGGCCAGCGAACATCTATGACTGGAGCTCTGCTGCCATCTGTTGAAAGCGCGGAGGCGAGGACAACAAACGAGCACAGCGCGATGTTGAAGAAGATGGTTCTGACTACAGCCAGCATGTTCCATCACAAGGTCTAAGTGTACCAGCCACGAGCATGGCTGCTGCATGCTTCTGGTAGCGGTAGGGAACCGCCACGCAGCCGCTGCGGGGTTTGCAGCCTACTACCATGCAGGATCCTAGCAAGGCATGACATGGCCGATTTACGCCCGCATCCCCGCTCGTCTCCAGTGAAAGCACGGGGGTGGAACTCCTCTTTTACCGGTATTAGGACGGGTACTTTTTCAATCCTTGAAAACTCTGCAGTGTTCATGTGCATTATTCCAGATCGAGTTCGAATTGTCACTTGGGACAAGTCAGGTCCATCATATTGGTTCATATTTAGCAAATTGCATTCTCTCTCTACTTCCTGTGCAGTAATGGCTGGTTCAAAGTCGAATACGCATGAAATGTATGATGCGATCTCTGAGCATATCTGTGATATGCTCAGCTTCTGTGCAACTTGTTTGATAGCCTTCACCTCCATTATGAATGTGCTTGGATTGTTCACGTAGTAATTCCTGTATATGCAAGAAAACTCGCCGTCAAAGGACCAGACATTGAAAATAATTCCACGCTCGTGAGCCTCCTTTGTGACGGCTTCCAATATTCGAAGACCTTCAGAGGCACTTAAACTTTTGGTTGAAAAACCAATGTACATGGGGACAGGGGGTGTGCTCGCACATCCATCTTGTGCAACCACACTGATGGCATCTTCAGCCAGTTCAGCAACTGTATGCTTGTAAAATTTCTCATTGTACTGGTACAACTCGTTTTGAAGTTCTGATTCGTTGACAGGCAGATCGCCATTCGCCATTCCCTCCAGTTTTCCTATCAATCGAGGAATTTCTACATCCATCTGTTCACAGCCTTCAATTACTGTCTTCAGGTAACGTTGATGTGGTGTGAACCTGACATCCTCTGGAGATTCGCCTCCGGTTCTATGCTTGGCAACAAATGCATTTCGAACCTTCTTGTATGCTTGCTCTATATGACTCTTCCTCTGATGCACACTCTGTTGATCGGATCTCAACATGCCAACCAGCTGTTCGCTGATATAGTTTTCTGTCTTTCCTGTCAAACAAAACTTTTCCTTGCGATCTTGAAGCAGGTCAATTCGCTGAGCCAAGTCAGGTTCATGACTTGTTATACCCCCCAGATCTGCTTCACATTCCTCAAACACAGAACAAAATCCTGCATTTATCATTGTTTTGTCGATCGCACAACAATTCACTCCAGTCTGACAATGCTCAGGATTCATTCGACGGAATTCATCCATCATAAATGTGCACACTCTGGACCTATCATTACCATGCAGTTTCATGAGATGCCTATCTCGTTTCTGAAGAGTGGATGTGGATGGCAGAGGTAAGTTGTGTAACATCTGGTCCGTATCAAAAGTTCCAGTATTTTTGTTGCCCGGCCCTGTGAGCAAGCGATATAGACCTGAGGTGCCGACATTCCGTATTGATTCAGCGAAACTCATGACTGGCTCAGAGTATCGCATGCCTCTAGTGTCCTTTGTTCGAAAGCCTTGTCGTATCCAGTCGCTCACTATGAATGGCATGATGGGGTGTTTGCTCTTCATGCCATCCCCTTCCTGACTGGCGAACATTACGACATCTGAAACTATGTCGGGAAGCTCAGCAGAACGGAGGTTATCCATCGCCCTTTCAACATGGCAGATGGTGAGAAAGCACTTGGCAGTAGGACTTTCGTCATTGGATTCTTCAAGAGACTCTTGCTCTTCAAGAATGCTTCGTATGAAATCACGTCTATCCTCCAATGGCATTGACTTGAAGTTCTCGCACATTGTATGTGCGAGGAGAGCGAATGCTGTTTTGATATTGCTGTTCTGGTCTTGGCTAATATGTTCAGGCCTTACATACCTGCATGGTGGCATGTCAGTACTCTGGTGCATTCCAGCTCGCTGGTTACCTTGAGTGATAATCGTGTATTTGCTATTGTAGCTCGTCAACAGTGTCATAGTGCGAAGTGGCCCAATGTCTGATTTTCTTACACAATGCCTTTTGCTTTTGCCGATGATTCTTTACTTGACTTCGAAGCTTTTGCGCGTCTATGTGCAGCTGGAATTGATCATGATGCATTTTGGCATCTGCTCCTTGTTGAAACGAGGTGAAGTAATGAAGGAAACAATTTTTGAAGCCCTCTGCATTCTGTCCAAAGAGGTCACCTAGAAGCGTCAACTTTGCTCGTACATGAGAAGTGTTGATGGTATGCTGGCTCAGCTTGAGATAACTAGCCGCTACTTGTAGCAAGCTATCATCCGCGTCGCTTATCTTCAACGTTGCGTGCCCGATGTTTTGCAGAAAATGTAACAATTTCAGCACCAATGCGTCAGTGAACACTGCATAATCCTGTACAGTTTTCAAGTCGATGTCTTTGAAAGCCCGTCGACAACGTGAACAAGCTTTGATGCAGTGTTGAGGGATCGTCCGAATACTGTTCGTACTGTATCTCGTCTTACAAATAGGGCATTCCTCTCTGTCTGCTGTCGTCTTGCTCATGGCAAGGATGCAGTGCAGATTGCCCGCCAAAATTCGGATTTGAATTTCTCCCCATGGCGCGTCATAGATCTTGCATCGTTGCCTTATACCCCCTGCATGACCACCGCCCTCGATGTGCATCGCGGTCGATGGGAGGGGTATTTAACTGAAAATTAGTACCAGGTATGGGCTAGAGGCAGTGGTTGGCCCGCGGATGAGATCGAATATCGTAGTTCCACCCCCGTGAGTGAAAGAAGCTGGTTTTACTGCTGGTTTTAGATATTCGCCGGACAGGAGCCGGCAATGCGACCCCAAGTTTTGATTCCAAGAATAGCCACAAATTCAAGCTATGATGGTCCTAGGAATGCTCTTAAATATCTCGTCCTCTGACTCGTAGTACTCTACCCACGTTACGTCCTGAGCTAGGTCCTAGGAACTTTCATAGCAAGGGGGTGCTAGCATCTGAGGTTGGAGGGGGGAGGGGGGAGGTTCATCCGAGTCCCCACATTATATAAAAGTTACCGGCTGACTGGCCGGGTAGGGTAGGGGTGTTTGCTTGAAGTAAGTCACGATGCGGAAACGTAGGGGTAGTTGGAAACTTTTGGCATTTGAGGGGGTGGGGTGTTGTTAAACAGTGACCCCCCGAATCTTTGACCCCACCCCGCGATGTCGAAGTGCAATGTAGTCTTGAAGTACCCCTACCTGTGACCAAAAATACCCCTAGAATGATACGACGTGATATCAGAGCGAGGACCCCCACCCCTTCTCAGCCGTTGACTTCTTCCGCCAGTGGCGCCATGAAGGAAAGCTCAGTTGTACGAGCATGGGAAGGGATGCCGCCGCCGCCCCCCACGCTAGCGAAAAGATGCGCACGAAGACTAGAACATTGCAGACAGAAGGAAGCGAACAAGAAGCTTATCCGTGAGCTCATGCTCAAGTACGACGCCGATAAATCTGGGGGGATCGGATATGATGAACTCAAGGAGTACCTGGTAGACTTGTCAATGGGTGCTGAACCGACAAGGAGTGACATCAGGTGGGTTATCCAGACGGTAATGGATCAGGATGACAGTAGGAAGCTTGACGAGGAAGCATTTTCAACTGTTCAGCTCAAACCCTCTCAAATTGCATTGGCCGGACAGACCTGGATGGCCTTTCGGGAAACGGAGGAAGAGATCAGTCAAGTTTTCACGAAGTATGATGCTAACAAGGATGGTAAAATATCCAAGGACGAGTTGAAAAATGTTTTGATGGAGTTGAATGAAGGGATCGCCCCTTTGCCTGCAGAAGTCGACTTCGTGATGGATTCAGCTGACGTGCTAGGTGATCAGTCTTTGGGAAAGGGCGAGTTCATGTATGCTATATCCATTTGGTACACCTTGGAAGAGGCAAAAGTGACTCAAAGCGAATGTTGCACAATACTATGAGGCATTCCACAAGGACTGCATTAGTGGACTCTATGTTCTGGTGAGATCGTTTCGAAGTGTGAAACGTGCTTGTAGATAATATGTAAGGATCTGTTGGATTATAAATAATATCTATCTTTAAATTCCAATTTCTCATCTTTCCAATCTTCACAATTTCACCTCCTTTCGAACTGCCTGTTGTCCTGCAATGACCGAGATGAGTTGTGATACACTTTATATGTACAAAATTCAACAAAAAATCTGCAAAACATGCTGTCTGCCATCAGTTCGCAAGACTGTCCTTCAACATAGTTTGAACTAAGCAGCTGCAGCAAGAGCTATACTCTGAGGAAGCGGATGCATCTGCATGTCGCCCATCAAAACCCTTGTGAGGAAATCTTCAGCCTCGGCCAACTTTGACACTCCCTTCAAAAACGCTGCAAATTTCTTTTTCTTGCTCAGAATCGCAACGATTTTCGGCGGTTTTGCTGGTAAACTGCATTGTTCGTCATGGTTGTCGCGGGAATTATCGCCGTGCTCGATCTCTCCTTCTCCCTGAACACGCTGACCCGGAGTCTCTGTTTCAGATGGGGCGTTGGTCCATTGCGCAGGATCTTTGGGACCTGACTTCTGTGCGTTGCACCTTGGATCGTCGTGCACAGCAAAATAATGAGCAACTTTCGGAAACTGATTTGAGTCGAGCCAATAGAAAGCTACCTGCAGCTTTTTTGTTGTCTTGCCCTTCACAATATTCTCTGCTAGTTGACCGAAAAGCTTGACATGCGGCCCCCCCTCAACTTGATTCTTATTCCGACGTCCTACCATTTCATCCTTCTGGAACATGAGGACACATACTCCCCGGAATTCGAGGCAGGCTTGTAGGTGGCTCTCCTGCTGAATCTTGGTGATGAGATTCTTCCCGCTTATTTTTGTCTCCTGCTTCTTCTCGCGCTTTGAAGTTGATCGAATAGCAATGAGAAGGGCCTTCTCAATGAACTCTGCCTCTGGTTTTCCTTGAAATCGTCTCAAAGCCGATGGTTCTCCCCGCGTGCTGAAGAAGATGGTTGGCAACTTCTTGACTTTGTACTTCTTCATGAGTACATGGTTAGCCTGTGCAGCAGGAGAATCGGGACATATGACGTGACCCAGCTTGGCTCCTTTCAGCTCCTCCATGTTCTTGAATTTGGCTATCGCACTGACCAATGAGTGTCCATCAGTAGCAAATATTAGTAGAACAGCTTTCTTCTTCTCTACAGCATCTGAAAGGAACGCCTTGATATTGCCCGATGAAACACTTTCCAAGGGGCTCTTCGGCTGAGGCCTCTGCTGCTGTCCTCCTCCAAAGCCGAACGGATTCCCACCTCCAAATGGGTTCCCCCCTCCCTGGTGAAAGTGCTGCTGCTGCTGCTGCTGCTGCTGTGCTTCTTGAGGGTTGTCAAACCCTGTCTGATCGTAGTACCTCCGCTTTTCAGGATCACTGAGTGTTTCATATGCCTTATTGACAACCATGAAGTACTTGGTTGCCTTCTTGCAGGCTGCACTCTCTTGACTTTTCTTGCATGCTGGAGATTTGTCGGGATGATGCTGGAAAATTCAAAGATGAGAAAGGAAGCCAGTTTCAAAGCACTGAAGTTTACCTTTAGAGCAAGCTTGTGATAAGCTTTCTTGATCTCCCTTTCGGTTGCATCCTTGCCTACTCCAAGAGTTTTGTAATGATCGGCCAAAGCTATGTAGCATAAGCAACTAAGCAGGACCAGGATTGACCAGACACTTGTCATGACTTATTCTCGTCTAAGCTCCAGCGTAATACAACCCTCCGCGCTAGTTTCCCCTTCGAGGGAGATAGGGAGAGATGCGTGCGTCCTGCAACAGGGTATATTAGGTGAAAGGATCCAAGGGGTGGGAGGAGGAGGATGTGGGCTGAAGGACCTAGTGGAGTGATTCAGAAACAGAAGCCAGCCACTGCAATGCTTTTAGGCCATAGAAGATCCCAGCTATGTTCCCTGCTCTCTTCCCTGCTGTGTTCCCTGCTCTCTCCCCTGCTCTACTTCCTGCTTCCCACCATTCCAACTCGTTCGCTGCCACGACTCTTTCTATGGTTTCCTGTTATTAACCGTTACAAATTACCATTGCTTTTCAAACGATTTTGTAACGTCGGGGGGATATGTTGTGAAACGTTCCGTTGGGTAACGGAAGATAACGTCTGATTCGTATTGGCGGGGAAAGCGATGGCGGAAGAGCTCAGGAAAGAGATGAGCGACGCGATGGCGCGAGTGAACATGTGGGCGTCGACGAAGGAGAAGGAGCTCAACAACATAAAGATTGAGCACACGAGCTTCCTCGACACTCAGAATGGTATGTCCCCCTCGTAGACACGATGTGTTTAGATGTCTCGGAGTGTGTCGAAGGGAGTGGGAGGAGGACGAGCTTTCTTGGAGGTGGGAGAGAGCGATATCCAGTGGAATGCTGAACTCTTTGTATTGTCAAAAGATTCTATGAACCTGTTTATCCACATTATGCCGATTTACATTTCATGCTATTTTCAAATATGACAGCATCAAACAACATGCGCTGATATATCACTGAACATCAGACCTTACACAACGACTGAAGCAAAGAGAGCGCGAAGCCAAGAATAAGATGGAAAAGCTGATGCAAGGTTTGATATACCTTATGAAAGTTGAATCGATCTAACCAGAATTTTACCAGAGATCAACAAGCATCAGGAAGGGATCCGATCGTTGAAAGTTCAGAACGATTCCTTGAAGGGAAAGTCTGAGGAGCTTCCATCTGAACTCAAGTCTCTGCAAGAAGAGCTCGAGATGGAGAAGGAGAACTACAAGACCATCCTGAACGGTGATGCTTCTCTTACGTAGGCACTTGCTTCCTGACCCGATTGGTTCAGACCTCGACAGCCAGGACAGTTCCATGAGGAGGAAGAAGCATGCGCTTGAGATGGGGCACGAGCTCTACGAGACGAGATTGGGCCTCAAGTTCGACAAGACGAATGATGGAAGCCTTGTCTTCAAGATGCGAAACATCGACCCCTCCTTCCCCTCCAGGGAATTCTCCTTCTCGATCAGAGTCGAAGAGGATGAGAAGTATCACGGTAAGGGTGGGCGCGCGTGAAGGCTGCCGTTGACATCCCTGACAGTCATGCACTGCAACCCTGAGATCGATGGGCTGGACCAGCTGGTTGCGGTCTTGAACGACACCAACTCCCTCTCGCATTTTGTTCGTTCGGTCCGTCAGAGCTGGAGGCAGCCTTACGCGAAGTAAGCGGTTGAATGTGAAGAGCATCGTGTAATCTATGGGAGAGAATTCCGTTTTAATGAAAGGAGGATCGACAGAACATTGACATGAACTACTTGAATAAACCATACAAGGCAAAGTACAGTTCGAAGGTGAGTGTGTAAGGATGTTGTCTGATTTACTAGGCGAAGTTGAGGACAGCTTCGCCCCGATTGCCAAGAACATACCTGAAGAGTGTGAGAAGGAGGAGGGGGGGGAGGAGAAGGCACCTTTCCACGTACTTGTAGATCTGATCCTCTTCCTTGTGCGCGTGTAGGAAGGCTACGTAACGAGTCAGACTTCGCTTTCCCTGTCCCAGCCTGCCGTCTTCTCCTCTCCTCTTTGCTGTGCTCCTCCTTCTCTCCCATCTCCTCTTACTCCCCAGCTCACCCACCTGAGAACGATGCGACGGTTGCCTGCTCTACAAAAGCTATGCTCGAGTTCAGTATTTCAGAGTCCTTGAGCTGGGAAGAGAGCGATTGGTAGGCGAAGCCGAGGTTCCTCGGCAGGTCGGAGTTGAAGCTTCGGCCTCTCAGTGCTCGACGAAGGTTCTCGAAGCGCTCGATGGCTGCGAGGAGGGGACGATGCGTGCTGTCCCTGCTGAGAGTTACAAGGGAGGAGGGGAGGGGAGGGGAGGAGAGGACCCGTGCTGCTTGCTCGAGGCCTTAAACAGGAAGAAGCCCTCCGACAGCAGAGACGTCCAGACGGACTTGAGGACAGCCTTTTCCCAGCTGTCTTCCAGGAAAGCAACGGAGACCGTGGCAGACCCTCGTCTCGCCTCCTCATAGTCCAACAGCTCGCCTGCTGCCTTCCTTGCCCGGACTGACCGGAGGGAGAGAAGGAGCCGCATGAGGGTGTTGGAGCGGATGGAGGGGACCGCAGCGCCAACTCGCAGCAGCTCAGCCAGGAACTTTCCCTTGTACAGAGCCGCCAGGCTTGTCCGATGCACTTCCTGCCAGGAGCAGCGGCCCTGCTTCTCCTCTCTCTGTCCTCCCTCACCCCCCTCGCAGGGCCAACCGAAGGGAAGGATCCTCTTCATGAGGCCGTAGGGGAGCGCCTGTACGCAGCCTGCTCCTCCTCTTCAGCCACGACACGCCGGAAAATCTCCAACACCTGGTCGATCTGCGACGCAAAGATCCTTGAGACCTGAAAGGTCAGGGAAGGCGAAGACTTGCTGACGTGGCGAAGTGGAAAAAGTGAAGCTGAGACATGGAAAAATCAGCGAGTAAACATCACAAAACACTGCAGATCCCAACCTCAATGCGTCCGCTAATGAGAGTTTTCCGGAAATTCCAGGTGGACAAGCGAAGCGCGACCGGTTTGACTGGCAGAGTTCATCGACGTACCTGCAACGAATCCATCTTCATTTCCCAATCAAACATGTAACATCCACAACCAGCTCGCAGACAACATACTCGGCTCGATGATGGACAAGTCTTCGCGCAGTCCCACGACAGCCTGCAGGTACCTCGCAACGTACATCTGACTGTCTCCCTGACAAACAACTTCGTGATCACTTGCGGGGCGCAAGTACATGGCCATCACTGATGCTCACGTGGACGAAGATGACGGAGAGCAGAGGCGCTGAATTCATGGCGCTTTCAACGTATCGCCTGACGAAGTCCAGGCTCGACCTGTCGACCTGAGGCCAAACGGCCCAGCACTTGCAGCAGATGACTGCCAAAGAAAGGACGGTAGACAGGATCAGCAGCATGTGATCGTTAATTTTCGTTGTCCTTGACATGCGGGGACTGACGATGCTGATGAAAGTGAAAAGGCGATACGTGGTAAAGCTCATGAGGAAGTAACTACTCATTAAGGCCTGAGGGTTGGAAGGGGAAGGAGAGAGAGCACAGGGTCAGTCACATGCACAAAATCTTCACTGCGTGATGACCTGGGGCCAAAACCGCCGTAGGATGTACCGTGACGTAGAATCTTGACAATCAGTGTTGGCAAGATACAGAAAGATTGTGACGTGAGCAAAGAGAGATGAAATGACTACCAGCCCAACGATCTGAAAGGATTGCAAGCCTGCAGTCTTGTACCCTCCCGTCCACAGGAAAAACGCCCCCCACAGCGTTGCAAAGATCCCAAGATAGCTCGTCGACTCGCTGAGGTCGTGAAGGAAGAGGTGGAGACGGCAAAAATATCCGCTCGAGGTCCTCTGGAGGTCAAGGTCAAGGACATGCACAAGAAAAGCAGCTAGGTAGACACGGTTATCACATTAGGCACAAGCTGGAATGTGCCGTATTCTCGTCGAAAAAGATGACGGAAAAACCCTACAGGTGTTGAGACTTCTCGCCCACCCTGGACATCACAGTTTCAGTCAGGACTGTTGCTTGTGTTTGCTGAACTTGCTACCCAGGATCTCCATGGGGAATTTGCCGAAGCCCAAGGCAAGTATAGATAAGGCAGCAGTCCAAACAAGAACCCACAAGTTGACAGCAGGAGTCTTGACGTCCATCCCTCCCCCCAAAACCTTGCAGTGCATCATGATGAGGTGTGATGGAAGGACTGGAACATCGAAAACCTCCGCGAGCAAAACACCCCGATGATAGCCGGAAGTGAAAGGAGTACCTACAAACTTGTGAGCTCCTGCCCCCCCTGCCTCTTCTCATGAGCCTGACAGATGTATGCTGGTTACTTGCTCCTAGACCGCACGCAAACGCCCCGACGAGCAGAAACAAGTTGGAACCTCTCCTGGATGAATCTGCTCCCGCGAGTGTAACCGTTCAACATGAGATAGAGCGTGATACCATAGAATCGAACAAGAGAGTACAGGATACATGAACACACAAGGTTGTTCAAGGAGAACACCTGAGTCAGCTTCAACAAACATCCATTCTCTTGTTGCATGAAACAAGACTTACCTCCGCATGCGTGTACGCATGCCATACATGCTCATTGGTGGAAAACGCCATCGCGCCCACAAAGGCAGGAAGCATCACACGCAGAGCAAACTGCCCCGGTGCTTGTTTCGAGTTTGATTGGGAGAGTTCATGCTGGTAGGCCATCTTCAGCCAGCACGCGAGGGTCATGTACATTATCCCTCCTGTCAAGGACCCAAGACCCGCCGACAGCAGGTTTACTCTGTACGCCACATCCCAGCCCGTCGGCTCGAGCAGCTGAATGGTGGCTGCCGCCGCTAAAGTGTACAAGGGATAACCAGGAGGATGCGGCACCGCGAGGTGGAAGGCTGCGGTGACAAGCTCGCCAGCGTCTCCTCCTGCAACGGTGGGATAGACCGTCCGGGTGAAGACGAAGAGAAGAAGCAGGGAGGCGAGCAAGGGCATGACGAGGCCCTCGCTATCATACTTGAGCCTACCAGCCATCCCTGCTGAAGGATGCCCGGCCTACTCGCCCTCACTCCCTCCTAACTTTGAACTTCCATGGGAGCATTTTATCTTTGAAAGCACTTGTCATTTTGTTTTTCGCTGCACCCGCTCTTTCAAAACCTGACGGTTTCAGTGAAAATGGCACCCGGACCACCGAGTGGCCGGGCCGGGCCCCGGTTGATACCCGGAGTCTCGGAGTGCCACTGTACGGCCCGGGCCGAGTTGGGACCGTGACAGAGGATGCAACCGTGCCAGCGCAGAGGAAAATAACGGTTGTGTAACCGTGGGTTCGAAAATTTGAGGGGAGATGGCGACGTGCGCAATCTGCCTGGAAGCGGAGGGGGAGGGGGAAGAAGTGAGGGAGGGAGAGGAGAGGAGAGGTGAGGACGAGAAGGAGTATGCTTCCATCAACTGCTGCTCTCACAGATTCTGCTACGACTGCATTGTGGGCTGGGCACGTAGGAGGAAAACCTGTCCAGTTTGTCGAGCCAGCTTTTCCTCCATCACTGTTACGAGCAAGCATACTCAAGAGACCCGGACGCTTTCCGTCTTCGATGCTCTCATGGAGAAATATGGTGGATTGCACAGTGACGACGATGAAGATGATGAGGAAGAGATGTTCGATGGGTATGATGATGATTCAGAGGCCAGCCTATTTTCCCCTTGCCTTTCGGCTTCTTCCACCATATGTATCCCATGCTCGGCTACGATACAGACGACAGCTTCGTGGTCACAGATGAAGACCTCGACGACGAGTTGGAAGAAGACAGTGAGTATGAAGATGAAGACTCGGAAGCCGAAATCGGTGGGTTCGTCCCGCCACCGCAACAGTTGGAGGTGTTGTCGGCGATAATGGAGCAACAACGAAGGAGACGAGCGATGCAAGACCTTGAGCAAAGGATCCAGAGCATTCGGGAGCGAACAATGGCCTCGACTGGCAACGTTCAACAGAACAACTCGAATGCTTCGCAACCCAATGGGTGGGGCTCGAGGTCGAACCCTATCTGCATCGACGAACCGAGTCAAGAAGGAGCCTCTGCTGCAAATCTGTGAGTTACCTTTGTTTATTTTCCTTACCATCTATATGACTCCCATCTTAGGCAAAAAGAGGGCAGGGCTGGGGCTGACCATCGTGGTAACTCGACTTCCCGAACGCAAAACCAAGTTACCGCCGGAGCTGAATCCCAGAGGAAGCGCAAAGCTCAAGCCTCAGAGGAGATGACGAGCACCTCTTCATCATCGCTGTTGAACAACAAGCGTATGAAACAGACTCCTTTGGATTCAGAGGCGCAAACGAACACTTCGAACACATCTGAGCAACGGAGCAAGTTTTTCTCCTCGAGGAACACAAACCGGGGCTCCAAATCATCTCAAATTGTTGCGGATGAGCCTGTACATGAAGATTACTTCGCTATGTGATATGCCGTTTCTGCGCCGATCCTGATACGTTGACGCGTGTTTCTTAGGGATGAAGAAGATGACGAAGAACAATGCAATTGCATCAATTGCACGATTACGAGGAAGCCAGAAACCGGTTTGTCTGGCAACAGGATTTTTGAGAATCAGTCAAACGCCTCTAACAGCAATCAGCAACCTACAACTCAGAGGAAGCGCAAGGCTCCGAGTACTGAATCCACCACCACAAGGAGGGTGACAAGACGGCAAGGCAACACAACAGCAAAGAATGACAAAAACCCAACCAACGGTTCCATGCTCTCAACTGGTAATGTGTCCAAAGGGGAACCTGTCAAAGTTGAAGATTCAAGTCATTGCAATCTGGGCGATAGAGGCGATGAAGCTACATCCTCAAGCACATCTCGCAAGGTACCGAGTTACGTTTCAAGACGGACCAACCCCATTTAGACCCACAGTTTACAAGATCAATAGCGAATTTAAATGCTTCAGCACATCTATCATTCCCTGTTGGCAAAGTATGCAAGACACAAATGAAAGTACTGTAGGTCTTGTTCTGAGATCTACAAATAAAAATTATTGTTGAGCTGGAGGTTGAGCAACATCCGAGGTCCATAATCTGCCAGATTGTCAGGGGTAAGCCTGGTGGAGAAGCATCCTTACGTGAGATTGTCTCGGAGTAGTTGCATGATAAGTGTCGCATCCTTGTAGGATTCCTCACTCAATGAATCCAGATCCGTTATGGCGTCATCAAAAGCCTGGAATGCATTGAACACAACACAGCGCAAAGAAACGGAGGACAGCATACTTGTTTCGCAAGCGCACATGCTTGCTCTGGCAGGCCAAGAATTTCGTAATAGAAAACAGAGAAGTTGAGAGCCAATCCCAACCTAAACAAGAAAGTTAATTGCACCGGAGGAACAGACGAAACCCCCAAACCGGATGGGATGTGTAGTGGCAAGATGCTCTACAGCGATGTCTTGAGCGGCGCTGTAAGCTTTTAGAGCAGCATCCGATGCTGCCTTCCTCATGTCCGCAGAAGCCACTTCTGCAAGATACCTAGTTCGAAAGGACTTAAGCGAGGTGAGAAGGATGCACATGCATGAATACCTCCAGTAGTCACCATGCATCTTGAGATAAAAGACCTTGACAACCAGTTGTCAGCATTGCAAGCAGACTATGTAATAGGGCAAGTAGAGAAGTTGAGAAGCATACTTTGGGTTCGTCCTCCTTGGCAGACGGAATGAGAAATTTGTCGAGAAGGGAAATGATATCACGACAAACATCGGACAGCTCTCCCTCAACTTTTGCGAGGTACTCGCGGATCAGCGCTAATTTCTCCTCATCTGTATAACAGCCCCATGAGACGGATACATTCCGGAACCAAGAGCAATCAAGAACACAACAGCACAAACACACAGGGACAAGCTCTCACCTGTTTCTTTTTGCTCGATGGATGAAATGATTTTCCAACTGTTCAACAAGGTTAATCTTTGAAGGACTTGGAGGGGAGCAAGAAAGTTGCTGCACTCAGATTTGTGGGCATCACCTTGCACGACGAGTTCCGACGACATTCTTGTACGCCACAGAGAGTAGGCTTCGTTCCTCAACGGTCAGGTCTACCCCCATCTTGGCAATGGATCTTGTGGCCTTCACCATCTCATCATATCGTTCTGCCTGTTCTGCAATCTTTGCCATGTAAACCTTCGAATCACTGAAATGAAATCAATGAGCTCGAAAAGTGAAACTGAGACAAAGCGATTTTCACCGGCTCAAATTCTCATATTGCTGGTCGGCCGCAGGATCTTCACCATCGACGCCACCTCTGAGCCTCAAAGCAAAAACTTTCGCTGCTAGCGATGTAGACCGGGAGGGCCTGCTTTGAAGAAGCTTGGTTGGGAATGGAGAGGAAAGCGATGACGAGGAAGCCACGGTCAAAATCTCCAATGCGACCATCAGCAAAATGATCGTGGTCCCACTTCTCAGAAGCATGATGGAAAGTGTCCGATAAAATATGAGATCACACAGACGATCAGAGAGATTTTCTCCCTCTCAGTGTCAGATTGTTTAGGTAGATAGGGGAAGGGCGAACTACAGGCACCCACTCCGCCTTCTTTCTCCTCGGAACAAGAGTGCAATACAAGAAAGCTCCTGGACAAGAGAGACGGTCCGAGAAGAGATATTCTCTTTTCTCCTTGGAACTGCGATTCTTTTGATGGTTCTTGACCTCTTCTCCTCCTTCTTTTTCTAACTTCTCTTCCTTGTCTTACGCTTTCATCTGCATTCCGCGCCGCTGCTGCTTGACCACCCACCCCCTATTTGTCTCCGTCATACACCCTCACCCTGTCCAAACCAAAAGACTACCCTACCCGACAGGTATGTTGGTCCCACCACACCCCAACTTTGCATACCCACCCCCTCGAACAAATCTCTTCAAGGTCTTGTCCTACCAGAGTTTCACACCCCCTACCTACCTTTTAAGGTATACCCCTTTCTAAATCCTCCATACCCCACCCCTACCGGATCTACTCGAATTCACTACCCTTCCCATTTGGCAAATATTGGCACCCCCCCGGTCTGTCTTTGACCCCACTTTGACCAAAGACTACCCCTCCAGATGTCATCAAACACTTATGATTTCGATACACCCCTCAATTACCCCACCCTATCATCGAACACATCTGGTGTACCCCCACCCCCTGGATTGCGACCTCCTTCCGAAAAATGAAGAAGATAAAAATGATTCGAGCGGAATCATCGAGAAGAAAACGAGAGGAAATGCTGAGGAAAAGAGATGAACAGGTCAACGTGAGAAAGGGTCAGGGAGAGGAAGATCGAGAGCTAGAGTTTCAAGAGGGGGAGACAGGAAGCTATGAGTGAAATTGACAGAAAAGTTTTTTTCAGGCAGGCTGCAGGATGTTGGTAATGGCAACAGTCGAAAGGGGGTTGAAGGAGAGAAAGACAGAAAACGAAATCGAATAAATGAAAATGAGAGGGTGAGATGCGAACATGACAAGAGAACATACAGGAATTCTGCAGGACAGGATACGACAGGTACGAAGAGAGGAATCCGGCAATAATAATCGAGAAAAGAAATAGTGAGGAGGACAGCAAGGGAACATGAAGAGAGTGAAGGCATGATTCTCATCGATATAGCAGAAGCGAGTCAGTTACTTGTGAGGAGGAATGATCTAGAACCGTTAAAATCGATCAAACATCTGTACAGCGAACAACCGTCGCAATACATTCTGGTGCTGCCTTTCCCCATACGACGAACCTGCTGCTCAGCATCACACAATGACATTTTGCTCCATGCATGGAAACAACGGTCACTGATAGAAACAACTGGCCAGTGACTGTTGTCAACACCTTGCCTGAGCATCTCGTCACTTTATTTGTTTTGCTTGCTTGTGCTGCTGAATCAGAGTGAAGGCAGACAACGTGTGCTGAAGTTGAGAGCTTACTCTCGCATACGTCTCCCTGAATGTTCATTTACCTCTTACAATGACCCTTTCATTGTGTTCCAGAACATCTAGTTGAACAATGTTGTATTCGAGCGAGCTACTTGAACATCGCATTTACTCAAAATTAAGTTTTGAACCATGTTGTATTCTAGAAGATCTACTTGAACCATGTTGCATGATAGCAGATCTAGTTGACTACTCTCCAATAAAAGCTGCTCGCTCACGTCGCTCGGCCGGGCCGAATTCCGATGATTCTTAAAATAGTTCGTACTCACCGTTGAACACCCAGGCGGGTGCCGCATCTTGTGCCAGGCCTCCGAGGCTCGGCGCCATCGCCTGTCACATACCTGCTTGGGGCCCTTGATGCCCCATAGCCCTGCCCACAGCAAGCAGGCGCGCATAGCCCTGGCAGCGCATCTGCAGCGCAATGATAGCCAGCAGCTACTGCGGCCAGCAGTGCGGCCCGGCCCAGAGTGCCTGCCAGAGTGCGCTGCAGAGCTGGCTGCAGAGTGCGGTCAGGCTGCCAGCCGGGGTTGGCCCGCCGACAAGTTCCGACTTGAGTGGGCGGCCAGTCATGTCAAATTGAACGGCGATGGAGCTGGACCGAGGGGCTGGTAGGGGGAGGGAGGAGAGAGGAAGGAAGCAGCAGGATCGAGCAGAGGATTGGGTTAGGACGTGCTGAACCCTTGATGTTGCAACGGAGCAAGTCATTGAACGTGAATCCAACCAGCTTGCTGCATGTCGAGAAGGACCAGATTCTCGAGTTCAAGGTCTGTGAAGTATGTTGATGACTGCGGGTGACGGTCGGAGGCAGGCGCTGTTGAGGACATGCCTCTGCGAGCTCGAGGCCGACCTGAAGAGGCTCGTCGAAGCAGGCACAAGTGACAAGGGTTTCTTGGGACTGACTCTCACAGGAACCAAAGTCACTACAGTAATCTCCGGATCCCCGGCCGCTCAACCTGTGACGGGAAGTCCTCTCCGACCAGGAGACGACCTCTTGAGAGTCAATGGCGTCTCTTTCAAGGCCGAGAGGAGCTCAGCGATGATCTCCAAGGCCGTCAGGAATTCTTTAGACGACAACCATGGCACGCTGCGCATAGAGTGCAGAAGAAAAAGTTCCCTCACCGTGGATACCGTCGTCTGCTGCCTAGCTGCTTCTAGCTCCCCGCTCTCTTCTGCCTGCCATGCGCTCACTGCCGCTGTGTTGGAGACGATGAACCCCTCAAATGCGAACAGAGCCCCTGCTCCAGCAGTCGCCGAGCAGATCCAGCAGCTGGCCAAGCACCTCCTGTCCTTGTCGACATCTCATGAGGAGGAGATCCGCCGGACCATCGACAAGTCGACTTCTTGCCTGGCTCACCTCCTCGAGCTGGTGGAGGACTTCGAGCTCAAGGCATGCAAACCAGCGCTGGTGAGCCATCATCGTGTGTTGTTCGTTTGCTCCACAGTGCTTCCTTGACACCAGACCTTGCAGAAGTGTAACGGCAAAGATGAGGATCATGACGGCCCAGCGTCGGAGGAGGTACTGAGCTTGCTCAAGTGCGTGTGAGTTGTTGCTGATCGAGATGGGAAGCAGGAGAATGCGGGGGAGAGCGCAAAGGCGATGCGAGAGAGTCAAGCGCTTGTCAAGGAGCTGCAGGAGAGGCTGAAAGTCTCGGAGATGAAGCTCAAGGAGATGAAGCAGTCGAACGAAAGCAAGTTGAAGAAGGAACAGCTGAGGCTTGAGCAGCTCAAGATGGAGTTGCAAAGGGAGTTTGATGAGAAGCTAATGAACAGACTCCGTGAGGACGAGGAAGCGTTAGAGCGATGCAAGCAGGAGTACATGTGCAAGGTCCGCGATGATCTTTCAGAGCTGAGTCGTCGGAACAAGTCCGGTCTGCAGGAATTGAATCAGAAGGCACAGGAGCTTGAGGGTTGCATCAGGAATTTCAGCATCGACGTACAATCCTCTGTACGTTCAGCGAATCAAGAACTGGACATTGTGCGTTGTCAAGTGCGAGAGAGTATGAAGACAAAGTCTTGGTATCTAAAGCAATGGACCTCAAGTTTGAAGACAAGTAAACATATTTCTTCAATGCTATTGAGGTCTCGACACAAGGTTTGTTTGGCTTCCTTCCTCAAATGGAGAGGTGCGTGTACATACATCAAGACCGTGCTTGACATGGCAAATTTCGTGGGTAGCAACATGATTGGGCTATCAAGAATGCAGCAAGATATTCTTGTCTACCTCTTCTGTGATTTGAATCGTGCCCAATCTTTGAAAAGGAGAACTTTCAGCGTTGAGGAGATTCTCAGGCGATGGAAAGATTTGATAAGAAGGACAAGTTATGTTGACAAGCTGGACGTCATCTTTCGTAGGAACATCTCCCGCCGCATTCTTGACATGTGGACTAGAGGACGGATGCTGAGATCAGACCACAGGCTTCGCGTCAAGATATCAAAGAAGTTGTGTCGTACCGGTCACCTGCGGATCAGCAACATGCTCTTCGCTGCTTGGTCTCGATTTGTCAAGATGGCCTCTTTCTTTTTTCACAAGACATCTCAAAGGATCTGCCAGAAGTTTTTCAAGTCCTGGAGCTCTCTGACAAGGATGAAAGTCAAATTGTTTTCCAACACAAACGTCAAGATGTTGAAGAGATGCTTCATGTCAAGTTACAGCTTCTTCCAGAGGTGGAAGTTGATTTTCTCGCTGAAAGGAAAGAAGAGCTTGTCGTTGAAGTTGAAAGAGAAAACGAGCTTGAAGAAACTACAAAGTATGATGTTGCAGTGGGCAAAGAGGGTAAGGACAATGACAGCTTGCAAAGCTCTTGCAAATTCAAGAGAGATGAGATTCACAAGTTTGTGCCTGCGGAGCTGGTCGAAAACCAGCAACACGGAGAGTAGGAGGAAGTTGAGTTGGATGCGATCACAAGCAAGACTGAGTGATCAGGTTTGCAAGAAGGTCATCTTTGCCTGGAAGGTCGACATGTTTGTGAGGAAGAAAGATGAAAAGCACATCATATTCTTGCTCTCTCGCAGACAATGTTGGTTGTTGAAACAAACTCTGCGCAGATGGGCGAGATACTGTGAGATGATGACTGAAGTGTACAGCAAGATCACGGTGAAGTCAGAGATGGGCATTTCTTTCTCTCTGTCTTGTTTCCTCTCCTGGAGATTCTTCACCCTCCAACAGCGCAGCGTTTCATTCAAACTCCGGCAGATAGACAGGGTCAAATCGTTGAAGGCATTTCACACTGTTTTTGACCGATGGAGGATTTGTTGTTTCTCATCGAGAATGGCCTTGAGGCACATGAAGGCATTCTTTACACTCTGGAAAATTTTCTTCAGGTCACGAGCAAGAACGAACGATTTCCTTGCTTTCATCTCCTCGCAGAGCAGGCAGAATTTCCTGCACAATGTGCTCATTTGTTGGAGATGGTTTGCAGATCATGGAAACAAGGGCGAAGACGTGTGTTGTGCGATGATGAGACGACAGTCGAAGCTATCAATCATGCAGTCATTCAGCAGATGGAAGAAGGCGGCTCTTGTGGTATCATACCATCTGTCTGAGATGAACATCAACAAAACGAACCACCAGACAATCAAGAAATGTTTCTCCCTCTGGTCGGAAGAGATCGCCAGAAAGAAGCACAACCTTCGTATCTTTCAACACCAGAGGCAGAGGCAGGCAAGCTCGAAGTCCTTCTGGCGATGGCTCTCGTGCTATCGGGACTTGTCCTACCGCACAGAAAGGTCCGAGCTCTTCTCTGCTTCCCTCCTCAATCGCCGACGGCTGAGCTCTTACTTGACTTGGAGGGAGCGGACCAGGCGGAAGATCTCGCTGCGTCGGCTGATGCTTGTCCTGCAATCGAGACTGTCCCGTCGGAGGAAGGAAGAAGCGTTAGAGGCGTTCTTGGAAAGTTCCCGTCGACTTACAAACCTTCTTGACAACATCCAGCGCCTCCTGGAGAAAGCTCTGCGTCATTGGAGGTCCAAGGCAAGGTTTGCCTTCAGGCTGGAATTCTCCTCTTTGCATTCAAACTTACAGCAAGAAGGTTTCAAGTTGGTACGAAGATCGCGGCGGTACGTCACTCTGGAAGACGATTCAGTCGCTATCGTCGTTCCTTTGTCGGTTCGTCCCAAACTCTTGGGGGGAGGTGACGAGGAGACTATCTTTCTCTTCCTCTGCTTCCATCACTGGAGCACGGCGATATCCAGGGACGACCTCCTTCCTTCCACAAGAGCCCTCGTCACCTCCCGGTCTCGTCGCTGCTCGCGCCTCTCCTTCCTGACATGGCGTTATACTGTTTCTCGTCGACGAAGACAGGAGGGCGGGACGAGCATATGGAGGAGGAGAGTGCTGGTAGCGGCGCTCGTGCGGTGGAAGACCTTTGCTCGCGCCAGGCATCACGACAGGAGGATCCTAAGGAACCTTGAGCGTCGGCGAGAACTCTTCCTCCTCTCCTCCTTCCTGGACGATTGGAGCACAGCTCTTGCGCTGAGGGAGAAGGGAGACTCTGCAAGGAGGAGGAGGCAGAGTCTTGCTGATCGCGTGCTGGCCCTGTACGAGCAGGAGGATCAGGTGTGGATGGAGCGACTCTTTGAGCGATGGCGATTTCAATGGCTGCGGGCGAAGACGACGTCGGCGCCGCCCCCTCTTCCCTCCCCACCACCTTGCATCCATCCCACCTCAAAGGATCAGCAGTGGCAGTGCTTGCTCGAGCTCTTCGTCCCCTTCACACATGTTCGCTCCTACCGCAAGATCTCTTTCAACCTCTGGAGGCACGCGCGACCTATGCCGGCGGCCTGTGTATGGACCCGACTCCTCCTTTTCCTCCTCTACAAGCACAGGGATCACCGTACCTCCTCGGTGCTTGCAGCATGGCAGGAGGAGTCGGAGAAGAAGGTCAGGAGGTTGAAGGGGGAGGAGCTCCTCCGGCAGCGCTTGCAGGAGAGAAGGATGGTCCTGATCCTAGTGACTTGGCGTTTCTGCGTCTACAGAGAGAGAGGAGGAGCGAGCGGAAGAGGAGCGAGCGGGAGGTTGTCGTTGTAACTCAGTGTAGATGAACTTTCATGATATGATCTAAGTTCACCTTTGACTCTGCTGTCTTCCGAAGCCTCCAACCGTTTCCGAGTCACAATGACCGCCGGCGTATACCCAGTCGGGCTCCGGGCCCCGGGTCAGCGAGAAGCTGCACTGCGGCAGTGCGCCGGGCTGGCCGAGCGCCTTCCGAAGCCAAGTTTGGGCCTCAGTGCACTTGGAAGGAACTTCAGAACTTCGGAACTTCAAACTTTCAACTTTTTAAAGTTCAAAAACACTCGGATCATGAACCCCGGCCAATTCATGGCGATCGGACGGTTGGGCAGGGATAGCGATGGAGGCGGAGGAAGAGACAAGGTGGAGGGGGCGAGAGGAGGTTCCTTGCACTTGTACATGCTCGAGGGAGAGATGCTGGCTCTTCGAAAGCTGTAACCCTCCATCCCCCGCTTCTCTCACGCCCCACCTCCTTAGCAATGGGACCGATGGATCAAGATCCAATGGCCCTGGTTTCCAACAGCGAGCGCCTCAGGAATCAAGTGTTGGAGATGAGAAGCAGCGAATTCGACGTCGGAATGCTCGACAAGTCGTTCAGACGTGCGTACGAGCTCGCACCGACTGCCATCCCAGTGAGCAGGAAGAAGAAGAAGAAGGGCCTGCTCAGCATCTACAACACCGAGGAGGAGCCCGACGATATGTCGAGCCGTTTGCCTTTCATCGAGGAGTCTCAGAAGAAGGAGATGGATGCAAGGCAGCAGCAAAAGCTCGAGGCTCGCCAATGGGGGAACGAGTTTGTGATCTGGAGGGACGATTTCGACCCGGGCTCCAACGAAACTCTGAGGGAAACGTTCGTGTCGAGGGCGAAGAACACGTACATGGACGTCAAGAAGCGATCGAACAACTTCAAGGACCACATTGTAGACAACGGAATGTTGCGACCTGAGTACAACGAAGTGCGGGCAAAGACCTTCGAGAAGGTTATGCTGGCCAGGAATCTCCAGTACGACGATATCAAGAAGAAGTCGGAGAGGAGGGTGGAGAAGACCATGGCAGACGCGGGCCATCGCACTTGCACTCCATCCCGACGGAGGACCGGGAGAGCAGAAGGCTCTACCCTCGCTCCCCAGACTTCCAAGGAGAGGGGCGAGAGGGGGGGCATGGTGTCGATTCGTCCAAAGGAGGTGAAGAAGTCGCAGAACTGGAAGGCAACCCCCAACTTCAAGCATTCAGCCCTGCTGGTCAAGCATGAGAGGCGTCGCTCCTTGGAAGGGATCCTCAAGCCCAGCGGCAGCCTGACGAGGATGGGCACGAAGCCGGTCTCCCCGGTTTCAAGGATACCCAGCGAGTTGTCGACGTCCCCCCAGAGCTATGAGGCCATGTACGAGGAGGAAGACTTCGTGCTGCATGCTCCGACGCCCGAGGTGGTGGTGGATGTGCTCGAGAGCTTCAAGGGGAAGCGGAAGGAGATCGTCGAGAAGGGTATGAAGGCCCAGCAAGACCTCAGCTCGTCCCGGGCTGAGGTGGACGCTGAAATCCAACGGCTCAAGTCGATAGAGTCTGTGAAGAAAGTGAGCAAGAGGGAGAAGGTGAAGCAGCTCACTCAGAGCATGAGGCAACCAAGTCCCACCCCTAAGGAGAGCGCCGAGAGCTCCGACGAGCTCAGGACGCCAAGGGGGCCTCCTCTCCTCCGAGAGCCGGTCTATGCGGAAATGACGGAGGAGAATGACGGCTCGCTGCTGACCAAAGGCAAGACTTTGCGCCGCCCAGAAAGGGAGATCTCGATCTACGTCGGGGAGGAGGAGGATCAGCCCGAGCAGGGGTCGGAGGGGTCGGAGGAAGGGAGCAGGGTCAGGACCGAGGAGGAAGAGAGGAGCCTGGCGGTCCTTAGGAAGTTCTACCCCAACAATCACATCCCAGCAGCTAAGAGCAGCAAGCCGCTGTTTCCTTTTTCTGCTGATGGGGAGGGAGGAGGAGGGGGGAAGCTAGAGCCGGCCCTCAGCCCGCGCATGCTGACGAAGAGCACTTTGGATTCGTTGCCTCTTCGCGTGCCGGATGGGTACATGACAACGATGATGGCGGAGCAAGAGGTCGAAGATGAAATCGAGCAGATGCAGGAAACGTTCTATGAGAAAGACGCGAGGTAAGAAGACGTCGATGATTGAATGATGGAATCTCGATGGCTCGCATTGCAACTGAGCAGTGTGAACGAGAATCCTTGAAGGATTTCGATTCGGATTTGATGTAGATGATGATGTTGAGGATTTTCGTTCATCGTTGTTTCATGATGATGATGATGATGATGATGATGATGATGATGATGATGATGCGGGGGGGGAAGAGGAGGAGGAGAATATTGACGAGAAGGATCGCAGTTGGCTTCAAAATGACAATCAAGCACTGCGGGCAAGCATTGAGAGCACCTTGAAAACTCAGATTGATCTTTCTCGCGCTGGCGCTTCTTTTATGTCATCCAGCACGGATGGTTTGAACCAAAAGTTGCTTGCTGACAACAACGACGAAGATGATGACGAAGACCTTGGTTTGGACTCAGGCAATGGAAATCCTCCTCCTCCTCCTCCTCCTCCTCCTCCTCCTTTCATCTCTCTCCCTCCCTTTCCATTCTCCCCTTTCCTTTCTTCCTTCTCCGCCGTTCGGATTTGAGCTCACTCACTGCCTTGCAGGTCCGATTCTCTACAGGACAAGAGTTCCGAAAGCAGAAGATGCTCGTGCACATTCTGATGTAGCAGGGAAGCAAGACAAGGAGGACGATGTCAAAGTGGAGGAGGTGAGGGAGGACAAGCGCAGGAACGAGGAGGAAGCAGAGCGGAACGATGACGCAAAAGGGCAGGACGACAGGTTGGACAGAGAGGGAGCGGGTGGCGACAAAGACGATGTTATGCTCCATGCGACGCGCGACGTCCTTGCAGAGGGAGAGGAAGGAGAAGCACAGGTGAGAACAGGAAAGGCTGAATGATGTCTGACAGAAGTGAACTTGACAGAGGGAGGGGAAAGACATCGGGTTCAACGATCCACTTGCGGAGCGAATGGTGCAGGTGAAGTTGAGCAGGAGCAGGAGCAGGAGCAGGAACAGGAGCAGGAGCAGGAGCAGGAGGCGCTGTGGTTGCTGGCTCATGACAGACTGCGGGCAGATCTGGGAGAAGTTGGAGATGACGAGCATCGAGCGACTTGAGATGATCATCAAGTACGCGGAAGTGGAGTATGCGCTGGTGCTGGAGGAAGCTCTGCAGGCCTGGGAAGAGGTCCGCTCCCTCCGCTCCCTCCGCTCCCTCCGCTCCCCTCCCTCGCTCCCCTCCCTTCGCTACCCTCTCTCCTTCTCATCCTTCCTCTCATTACCTCTGCTCTCCTTCCTCTTCCTGATCCTCTTTCTTCCAGTGCGCCGACGCGATCTTGGAGAGGGAGAGGGCTCTCAACCGCCTCCACCCCCAGCAGGGCGAGGTGAGAAGGAGGACACGAACTTGCAGCCTTTTACGTTTGACGCCTCGTGATCCGCAGCTGGGAAAGGAGGACGTCAAGGAGGAGATCACGAGACTAAACGAACAGGTTCTTCCACCTCCCCCTTCCCAGCTGGGGTTGTGCTGGCCGTGTAACTTGGTTCCAGTGCCAGAAGAGTATCGACCTCCTGCTGGCTAAGTTCGGGGACATCCCTTCCTACAGGTGCGGCGCTCGTACTTGATGACCCGGGCCTGCTGACGGATGCGAGGGTAGAGGCGAGAAGTACATCACCCAGCTGGACTCTTCCACCTTGGCACCCTCAGGCGAGGTGAAGGCGGAAAGGCCGAGGGCAGTCACGTTGTCAGACTAGATGCCGTTGTAACATTTTTGCTGTAATACTACTACTACGTGTATATTACTACGGTGATTTTTGACTTAACCGTGTATGTTACTACGGTGATGTTTAACTTAACCGTGTATATTACTACGGTGATTTTTTGACTTAACTATGTATATTGCTACAGTGATTTTTAACTTAACCGTATATTACTCTATAAAGTGCGCAAGGACAGCAAACATTCGCATATGAATTGGAGTGTTGAAAAAAGCTGCCCTGTACTGCGCCTTCAAAAGAATGGCGCCAGGAGCAGCCTCCTGGAAGCCCTCGTTGTAGATCATCCCTCCTTCATCTCCATCCTTCTTCATCTCCATCCTCCTTCATCTCCATCCTTCTTCATCTCCATCCTTCTTCATCTCCATCCTTCTTCATCTCCATCCTCCTTCATCTCCATTCTCCTCTTCCCTCTCCCCGTTCCCCTCCTCCTCCTTCTCCTCCACCTCCTTAACCTCTTCCATCCTCCTCCCTCCTCCTCCTCCACCTCCTCATCATCACAACCCTCAGCACCAGCATCAGCACCTGCCATCTACACCATAGTTTGAGATACCCATTCTTCACCTTGACCGCTTCCTCCTGTGATGAGAATTTCACGTTGCCTTGCATTTCGAATATTTCTTGCGACTCTTTGTCTAACAGGACTTCATCTCTGATGGGACCTATCTGTAGAGCGTTGTCCATCCTCTGGTTGAGCCATGGCTGTTTGTCTCCAAAAGTTGTCCTCACTACACCTGGTATCACTTTCTCCATTCTGCCACGTCATGTTGCACTGAGACCTGACCTCGAAGGCTGCTGGCATGGGAGACGTAGCGACTGTGATGAAGGTAGCGCCTGACGTCCACGAGTTTCCTCCCACCTGACAAGTGTTCAGTTCCTCAAGAACGAGAAGACAGAGTTCGTCGGAGGGAAGAAAGGTAGAGCGTGTGCGGGCAGGAGAGGACTCGTCTGATTGTTGCTGGCCAGTCATGGTCTTCCACCTCGATCCCACCGGAATGTCGGCATTGTCCCTGGCAGCACAGAGTGGTCACTTTGAAGTGAGGAGGAGGAGGAGGAGGAGGAGGAGGAGGAGGAGGAGGAGGTGGTGGTGGTGGTGGTGGTGGTGGAGGAGGAGGAGGAGGAGGAGGAGGAAAACGAGGAGAGGATCTATGCTGATGATGAAGAACAGGTTGTCGATCTCCTGTTGCGAGTGAAAGTCCCTGCGAGCAGTCAGGCTGACGTCAACGGTCGCTCCAAAGCTGGTGGGGAGGAGGAGGAGGAGAGGGCAGGCGGCTGTCCCGTCTCACGAGCTTGTCAGGCGTCACGGCCCTCATGCTCGCCGCGCAGAACGGGCATGTCAACATCGTACGAACGCTGCTGGAGCACAAGGCGGACCCCCAGCTCAAGAGCGAGGCAGGGGACACAGCCCTCCACTACGCCACCCGCAACCCGGACACGCACACGAGGAGCGAGATCTTCTCCTTCATCCAGGACGCAGGGGGAGACGCCTCTTTGCCCAACGCACAGGGTCTGAGCGCGAGCGACCTGCTGAGAAGAGGAGCGGAGGTGATCGCTGCACCCTCCCCCTTTCTCCCTCCTCTTTCCTCATGATCTGCGCAGTCGTCCGGAGGGACAGGAGCAGCGCAGGTGACCCAGGGGGAGCGGGCGACCAGCCACGTGATGCAGATGTTGCAATGGAAGAGGCGACTGAAAACTGTGCTGGCAGGGGGGAGGGGAGACGCAGGAGGGATTGGAAGGGCAGAAGGAGACCACGGCGAAAGGGGAGGAGAAGGACGAGGGAAAGAAGAAATGCAAGGACGTGCAAGAGGCATACTGGGACGCGTACGGCCGACGTGTCCATCCAGAGACTATCGCGAGAGGTGAAGAAGTTTGTTGAACTCTGCGGACCCGCCTCCCTCTGCTCTGAACGATTCTGACAGAGTTAGCGAGACACCGGAAGGACAGAAGGAGAGAAGCGGCGAGGAGAAAGTGACCACTCCCGCCATATCTCTGATCCCCTACTTTCTCTTGCTCCTCCTCCCTCTCCCTCCTAGTCTCTGAGATGCTGAAAGATTGTTTGACAGGAAGGAGCAGCAGCTGGAGCAAGCCTACATCGCGATAACAGGGGACGAGAAGGAACGCAGGGAGGGAGGAGGGGAGCGTCTGTGACACAAGCCCTTCAGGGATTCAGCGGATTCAGAAAAGTTGGAGAGAGGACCAAGTTTGGGGAGGAGGAGATCAAAGAGAAGGTGAGAAGTTTGACCGGACAAGAGGACGATGAGAATTCCGAGGCCAAACGAGTCGGAGAACATGGAAGGGAAGGGCAGAAGGAAGGAAGGAAGAAAAGTGGGAGGAGAAGGAGGAGAGCGGGGAGGAGGAGGAGGAGGAGGAACAGGAGGAGGAGGAGGAGGAGGAGGAGGATAGTGCTGGAGTATCGGATTGGAGAACAATCTTACTCAAATTGCAGCTTTGCAGCATGGGTTTCTCTGAGGAGCAGGCAGCAAAGGCGGCTAAAGGTGAGAGCACAAAGGTGGATCCGGGGGGGGGAGGGGGAGGAGGAGGGAGGAGGAGGAAAAGGAGGAGGAGGAGGAGGAGGATGGGACATGTTTGATTGCCGAGTTGTGTTTCCGTGGAGTGAACTCATTCCGTGTATCAGAAAATACTTCTTTGGAGGATGCGATCGAATGGATTATCTCAAGTGGGGGCGTCGAGGAGGAGGAGCAGGAGGAGGTGGAAGAAAACGAGGTGCAGGAGCTGCAGGAACAGATCAAGGAGTGGAGCATGCAGGTAGAGGATTTCGCTGCTCCCCTTCCCCCGACCTTTGACTCTGTTCCCGAGCAGCAGGATGCTGCGGGAGAAAGGCAGGATGGGAGCGATATGCTCGAACGGTGACTGCAATTCACTACTCCTTTCTTGCAGCACTACCTTCTCGCCTTGCTCCTCCACTGCCTCTTTCCTTTCACCATCCTCTGCTCCACTTCCCTCCTCCCCTTCAACCCCCCCAACCTCCACCGAGCTCCCTCCCGTCTCCTCTTCATTGGGCTCACCCTGCCACCAGGTTTTTCTCCGCGGCAGCCTCTGGAGCCTCCGCAGGGCAAGAGATTCTCCGCTTCCTCCAGGTCGATCGCTGACCCTCCCCCTCCCCCTCCCCCTCCCGCTCCCCCTCTTCTCTTCTCTCCGTTCCTCTCCCCTTCCCCATCTTTTCCCTTCTGCCTCCGCTGACTTCCATCAAGAGTCAGATGTCTCGACCAGCAAACTTCGCCACCGACACGCAAATTTCTTCTACCGACTACAGAGAGCGCGAGCTCCAGGCCTTCGACTTCCACTCCCTCCAGCAGTCGGTAGGGCGAGCAGGGAGGGAAGGAAGGAGGCGGAGGGAGGGAGGGGAGGGGAGGGGAGGGGAGGGGAGGGGAGGGGAGGGGAGGGAGGGAGGGAGGGAGGAGAAAGAGGGTTTGTGGGTAGGTGGGTGGAGGGGGGGGCTCACGGTGAGCAGGACGGGACTATCGAGCACTTTGAGCCACAGCAGAGGCGAAAGGGGATGGAGCTGGAGGATGGCGATTTGCACTTAGAGGGCAACATAGAGGTGAGAGATGCTTTGAAGGGGAGGAGGAGGGGAGGAGGCTGGATCTTAAGAGTGCTGACGGGTGAGCGTACAGGGTTGGGATCAGTTCCATGCCAACGAGAAGTTGTTTGGCACAGCAACAACTTACAAGGAAGAAATTTATACGAGCAAGCTAGACAGGTCGAGATTGACCGAGGAGCAGATCCGAAGAGCTGAGGTAGTAGAACAAAAACCTCCTCTTCCTCCTTCTCCATATGTTCCTCCTCCTCCTCCTCCTCCTCCTCCTCTTCCATATATTCCTCCTCCTCCTCCTCCATATGTTCCTCCTCCTCCTCCTCCTCTTCCATATATTCCTCCTCCTCTTCCATGTATTCTGTTGTTCTTGTGTGTGTTCTCTTCTCTCATTTCCCTGGTAGCTGCTGGCAAAGGAGATTGAAAAAGAGCGCGATGGGTCGGCAGCTGTTGAACAGGAAGCTGTCGGAGACGACGATACCTGGGCAACGGACGTACATCGTTGAGGAGGAGCAAGAGGATGAGAATGAAGGCAAGGATTAGAAGGACGAGGGACGACGAGGATGGTAAATGCAGCAAGAGAAGAAGGAAATTTTCGTGTTTTGATTTTCCGATCCACTTCGAATTTATTTATATGAATTCATGGAATGCAATCGTGCGAGACGATCTAATAACATACCTTACATCAAAGGCTCCCTCTCCTCAACCATCAAAATACAGTTTGATCCACGACGTCTCTTCATCTCTTTCATCTTCATCTCGTACATCTTCGTCTATGCTGTTTCTACACCCTCAACTGCCTGCTGGCTCTCCGGCCCATCGGATCACACAAGACGCTTCAGAACCCTGTGTTGCCACCATTCATCTTCGACCTCGTGCAGATGGGCTGACATGCCTCCGAATGTCTTGCGATTGTCGAGGCTGAGATGCGAGGATCGTACTTTGTCTACAAATCATCACCACGACTCGATTCATCCCTTTCTCTCGCTCTGAGGGCCCAGGGAAGAAATTCGCCATTCGTTTGACAAGAAACAGAAATAATATTACAAGGCAGCAAGAAAAGGGCTTTCATCTCGACTTCACAGCCACTCTATTTGTGACTGTACCACAGCGAAACCGGAAGAAGAAGAAAAGTCACTTTCTTGCGGACATATCCAAATGATCATCATCATCATCATCATCTCCATCATCACTTTCTCAAACACCATAGCCATCAAAATTCATCTTTGTCATCGTCTTATCAGTTTCTCCAACAACAAACTTAACAACCTTGACATCATCATCATTGCAGAGCTATGAGCCCAAGGAGCCATCATGATAGAAAGAAAGCATGGCACGAAGCTCACCAGCATTCTTCGTCGCACACTGCATTCCATTCTCAATGGTCTGACAGAGGTTCGAGGTCTTTCTCTTCTTCGCATTCGATGCTTGCAAACTTGAGCAGTCCAGCGAGTTGACATTCACATTCACATCTTGTGTCTGGTCATAGGAAAACAGCAACTTCTCCTGAAGTTTCTCCTCCACATTCACAGTATGCAAGATTGGCTTCGGCGATTCTTCCTTGACCACTGCGACAACACCATCAACGACTGCAAGAGCGGATGAAATCTTCAGCATGAACCTGTTGCATTTGGTTTACTGCCAGGTGTAACCTTCCCTCCCTTTGTTTCACTCGCTTCTTTCTTTGGATCACCCGTGCTCTGTCAATACCAGCGTAAGGGGCAGACGTGAACACACAAGTCAACAGTCACCTTGCAGGCTTTGCTTTCCTTGCTTGTCCCTTGTCCTCCCGATCTTCAGCAGAATGTCAGAAGGTCACCAAGAAGAAAGCATTCCTGCTTTCAGGAACAAACTGAGGGAGACAAGCATAGACACAAAGGCAGCAAAGGGAACGAAGAGAGAAATGAGCAAGAACGCAAAGGGGCAAGAAAAAGTTCTCAGGGCGTGATGAAATTGGGGCTGACAGAGAAATTCTGATTATGATCGTCATGAGAGATTATGTGCAGTGACAGGCAGGGTATGTTCCGCTACTATCATAGACATTTTCCTCCTGCTCCTCACCCGTCCGACTTCCGTTTTGGCGAGTGGTCGCCGCTGCCTGAGGAAGTGCGAGACAGTTGGAGCAGGAGCTCAGCAGCATACACGCGCTCATCGTAGCTCTTCTCCTTCGCTGCCCCTTCTGAGTCCCCCTTGCCCCTGCAGCCATCCTCCCCCTTGCCCTCCTGCCCCTTGTCGGGCAAACCGGTAGACCTGTTTGCTGCCTCATCGGCCTCCGCTGGCGAGTGTCCCGAGGGTTTGCCAGGAGCAGAGGACGAGACCTTTCTCTTGAGCCCGAACTTCTTCTTCAGGTTGTCCTGGACGTCACTTGGGAGCAGACCAGGAGCGTAAGAGCGCAACTTGCCCTTCCTGTCCAGGTCCATCCAAATATTGAAGTAGCCGCATTGACTGCAGACGGCCCAACGAGCATCTACACCGCAGGCTTCCTTGTAGCATCGCACGAGCGCTTCCTCCTTGGATTGTCCAACCCTCACTTCCGCAACGCGGCAGAAGCGCTTGTCTTCCCTAAACATGCCATGAACTTCCGTCACCTTATAGTCGTCCACACGTCGTTCCTTGACGCCTCTCCAAGGAAGGACGAAGTCTGCGAAAGACTTTCCATTGCTAGTCTCTGTCAGGGGCACGAGGCGCACGCGAGCGGCGCGCGAGTCGGAGGAGCATTTCTTGCAGTAGCGCTCGTCGTCGGGCATGGCGGTCGGGGAGCCGAGCGCGAGATGGGGGAGGGGCAGATGGGGTGGGGCACCATCAAGGTAGGTGGGGGTACCTGAAACTGGGTGGTATCTAGGTAATTGGAGGGGGTATTCAGGGACAAACGTCTTCATCTAGAGGGTGGGGGTCAGGATGTGATCATCTCAAGATGGGTGGGTCATGTTGAAGTTTAGGGGTACTCAAGGTCTGTTGGGGTGAGGTGGGTGGGGTCAATGGCACTATTAAAAATGGGGTCCGATGGAAGAAAAGGAGGGGTGGTAACCAATGTGATTAGGGTCCTTTAATTGTATACCAGGAATTCAAAAAAAATGAGGGTAGGGTACTATCAAAAACTGGGTGGGGGTGTGCAGAATTACATCAAAAAGGGTAGTTGGACTCTATAAAGAGCAGGGTAGGGTCTTGTCGATTTAGATAGGGTGGGGTTACGAGGGTGGGGGTTAGGTGAGAAAAGCATTCGATCATGTGGGTACGGTGGTAAGACAGTATACGTTCGAGGGGTGCATAATGAGGGTGATTTGATGGGGGGTGGGGTACGGGGTGTGCTACGCCTTGGAGTGGGAGAGTTCCGAGGGTGGGGTGAATGTGTACACAGGGTGGGTATCACGAAACTGGAGGAGGGGTAGTAGGATCATGGGTGAACGGAGAACCCACAGATCAATCTGGATCAGGGGGTGAATAATGAAAGGGTGGCAGGGACATTAAAAGGGTGGGTGGGTATGTTGAGGGGTGTTTTGAAATTAGATGTCGGAGGCATGGGTGGGGTAGGGGTGGATGGGTTTAGTTCAACAGGGGTGGTCGATACCACGGGGTGAGGGGTAGGTAGAAAGCGGAAAGGTGAACAGAAGGGTAGGGAGTAGGGAAGGGGTGGGTATGGGGGGAGGTCAGGGGGTGGGATTTGTTAAGGAGCGGGGATGTGGTCCTTTTCCGGGGGCCGGCGTCCCGGTGCTCCCGGATCGGGGTGACTCTGAGACTCGCTGAGCGGCCCGTACAGTGATCGCTGGGCCGGGCGGAAACCGTTGAACAGTGCGCGGCATCATCGGATCCGGGCGAGCCTTGGCGGCGGCCCCCGGGGGCGACTGGCCGGTGCGCGGCCGGCCCGGCTCAGGCTCGCCGGGGGCCGGGACCCGGTACTATGACTGAGCCTGGTTCACGAACTTCGGAACGCCTATGCGGGATACACTGAGTACAGTAGTACTAGCCTCAGGGCCCACGCCCGGCGGGGCAGTACGATCAGACTCCATCTAGTAGTCAAATGATACAGAAACGGATATATTACCATGAGTCCGTGATAACCGCTCCGGGGAAGACGGCTACTGCTACTTGCTAGGCTCAACAGGTTTGGGGCTCGAGCAAGCCTCAGGGGAGTCATCCTCTCCTAGCAACACCTTGATAACGAACACGGTGATCGGGACTGCAAGGAAAAGAGCTCCAATGCCAAAGACATGCTCCGTCACATACAGTGCAATCAAAACTCTGCAAGGAAGTCAAAAATTTGTTCCCCTGACCTGGACTCACTTACAGGAGGGGGTGGAGCTTCAGTTTTGAACTGTAGATCTGAGGATTCAAGAAATATGCCTCGATGGCATGAACTATCAATACCATCAGGATCACCTAAGCATGTCTGGTCACGGTCCACCTGTTGCTGCCTCAAACAACTCACCTGGAACATTTTGAAAACACCGGATTCAGACAAGGCAACCATGCCCATCGGTAATGTTGAAAGAATTACTCCTGCAAGCTGAACACAAAAATGAGTGCAGGCAAGGAAAGGCGAGTGAAGCCTACTGGGATAAACGAGCAAACAAACACGAGGATGGAAAAGAATGGTGCCCCGGGCAGATCCAAAAGCAATAATCCAGCAGTCGTGAGCATCGTGTTCCACAGTGCGATGAGAAGTTGAGCCTCGAGACTTTTCCCAATCAGACGGCCAAACAAACTATCGAAATGCAATTAGAATTAAAAATTGTCAAATTCAACCCTCACCACACTCGTGGAGCGATTTCATTGTAAGCGAATGAAACTATACTCTTCTCCTGGCCCAAACGTTGCACGCCACGTTGGATGCGTGCCTTATCAAATATGCAGATGAAAGAAAAAAATAACGAAACAAGAACTTGCATCAGCCATGTGCTGCTGCTCCTCAGGATTTTGTTAAAAACTGGCAAGAGTGCCAGAACATATCCCTTCAGGCTCTGTTGCAGCTGTAGGGTGAGAATCGGGGCGGAGCCCTCGGCGAGCTTTAAGGACTGGATAGCAGCCTTTGAGGGTTCTCCATAGACGGAGGTCAGGAGAACTTCAATGCGCATGGTGACGTCAGGCCCCAAGATGGAGTGGATACTGTTTGCAAGCTCCACATAGGGGTTGTCCGAGAGGAGCAGCTGCTTCAGGTACCTCCAAGACGTGATGATTTGAGGCACTGTGAAGAACGTTGCAAAAAAGATCGCGTTGATGATGACGACGATGTAAAGGACGGACAGCATTTGCCTGGAAATGTGAGGAAGCTTAATGCCGAACCGGCTAATCGCAAACTTCCTAATAGAGTCCGACTGCCTCTCCCACAGCGCAACCACCGAGTTTCCAACGAAGGAGAAGATGAATGTTCCCATGATGACCCCATAGAATGATCTTGCAAGATAACATGCGATGCCGAAAGCCAGCCAGGACAAGAGGCGCATCGCCATCTCATCGCTGGCAAGCTGCTCCAGCCACCTTGAGGGCTGGCTGTCATCAACCACGGAAGTGCTTTCTGACTCCAATAGTGTTACTCTCCTTGTTCGGCTTCTGCTAGCTGGAAGAACATCAAATCTTTTCCTGGATCCCGTAGAAAGCTTGCTGAAGCTGTTGATCTGCCCAGGATCAAATGAAGAAAATGAAGAGGAGCACCGAACCGTACATGAGTTCGATGCTGAACCTCTCCTCCAACATGATGCAGGCTTGTGAGACCATGGTGCTTTTACAAATGCAGCATGCTGAAGGCCATGAGCTGGCGAGATCATGAACAAGGGGCCGGCGATCGTAACGACAACAATCGTGCTGATTGAGAGGATCCTTGGAATGGGCATCGTAAAGAGAAATGAAGCAGCACAAGCAATGCACAGCAGAGAATGAAGGCCAGGGAGACGAAGGTCCCAAAGAGCTACGAGGAATAGGCAGCTCGAGAGGCTGCATGGAAGGGCGCGCAGGGCGGCAGCACCTGCCAGCAGGGGCCTGCCATTGCGACGCGACAATAACGGACCCTTCGAAGGGGTGGGGTGGCAAAGATGCAGGGTTAAGGTGATGGAGGAAGAAATCCGAATGGGTGGGGGTGAATTGAACATTGTCTTTCATGGGGTACAAACACTAGATTTAGGGTGGTAGGGTATAGACCACAGGGGGTAGTGACAGATGGGATGGTTTGACAAGGGAGGGTTTCCATCGATTTACCTAGGGTAGGGTCAGGGGTAGGGTGATCGGTCCAGGGTAGAGCGGGGAAGGTGGTGTGCAGTGCTGACTACCGGTACATAAATCTGAATTCTCATGTACAATTCTGTGGTGGGTCATCAGGAGGTATAGGGTCTCCGGAGGAAATGAATCAGGTAAAGGTGTTTTCTACCAAATGGATTGACCTAATCTATTTTGAAAATTAATCGACCATTTCTGATAAATTTCAAATTATCAGCATACATCTTTGAAAACGAAGAGGCTCTAATGCAAGTGGTACCCCCTACCATGAAAGAATCCAAAGTACCCTCTCATATACTGTTACATAGAAGGTATGGATGTGGTAGGGTGATAATATAGAGGGGGTGGGGGTGGCAGCTCACAAGGGGAATTGAGGCCGATGGATCCATGGAGGGAGGAGGGAACTTGGGGAGGTGAAGGAGGGAGAAGAAGGAGAAGGGGAGAGAGTGAGAAAGCGAATGCAAGGGAGGAACAAGGCATGGAGAAGTCAGCCGAAGGAATGGGTCCTTCGAAACGTCATCTCTCATCAGGGAACGAGTAGAAAAGCCCAGGAAAAGATTTCATCTCTGTACGAACGAACAAGACAGGTTCAACAAGTTGTGATTGATTTGGGAGAGGCGCAGCGAAATTGAAAACAAACCACAAGTATTGCGCTACGATCTTGAGTCTTCAATCGAAGACACTACAAAAGGCGTAAACTTCGGAAGATGGGAATAGGAATGGACTCGATCGTACAGGCTGCTTCTGCGGGGGCAGGTACGACTTCAACCTGAGCTTCAAGAAGAATCATCATAGCTGACACTTACTTCTCCTTTGCTCTCTCCCTACCTCTCTCCAGCCTCCGCGGTCACGACGTTAGTGTTATATCCTCTTGATGTGGTGAAAACAAGGTAGAAACACAAAATTCCTCGGGAAAGTCTTCCACGTCCCTATTCACGATGACGTCAGATTGAACGCCGGAGCTGATGAAGATGGGGTCGCGTATAAGGGAGCCGGTGACGTGATACGGAAGCAACTGAAGAAGAAAGGATTGAGAGGGTTCTACAAGGGTATCCAGGTGGTCGTGCTTGCCCTTCGGACCTACCCTCCTCACCCTCGCTCCCTCAGGTCAAGCTGATTCAAGACGTGGTCAGGAGCGTGTCTTTCTTCTACGTCTTTGCCGTCTTGAAGGGCTTCTACTCGAAGCAGTTCGGCAGGATCGGGCTACGAGCGAACCTTCTGCTGGGATACCTCTCAGCAACCATGAACCTCCTCCTAACCATGCCCATCGAGGTGGCGAACACGCGGCAGATGACAGGAGTGTCGAGCGGGGGATTCCTGGCCATCCTGGCTGAGCTCGTGCAGAAGAAGGGCTTCAGCGGGCTGTACACGGGCATCTTGACCAACTTCATCCTCTGCCTCAACCCCGCCATCAAGCACATGGTCTTCGATCAGGTTCCCTCTTCCTTCCAGCCCTCCTCCTCTCACATGTTACCCAAGGTGAAAGCGAGGATATTGAAGGGTAGACGCGCTCTGTCCGCCATGCAGTCTTTCTTTCTCGGGGCGGTAGCTACAGCCATCGCATCTACTGCTACATTTCCGGCTGCACGAGTTCGAGCGATCCTACAGTCGAGCAGCTTGACAGGTCTGTGTCTAGTTCTGCTTTCCCGCTTCCTTTGAATGGACTGCAGAGGTGAAAAGAGAGAAATGGATCGCCGTTCACATCCTGCGAGAGATCATTCGCAAAGATGGCTTCTCGTCCTTGTACAAGGTGTTTCCAGCCTCGTCTGCTGCCCCTCTCGGCTAACAAGCCTCATCAGGGTCTAGGGCCGCAGCTCATGAAGGGCGTGCTGAGGTATAGAGGTGAAATCTTTACTCGAACTAACAGGCCGCAACAGTTCGGCGTTGCTCCTTGCAACGAAGGAAAAGATTCACCATCAAGTAGACCAAGTCGTGAGGTGGGGATGGAACTTGTGGAAGTGACTCGCTGTGACATTCACCGTGAAGGGTGCTCCTTCTGGTCTTGCTCTTCTTTCTTGGCAAATCAAAACACAAGACCTTGCCGAGGGTTTCAGGCAAAATGTAAATATTTTCTCCGACATTGTCAAGCCTTGAACACGGGTCAAGATGCTTTTGGGGTCCATCCTCCACCCTCCACCTTCTCGTCAGTTCTTGAACCAGTTCTGACAGAAGGAGAGAGAAGTCTGCCGATGCAACACCCTCTCTTTCCCTTCATCATGCCTGCCGTCCGCAGTCAGCGTTCACCACCATATCGTCAGGGCCTCACAAGAGCTCCGTAGAGTTTCTTCCTGTCACATCGCTCCTGTATGTTCGGATTGCTGACCTGCCTACGACAACCGGAAGCTTCCATTGGACTCCTCCTGTCCAACTCCATCACGCCCCCAGCCGCAGGTTATCCTCCGCACCTGGTGCAGTGTACAATGTGCTCCTGTCTTGGGAGACCCCGAGCGTTGGCGAGGCAGTCGTTCCTCTCTTCACCGGGCTCGCAAAGGGCGGTGAGGAGGCTCCAGCCATCTGTCTTTCCCCTCAGCCGCTCGACAGCATAGGGGCCTCGAGGTCACCTTCGGGATGATCTTGAGACTCTTTCCTATGACGGGGTCGTGCAGTTCGTTCATGGTGTTCCTGTCAGGGTGGTGAAGTTCAGCTGGGAGGAAGCATGATGGAGGCGGAGACCGAGCCCCGGCGCATACCATGCACTCGGAGACTGTGACCGGAACAAGATCTTGCTCGGCGACAACCTCTGCAGGTGGTCCGTGGCCATAGCACCTGAGGCCACGTGCAGTGAGCGTCTGCCATATCGACGAGATGAAACCCTCCCCTACCTCGACTCTGCTGCGAGCTCGCGATGGATCGGTTGAACCTGCTGTAAGTCGACTCGAATGGAAACACTGCAGGCATTTTTGAGCTGCAGGGATGGAGAGTTTCAAGTCACCGACATGCTGAAGCGAAAGATCAATCAGTCAAGTCACCTGCCCACTGAACCCTCTACAACAGAGTTTTCTTCGTGCACTGGCAGCCAAGCGTTCTCGTCCTGTCGTAGTCTCCCATGGCTTGTAGGAGATCTATTTCCAACCTTGAAACGCTGCAGCTGTGGCCTTTCGTCATAGACTTCATCCCTCTTGACCCGGTCCTCTGTGTATGCTAGTGGAGACAGCACAGCCTTGGAGGGCTGGATGTAGTTCATCGCTTCGACTGTCATTCTAGACGATCTGGTCCCCCCCTCCTCCGGAATTTACAGAACCCTGAAGTTTGCTATAGGATGGTTGCCCTGCTGATCTGAATGGGACAACAGCACAGCCTGAATTTCCCGTAGTAGCTGTGTGAGGCTCGCCGCTAGGACGGTCCGATCACTGTCGCCGCTTGCCAGCCGCTCCGAGGGTCAGTGCTGGGTCAGTACCGCTGCTACCGTAGTCCCTCGCCGCTCCTCCTCCAACTACTGAGTAAATGAGTCACGAGGACGTCGTGGATGCGGTCAAAGTTGTCATCTACTGGCGAGCGTGTAAGGTACTCTCAGTTGGAATTTACTGATATAAATATTGTTGATATATTTGAAACTTTCAGTATAATTTTGAAATAATAGAGAATTTGGTGATTCTGTTTTGGAATTGTCCTGCGATTCTCTTCGATTTTGACATATATTGATAATTTCAGGACCAATCTGCATACGTATTCGGAAGGGTGGGGTGGTCGGAGCAGTAAGGGGGGGTGATCAGAGTGAGTGGAGGTTCCAGCCAGGGTTCATACGATGCAAGCACCTGGGGTGGGGTCCTTTAAGTGGTCGTTAAAGGGGTGCTGGAATATTGTAAGCTCCATGGGGTGGTGTAAGGTGCTACAAATGCCCTAAGGAGACAGCTGAAAGGAGGGGGTAGTCAGAGAACATTGTCGTACATTTGCAGGGTGGGTGAAAGGAGTATGGGGTAGGGGTGGACTCGGGGGTATAGGTTGTAGGGGTTGGATTTGGGAAAAAGGGATTGCTTGGGGTTGGGGGTATCAAATGTTGGGTAGGGGTATAGAACTTTCAGGTAGATCCAGTTAAAATGGTGGGTAGTACGAAGGGAAGAGGAGGGGTTATATAGCAGAAAGGTGGGTAGGGGGTTGGTGATGACTTGGAGGTCGATTGGGTTTGGTTGGGTGGGGGCAGGCAGCCAGGGATGAGCGCATGTGGCGACATGCGGGTTGACGAGGAGGAGATGCGAGGAGAAGAGGAGGAGAGGTGGAGAGAAGTACAAGCGACGGTGCAAGAGAGGTGAGGAGTAGGAAGAAGCGAGGAAGAAAGAGGAAGGGGAGGAGTTAGAGAGACAGTAGAGGTCAATGCAGCTGTGAAAGTAGTGGGAGACTGCTTTTGAGGTGGCAGGGTTGCGAGAGAGCTTCGAGATCTTTACCGGGACCATGCAGAAAGATCTGATATGTAGAGCTATCTTAGAGTCGCATGCGTAGGGCTCATGCCGCTTGCTGGGGGCGTTTGTTTGTGGATCAGATGATCCGTTTTGTTAGACGATGAACAATCCGGCTGTGCGAGAGATCTCATCCTTACAAGCAGGTGGAATTGACTTGCAACTGGAAAAGCATCTGAAAGCTCTAATTGCTTCTTATTCTTTCATGAGCGGGTTCGCTTAGAGAGCACGGAGGCTATGTTTTATTAGGGTCCAGAGACCGTGGTTTGAAGTGAGCTGACCATGAGCACTTCGGCCGCATCTTCGTCCTCTGTCAGTGGCTTGAGCCACAGCCAACCTGTCGAGCCTGTCATCCCTGGATCAGCCAAGGCCCAGCGCTATCGACCGGATCTGCTGCAAGATCCCGAGAAAGCGAAGGACTCGACGGTTGTAGACGTGACGAAGAGGCTGGTAGCGGGGGGGATCGCAGGAGCATGGGCCAAGACGGCGATCGCTCCGCTTGACAGAACCAAGATCATCTTTCAGACGAGCGAGAAGAAGTTTTGTGCGAGGAACGTCGTCATAGAGATGGTACTTCCTGTGTGGCAGGAAGGTTACAGATGCTGACGGTATGGCAAGGTCGAGATTGTGAAGAGAGAAGGGGTCAACGGGTTGTGGAGAGGGAACTGTGCTACAGTGATGCGGGTGTTTCCATATGCTGGGATTCAGTTCGCAGCATTTGACGTTTACAAGCATTTCTTGAGCAAAGGTATCAGCGCGTTGACCCCCTTTCGTCTCTCCTGCAGATCTGACCTCTCCCTCACAGACCCTGATAGCATGTCGGCGGCGCAGAGGCTGCTGGCGGGTTCGGCTGCTGGCGCGACTGCCGTTGCCGTCACGTACCCGCTGGATCTCATTCGAGCTCGACTAGCAGTGAGTTCTGTCGCCTGCTGCTTACATCAGCTGCGATGATTCAGTGCGGGATGTTTAAGTTGCTCACTTCTGCGACAGGTGAGGCGGACATGGGAGGGTTCTGTGGCAAGGAAGGTCTGGTGGCAAGCCATCACTGGAGGACACGATAGAATAACCGTCAAGCAGCTGTAAGAAGTCTGCTGTGAAGACTGTGAGAGGGACCTGAGTTCGTTGGGACGGCAGATACCGAGGGTTGAGCCCGACTTTGTTAGGCATCCTGCCATACGCAGGTGATGGAGGAGTCGTTGTGCAAGTCTCGACTGAAAGTTTCTCCTCCTGCTGCTGGGATATCTTGTAGGGATCGCCTTCCTCACGAGAGATACCTTGAACCATCTTGCTTCCAAACACTACCACACCACCCCCCTGGAGACTCCGCTGAAAGCCAAGATGTTTGCTGGCGCGGTGAGAACACTGAGAGTTGCTTGTCTTGGTCCTTATTTCTTGACCTGAACCTTCCGGGCTGCAGGTGGCTGGTCTTGTTGCTCAATCTTCCACGTGAGGATCGACGAGAGTGCTGTGTAGATCTGACCGGGTTTGTAGATACCCTCTCGACCTCGTTCGGAGAAGAATGCAGACGGAGGGATTTGTCGAGACTGTGCGATTACTCTGGACTCTCCACTTCAATTGCTGTGACAAACTTGACAGGGACTGGATCACGTCAGGAGCTCGAGCGGTAGGGTCGCCACACCTTACTTCAAGTCAATCTCTTTCACACTGCACTACATCTACAAGTGAGAGAGAGCATTGTAGTCTGCCGCTCCTTCTTATCTGTGTGACCTACAGGCAAGATGGCTTGAAGGGATTGTTTAAGGGGTTGTCGATGAACTGGATCAAGGGCCCAGTTGCGTAAGTGAGCAAAGCAAACGCTCCTCCTCGCTCACTCTCCTCACTCAACAGGTTCATGATCAGTTTCACGGTCTTCGACTACATGAAGATTTATTTCCGCATCGAGAGATGATGAGGATGATGATGATGACGACGACGACGACGACGACGACGACGATGGTGGTGGTGATGGTGAGGATGGATAAGGTCTCGCAACTTTGGCGCTGGCTAGATCAAGGGAGGTTACTGCTGGAGGGAGGAGAGGGTAGCGATGGCGTTGCAGCTTCAGTTGTCGCGGGGTAAGGAAGTTAACTTAGGTTTCTAAATGAACCATGTCGCTCTAGATCCTATGAGATGAGATGAAGAGAATCGAGCGCTTTCATGGCAGGAAAGCCGAAGGGGAAACGATCTTCCTCTCCTAACTCATGTTCTCCCCCTTCTACGAAATCCTTTCTTCTTCCCTTCCTGACCGATCCACCTCCTTTGCCCCCCACTCCGCCCCCCCCCCCCACTATTCCCCCCGTCCTTATCATCTTGATCATATTTATAGTCATCATCGTTTCTCCTCCTGTTTCCCTCGTTCACTCATTTCCCTCCTCGGACTTCTGTTCTAATCAAATCTTCATAATCGTTATATACATTCAGTGGAGCTCAGGGTACTCGTTGGCCTGGCTGACTTGGCAGTTGTTGAGGTACCCGAGGATCTGCCGAAACAATGAGATGTGGAGAGGCAGAACATGAGAGGAGGGAGAAGAGAAAGCAAGAAGACCAAGGGTTGAGGGAGGGAGGGAGCGAGGGAGGGAGGGAGGGAGAGGGAAGAGGGAGGGAAAGGGACAGGAAGCGGGGAGAGAGGGAAGGCAGCAGAGGAGGTTGCGACTGGGAGGACCTTCGAGACATCGGACATGAAGGGGACTGTTGTCGTCTTGGAGTTTCCGATCATGAAGGTGACGAGCTCTTCCTGGTACCGCAGGATGCTGAGAGTAAAGCAGTCAGGTGACGAACCTCAGCTCTCCTCCTCCTTCTTCTTCCCTCCCTCCCTCCTCACCTTTCCCTCTCTCCCAATCTTTTCCTCTCCCTCTACCTTCCTGCTCCTCCCTCCTCCTCCCCTCTCCTCTCTCCTTCTCTTTCCCTCCTTGTTCCCTCTTCCTCCCTCTCCTGCGCTGCCCAGTCCTGCTCTGCTCTCTCCCCGGCTCTTCCTCACCATTCGGACAGCCGGCGGCAGTTCGGGGAGAGGATGGCACAGAGCGATTCTGCGGCTCTTGCTTGAAAGGAAAATGTCTCTGAGTCTTCTAGGATGCACTGACATGGCCAGTCAGGGTCGAGGAGGATGCGAATGAAAGTGGAAAGATGGTGAAGGAGGAGAAGGAAGAAGAGGATAGGGGAAATGAGAACGAGGGCGGAGGAACGAGGAAGGAGGGAGAGAAAAAGAGGAAGGAGGGAGAGAAAAAGAGGAAGGAGGGAGAGAAAAAGAGGAAGGAGGGAGAGAAAAAGAGGAAGGAGGGAGGTGACAAATGCGGAGAAACACAACTGTCCTAACCTGAAGGAGAACGTCAACTAGCGCTTCATCTGCCATTCGCTCCTGGACAACAAACAAGTCAATCAATTTTTGGGACCCCCTTCTTGTCCCTGGCCCCTCCCTCTCCCTTCCTCCCTCCTCTCTGTCTTAATCTCTGTCCTGCCCTTCTCCCTAAATCCCACTAATTTTGCTGTTCTGCTCTCTTCTGCCCTCCCATCTCCAATTCCTCTTCCTCTCCCCCGGAACGAGCGGTACCTTGAATGAGGCAGGGGCATCTTTCAGCCGGGCGATGAAGTTGTATGCCGCATCCTTCTCCGGGCCCTGGTTACAGTCACAACCCAAGGATATACAGAAGAGAGGTAAGAAGCATGAGGAACGGAGGAGAGAAGTGGAGGAGAGGAAAGGAGACATAGGGAGAAGGACGAAGAGGACGAGGACAAGGAGGACAAGGAGGAGAAAGACGTACCTTGGTGCTGACAAGCATGCTGGTGACCATCTCTGGCAGTCCTTGGCTACTCACTCGGATTAGCAGGGGAGGAAGAAGTCCCTTGACCCTACCAGGTGAAGTCGGCGAGCATGTGACCGGCGTCTTCGATGACAGCGAGCGAGGAGAGGACACGGAGCAGAGTGATCTTGATGGGGAAGGTTGGATCGGAGAGCACGAGCTTGTTGAGCTCAAGGAAGAGATCTCTAGGGATCATGATGCTCATAGTCCCATGCTGCAGCTGCGTGTGGAAAGCTCTCATTCCAGGTACAAGATTTCCCCTCCCCTGCTGCTACTGCTGCTGTGGCTCTTTGCTACTCCTACTCTTACTTGTTCTCCTCTTTCATCCTGGTCCTGCTCCTGCTCCTGCTCCTGCTCCTGCTCCTGCTCCTGCTCCTGCTCCTGCTCCTGCTCCTGCTCCTGCTCCTGCTCCTCTTTCCCCCTGATCTTTCTCGTCCTCGTCCTCGTCCTCTTGCCTCCTCCTCTCACCTCACGGATGGCGAACGCTGTCTTCTCGATGATCTGAAGGACCATCATCTGGATGTCGAACCTGTAGAGAGGATGAGACTCTTCGACACTGTCAAGCAGGAGAAAGCTCTCACTGCTTGAAGGCGCTCAGGCAGCTTGCCAGCGCGTCCCAGTACTGTGTGCACTTGGCCGCGATGAAGGCGAGAGGAGGGACAAACGAGAAGTTTCGGAGGATGTTGAGAGCCTTGTACGTGTAGTCCTCGCAGGACTCCTGCGACACTGGATCACCAGGAGGGGAGGAGAAAGAGGACGAAGACGATGAGAGGGAGAGACGTAGGGAAGCAAGGAGGAGCAGGAGGAAGAGGAGGAGAAGCGGCGGTGCTTGCATCAGCAGCACATCACATTGATGACTCACCACCTCTCCCCATCGGTTGCATGCGACCGCCAGCAGCTCGGGTTGTCTCGCCAGCCGGTAGAGAAAGCGAGCAAGAGCGCAGCAGATCCCCTCTGACAGCTCCACGTGCGGCTCACAGCCGTTCGCTGCCTCCCAGGAGTTGAGGGAGAGGACGCCGAGGGCCCACAGCAGTTCGTCCTGTAAGCCGCTCTCAAGCGCCCGACAGATTCTCTTCCCCCTCGCGATCGGGTTGTCAGGGTCGCTCGATCCCTTGCAGCGATCCAAGAAGGGCTTGCTGCTCGCGTTGGCGAACCCTGACAGCCCGGCCCGCCCCTGAGTCTCCTCGCCGACCCTGGCAAGGAGCGAGTGACCCTCCTCCACGCGCTTGCGGGCCTCTGAGATCCCCTTCGCCATCTTGCGAGGGAGGGGGGCAGAGAAAAGCTCCTCCCTCACGTCCCCGATCTCAATGCCGTGAATGTCGTGGATCTCGAAGGCATAGAGGTGGCGCAGGTAGAGCTTGCGGAGCTCTGCGAAGATTTGATAGTCCGGCTTGAGGCCCAGGAGCTTGCAAACTTCGTGCCATATCCTCTGCCTCACCACCGCCTCCAGCCCTCCGCTCTTCCTTATCACGTGGTACAGGTCGAACAGCTCAATCTCCTTGTCCTGTACCTTGACCGTCAAAACTCTCAGCCCCTGCGGCGAATGCTTGTTGAGAAACTCCTGATACTTTTCTCTCCATTTTTTCTGACACAAGCAGAGTCAGAGCAGGGAGAGCACGAGGAGGAGGGACGAAGATGCTGTCGAGGGTGAAGCAGACGGAGTTTTCCTTACCTTGGTTTGAGCGTCCACGTTCCACTTCTGAAATTTCTGCTGGTCAGCGAAGCTGACAGAGAGGTTTCTAGACGCGAGCTCCTCGTGGTGTAGGAGACCGTCTTTCACAACGAGACCAACTTTGCTGATCTCCTTCAAGACTCCATTCTCAAATATCGTGAACGAGTCCTGCGACTCGGCGCCGCTCGGCTGCAAAGTCCGGGGATCGACTTTGTCATCGATCTGCATCGCATCTCCTTCCTGCCTGGCTGTCGCCTCGGTCGACCTTCCCTTCTTGGCCTTATCCAAAGTTCCTCGCCGAGGGCTGCCGACCTCCTTGCCCGATCTCAACTTCTCATACATCTCAAGCTTGTCGAGCCCTGACTCGAAGAAAATCTTCCTGACAGCCGTGCAGAAGCCAAGAGAAGCTATCGTTCCACTCCTCCCCTCGCCTGTAGAGTGAGAAGATTTTTGTGAAAGGAGCTGATCAGCAACGATGCGCCAAGAGTGCAACTGGGAGGAGACAAGGTGAGGAAGCCAACGTGACAAGCCAACGATACCTTCGATGATCCTCCATGCTCCTTCACGGCTTGATAGATGTCATACAGAGTGACCTGCTTGTCATCTAGTACAAATGTCGGCATTCCCAGGGCATGCTGATTCGATTGGGTATCAAACTGCTCGAAGCAAAACGTTACCCGCCCTCCAAGCACGAATACACAGTACAATGCTTCTCTTCTCGCTGGGCACACAGTGCTTCCAGTCCGACAGGAATTTCTTGATTTCCCCATTCGTCTGGTTACACGTAGCCTCCTTGCTCTGCGCATGAAGCTTGCGTCATGACATCGAGAGGGCAGCAGGTGCATCAACACAATCATCCTACCCCTTCACTGTCCTCCCAATTATCGTCCCCCTTGATGCCCCCGCTGTATCCGAAGCTGGTCTTGACTGAACCCACGGATGAGAAGGATACCAGAAATGTGAGAGGGTATCTCACCTTTCTTAATGTCCAGATTGAACTCCTTGCCCTTCTGGAATGAGAATCGAGAGGGCTCGCCAGAAACTAGCAGGATGCTTGGTGGATGTGGGAGGAGGAGGAGGAGGAGGAGGAGGAGGATTCCACTTGGCGATTCGACGAGCACGAATGATCTGTTGGTTCTCGGAGACCTGCAAGACCATCATCCTTGAGGAGACCAGGAGGACGGCAGGAGCGGGCGAGGTCAGGAGGGGCTTCGCGCCATGCTCCTGGGAGCTTCGTCGAGGATGGGGTATGAGGGGGGAAGAGGGTACGAAACACATCAGAGTTTGACGACGGCCGGGCCCGGCCCGGGCCGGGCCCCGGGCCGAGGGTCCGGGCAACAGATTATGACATACTATAAATGGCTCCAGATGGCAGACTTGGATCAACTCAGGAACTTGTAATGGTTTTCTCCTGATGACCAAAAACTTATGAAAATACAGTTGAGAAAATGTTGTTTACGATCAACGCAACAGAATCCAAATTCAAAATGGTTTCACCATTCACCAAGAACTCTCGTCAAAGACTCGGACAATCATGCTACGGACAAAAATCCTTCTCTCAGAGACCATGGAGTCAAGGAGTACCTGTGCCTGTTCAAGACGTAAGCAGGTCAGATTTCCGAGTTCATTGCGCCGCTGGGTATCATGTGCAGGGGCCAAAGACGGTTATTAATGAGATCACAGAGTCAAGAGAAGTTTTTCAAGGCTGATCCGAGCCGACGAGCTGGCAGAGTTGCCTACGTCATGAGTACACAGAGCTGTAGGCAACACGGTAAACTGATTGGCTGGAACTAGCCGAGCGTGTGGTGATAACAGTGTTAGTGACCAGACCTTGGATGAAGTAGAGACCGTGAAGAATGTGCACATCCAAAGTCACGCTTGGATTGACTTCGTCACGAAAGGGAGCAGCTTTGCCCGGGAGGTCGCGTCGAATTGAAGCGAAGTGGTTCGAAGAAATTCAGACAAGCTGAATATGGTGAAGGGAGATGACGGAACATACACAACGTTGTCAAGATTCAGCCGAAATGTTTCGAACCATATGAAAAGTGGTTTGAGACATCTCCGTTATGCATAAGCTGAATGCATGATCGTACATTTGTCAAGAGGGAACCTTATTCACAGCCCGGATAGATGGTGATCCGCCAGGTACCAGAGAAACCGTTGAACCGCAAAGCGTCAGCATGAAGAAGACCATCCGTACCTGCCGTGAAGGGAAGAAAGGCCTTCGGAAGTTGATGGGTGGCATAACTTTAGCGATGATCCGAAATCTTCTCAGCGTTGGGCGGGGCCGGAGAGCGAATGCACTGGCCGAAAGGCCGACCGAGAACGGTGGCAGCCCATTCCCGGAGGTGTGGGTGGAAGGGCCAGGGAGCCAAAGGTCGCCCATGATGTGTCGGTTGGTGGGGCCATGCTGAGGGACGAGCGTCGGAGGGTCCGGGGAGTCACGGAGTCCCGGCCGGGCGGGTGTGTCGCAGTCCCTGCTGATGCGACATCTGTCGTCACCGTATGACGACAATTGGCCATACGAGAGACACTGCTTCTCGCCGATGGTTCTAGAGCTGTAGCACAAGGATCACACTGAGGTGGGAGGCAGCCTGGCCGGTTCGTCGTACTTCAGTTTTAACTTAACTTTGAGTAAATGCTGTTTAGTTGGGGATGAGAGGGGACGAGGGCTATTCCAACGGAAACTTCTACCACCCACCTTACCCCTCCCAACTTTGGAAAGTTAAGGGGTAGGAGAAACAATTCCCATCGAGTTCATTACCCCTTATTTTGATATGTAATACATTGTTATTTCAGTGGTGGGTGATACTACCCCACCCATGAATGACTCCTCAGGGTGTTGATCACCCACCCTCCCATATTGCGCGTGTCAAAGGAACTGAAGCCCCATGCCCAAACTTCATGGCGGCGCCTCCTCCTTTTCCGTTCTCCTCCCCTGCTCACTGTCGTCTCCGTTGTGCTCCTCGCACTTGCACTCCATCTGATGTCATCTGATGTCCTCCTATCCTTTCTCAGTGCCGCAGTGCCCAGTCTCGCTGTAGCCTCTTGATGCTCCGAGTCTGATCGTCTCTTCCTCCCTCCCTCTCTTGCCACAGCTGTCCTCTCATCCTTTCTCCCTGCTTTCTTCACAAGGCTGCACTGCGTGATAAGACGAAACGTTTTCTCTGCGTTTCGTTTATCGCTTCCATGCTTGTGTTTCTCCTCTCTGCACATCGCTGATGACTTTTTGCCTTTCAGTTGGGTTGACCGCCATGTCGACAACCTCCTTTCAGCCGCATAGCGCAGCCAACACTCTGGCAGCAAACCCCAACCATCTCGGAGCAGGGGGACATTTCCGCAGCGACTACAAGAAGTCGCATGCCTTCGATTACAGGCACGGGGCTCCCTTCGAGCGCGACCGCAACGCTCGCTCACCGTCTCGCTCCTCTCCTGACGTCTCCATGAGGCTCGTCGCTCCGAAGCCTCCGGTCACAATCAGGGGAATGAGCGCCTATGGAAACATCCTTGCCGATGGTTTGGATGACGCGGTGTCGGACGATGGCCGATCCTTCCGAGGAATAGATGGTCGAGACAGCTCCATGTCCATGGTGTCAGACTACACGCTGAGCTACGGTCTGGAGGCACTCGACAACGACAAGCTGGTCAAGAACGACGACGGAAGGTTCGTCCCTGCCTTCGTTGCGCTGGACCGCAAGGTGCTGCGTTTCCACGTCTGGTTCCGCGATCCTCGAGCAGCGGTGGGCTTCAAGATCAGGCAGGCGACTCTGTTCCACTACCTGGAGGACGGGAGCACCAGGGTGTCTGAGAAGCGGGTGGAGAACAGCGGCATCGTCACTGGTGAGGTAGCCTGTAGGCATCGAGCTCCGAAGCCAGGGAGCAACGGAGAGTTCTACACGGTCGAGGACTTTGACGTTGGGGTGGAAGTCGTGATCTTTGGGAGGACGTACAACATCATCGACATGGACGATTTCACGCGCGAGTTCTACGAGCTCAATGGGATCTCGCGGGCAGAACCGCTCCCCATGCCCAGCGATTATGTCGAGCCCTCGACCACCGCAGGGGTGAGTGAAGGGAGCGGATGGGGAGGCTGGAGACGATGATGAGTGGAAGAGACAGATGAGGCGAAAGAGGAAGAAGGAGGGGTGGGGAGCAGACTGGAGTAGGGTTGCACGGAGGGACTAGCAAAAGATGGTGGGATCTTGATGATTTTGACCCTTCTCTCGTCTTTGCAGCCTCCTAAGACCATCCACTCTTACCCGGATGTGGTGTTTCAGAGCCAGGGAGTTTCTGATCGCTTCCTCAACCTCGACAGGAAGGTCCTCAGATTCTACTGCTCCTGGAACGATGACAGGGCATACGGGGAGGAAACCTACTACGTACTGCACTACTTCCTCGTGGACGACACGGCAGAGGTGAGTACAGGACCCTGTCGCTTCCTCTTCCACCCTCACCCCCCCCCCCCTCCTCTTCCTCTCCTTCCCCTTCCCCTTCCGTTCCCTTCCCTCTCCCCATCCCCCTCCTCTTCTCATTCCATTCCTCCCCAAGTGCCCCCCCTTCCCTTCCTTTCTGCTTTGGGCTTCTCTTCCTCACGTTCCTGATCTTCCAACTCCTCAAACGATCTTCAGGTCCTCGAAGTCCATCACAGGAACGACGGGCGAGACCCCTGGACGTCCCTCCTGAAGAGGCGGCCGCTCCTCAAGGGCCTCCCACGGCAGGTCATCGAGACGGAGGAGGACAGGAAGAAGAACCCGCAGCCCCGCTGGCACTGGACGGAGCTGACGGTCGGCAAGGTTATCCAGCTGTACAATCGAGACTTCTTGATCCGCGACTGCGACCAGTTCACCAGGGACTGGATGGACAAGCACGGGCTGCCGCAGACCGAGGCCGTCCTCCCTGAGCCGCCTGCACTCTTGGAGTTCAAGAGGAAAGTGCCCAACTATCTTGGATTCGGTTCGCACGAGGACTCTTTCCAAACTGTCCTCAACCCCATCATGCCCAAGGTGAACAAGAAAGATTTCATCAAGGCGATGGCGAACAGCGGCAAGATCATGAGGTTCAAGGCCAAGATCGTCTCCACCATCCCTGAGGACGATGGGAGACTTTTCATCATCTCCTTCTTCCTCGCCGACGACGAGATGTCTGTGTATGAGCTCCCGACCCGCAACACCTTCTCCGGGCTGAGGGCGGACGGAAGCAAGTTCCTCGAGAAGAAGAAGGTACTGCACCCCGAGGGCAAGCAGTCTTCCCTTCCGCGTTACTACGGTCTCAACGATCTTCAGAACTGGCAGGTGGGCAGTAGAGTGATCATCAACAGCTTTCAGTTCGAGATCATTGGAACTGACGACTACACGTCCAACCTGCTCGCTGGAGAGCACCAGAAGATCGACATGAGCAAGAGGCTGATCCTCTCCCAGATCAAGTCGGAGATGCGCAAGATAGCGATCCAACAGAAGGATCAGTTCGAGTATGTCGACAGGAGAGACGACGGGGTCATCAGCGCCGACGAGCTTGACTCAACGCTCAAGAGCGTCGGGATCAGAGTGTCCGAGGTAACCTTGCTGCTACTGCACTGCTCATGTCTCATGTTTCCGGCAGGCCGAGATTCACGAGCTGATTTCTCTCTTCGACCTCGACGGTGATGGCGCGCTCAACTTTGACGAGTTCAACAAGATGTTAGAGCAGATATGAGACAAAGCCACACAGACTCTTGGACCGCAAACAACTTCTTGTGTAACAAAACTAATCGAGTCTTGTAAGTCTTCCTCTTCAGCTCCAGCACCCCAACGGCTGACTAAAGCACGAGTGCGCGCTCTCTCTACCTTCATACCCTAGATCCTTCTTGCATGACACGCTGTGGGCTGTAGCGCTCGTAACGTTGCTGCTGGACATAGCTCTGCTGCTGGTACTGACTCTGAGACCTCGGGACATAGCTCTGAGGCACGTAGCTCTCCTGGACGTAGCTCTGATGGTACTGACTTTGAGTCTGAGGCTGTTGGTAGTATTGTGTCACTGCATACGAGGTGTTTGGAGGAGCCGAGCTGTTATGATGGTCCACCTGTGTGGTGGAGACACCTGGAGCTCTAGATCAGTTGTGCCCCTTCAAAACATCCTTCCTTTACCTGGCGCTCGATAGCTCCTGAGGTATCGCCCGGGCTGGATCGAGGGCCTCTCGTACTCAACGATGTGAGGTGTATCAACAAATTTCTGCTCGTCATGTCAACGACCTCAAACAGCTGCTGGTGTTCTGCCGTTCACACCTGGCTCTGCACTGTGTGTGCAACGGGGACGATGCGGGGAACGTCAACGGTTGTTGGCTCTTGAACGGTGTACTGTCTATCTTCCATGGTCACTCTCGGTCTCTGAACCGTGACTTGCTTCGTGTCCATAACTTGTCGTGGGACTTGAACTTTGCGCTCTTCTGTGATTGTCTTGGGAACTTGAATAACTCGCTGAAAACAACCGAAAGTAAGCGCGCACAGAACGGTCTAAGATGCGAAGCGAGGCACCTTCTCGTTTTCTTGCACATGCTTCGTGACATATGTCATCATTGGGACCATCACTGTTCTAGGGACCATTCTAAGAACCGGGATCTTCACTTCTTTGGGAACAGGAACTATCACTTCCTGCACAAACACATCACATCTATGCAAACTATAGCTCACTGCCATCCCTCTCCTCACCTGCTCTTCCATGACTGTCTTCGGAACAGAGATAACTTGTTCGTCGATAATGGTACGAGGCTCTTGCACAGTGTATTCGTACGGCTCCATTACAGTCTTGGGAACCTGGGGAAGGCATTTCAAAACATGACAAAGGGCATCTTGTTATGACCTTGATGTTGATCGTCTTGGGTTCCATCACGACTTTCTTCTCAGGTACCGTTGTTTGGGAAAACATGATCTTTGTGTCCGGTACAGCTTGCTTCTCTGTCACCAGAAACCTGTTTCATGTCATTCTCAAAATCACAGCCCGCCTTGAATGCGAACCTATCCACAATCCTCCCATCTTCGGTCCGGTACGTTCCACTTGGTACACCATGAACAGGGTGCTCGTAATCTATGCCTGAGCATTTTGCAAGTCTCAGGGACAATGCTTCAGATCTATCTACAAGTTTTGTTCACCGTCTGGTCCATTGTACGACATGCTCTGCATGATTGGTGAGCTCGGCTATCACCTGGATACAAGCGGTCAAAAATTGTAGTTTCGAGCAGCATGCGATCTCTCAAGTCGCTATCTAAACATGTTCTGTGTTGCTGCAAGAGGAAACGAGGGAATGACAGCTCTACTCGACCCTTCTAGTCCACTGATTTGAAACGTCAGGGGAGCAGAGAGAATCCAAATTTCGTGAAATTGTGCAAGAGCATGTGAAGTTTCCTCGCAGGGTTGGGGAGGGAGGGAGGAGGAGAAGGAGATGACGACGAGCGCGAGGCTTCAGCATGGAACATTCCCCAAGGGATCGAGGAATGCGAGGCAACCGCGGCGCCCATGGCAAGGCGTCTTCGGACCGGCGGAGGCGGCACAAGGCAAGGGGGGTGGGGTAGTCAGCCTCAGACCGGGTGCTTCAAGAAGAGTTCTCCCTGACAGGGGTAGTACATATAGGAAACATTGGATATGGACGGGGTGGTACTGAATATGATCTCGCCCGAGGGGGTGGGTAGATCAATTGGGTCCCGACACAGTAGTGGTAGTAACGGAGTCTAATAGGGCTGGTGGGGTGGTCAAGGGGGGCAGTACACCAGAGGAGCCAGGGCAACGAAGGGGTGGGGTCATTGCCTGGGATGGTAGAACACGGACCGGTGAGATGGATGGCGGAAAATGCGGCAGGGTAGGGGTTACCCGTGTGGTGGTCAGGTGTTGTTCAAATTCCAGGGGTGGTCGGATTAGAAACGGAGGGGTAGTCAGTAGTGTTCGGCATCTCCTGGCGTGCTCGCAATGCAGGAGAGGAGGGGGGCAGTAAGGAGGGCAGCAGAGCAGAGCAGAACAGAGATGGGATGTGAAGGGGAGAGGGGAGGACAGTAGGGCGAAGGCATAGCGAGAGCGAGAGACTAAAGCAGGAGAGAGAGCAGACAGCGAGGGATATGGGGAAGGAGAGACAAGAGATAGAGAGGGAGGGTGATAGCTAGAGTGCGAATGGAGTAAATATGTTTTAGGTATACCCAACATAGAATGATGGTGTCCTGAAGATGAAAGAAAAGGAAGAAGAGAGGTTCTGGAACGAGGTGACATTGAATGCGAGGTATGACAGAGATCGAAAGGGCCAATCAGAACAACATCAGTGAGCCTTGAAGGAGCGAACGGGCGGGAAATTGTTTTCTAGTCGATGTAGCATCATTGACTATGGATGTGAGTCATGGGCGTCGATGGAGAAACGATGGGAGGGGGGTAGCCGTTGGAAGGTAGTCAGAAGTAGAATGCTAGCGAACCGCATGCGGTAAAGTGTATATGACGTATATGACCATCATGGCGGGCAGCTTTAGCTGCCTTCATCAAACCTTTGATTCGAGTTCATGATGTGATGGTTGAGAAGAGGGACGAGCAGCAAGATATCAAAAAGCCTGAAGAGTTAGACGTCCAGACTTTCAGTTCATCCTTGTTTATTGCATCCCTGGGATTCTTTCTTCTTTCTTCTCTGAGCTCACATGCAAATGTTCATTGTGAGCACGTGGTTGGATCAAGTTGTTGGAGATAATCGAAAGGCTCCTCTCCTCCTCCTCGCCCTCCAGACTCCTCGCAGTAACTTCACTGTGCCGCGATGCTGGTAGCAATAGAGCGGGAAATGAGCCTGAGTTTGTAGAGCCTATCCGTGATTGAATGTTAATTGCTCGCCCGACTCTCCTTGAAACTCCTCCTCTCACTTTCAAACTTCCTTCCTCCTCCTCTCCTCCTCCAATCAACTCAGAAGAGTCACTATCGGCTGCTCAAAAAGCACTGGCCGAGCACACTCTGGAGCATCATCGGACTACTGAGCTCCGGAGTCCGGCGCAGCTGATCCGATCTCTGCCAGGGCAGGCCAATAATCAGGCTCCTCTGCTAATGTAATGCTGCAGCCCCGCCGGAGGCTCAGATGGTCTGAACCCGGGCCGGACCTCCGGCGCGGCGCTGCCAGCCCGGGCAGGTTAACTGAGTGCCGGAGGCTCAGTGCGGTCGGAGACCCGGCGGAGTCTGCCGGGCCCGCCGGGCCCTCGGCCTCACTTACTGTGCCGGGAAAAATTTAAAATGGATTTTCAAAATTTATGAGCCTGCCTCAGAGTTTACCGATCCTGAGCCATGGCGGGAGAGGAGCTTGAGAAGAAGCGGCAGAGGCTGGCGGAGCTAAGGAGAGCGAAGGAAGCTCGAGCCCTGCAGCAGGCATCGTCTTCAGCTGCACAGACTGCTGCATCAACGTCTCTCCAAGCACTTCTTGCTTCTGTTGGTGCCGTGGGAGAAAGTAGTAAGCCAGCTGAAGGGGAAAGGGGAAGCGACAAGGCAGAGCAGCAAGAAGAGAGCAGAACTGCAGATCGGGTGGCGGCAGAGGATGAATCACGACCAAGGTCTCGGCGTGAGCATAATCTTGTAATCTCAGAAGCGATCATTGTGGACATTCCGGGGAAGATTAGCGAAGCTTACGACAAAACTACTCAAACCGAGCAAGCAGCAGAGCCACAAGCACCTGAGGCGGATGGAGAAAGGAGTAGCGATGCTCATAAAATAGGGACTGGTACTGAGAGACAGCCGCATAAGGCACAAGAAGACATCAAACCTGCTCAGAACGATGACTCGGTAGACGCTGGGAATCCCGAAGAGTCTCTTCCCGAACCCTTAGGAGAGGAAGAGTGGAGGAGGCTTGCAATTCAGGACGACTTCCAAAGTTTCTTCTTCAACACCTCCAAGATCCTTGAGCGTGCTCTTGGACAGCAAGATTATGACATTTTCAAGGACTACACAGCGGACGACATGAGTATTGACTCCAAAGATACTAGAAAGTCGCTCCTAAAGCTGCAAACTACATGTTACGATCAGCAAAGGTGTCAGGATCGTCCACTAGCAGCTCTAGAGTGGAGTGTTCACCACCCTGAGCTACTGTTAGCGGCGTATCATGATCCCGTCGCATCTCACCCATCCGGTGGGACGATCGGGGGCGGCCAGAGTACGCAGAAGGGTCTGGTTTGCATATGGAACATGCGAGCAGGACAGTTCTCACGTCCAGAGTATGTTCTGCAGTGTGAAAGTACCATCACTGCAGCAGCTGTCCATGCGTTCAGTCCTCACTGCTACATCGGCGGCACTCAGGTCGGGCAGATCGTCATTTGGGACGTCCGGGCACAGCTCACACCAGTTTCACGTTCTCTCCTCTCAGTTCAGGTAGAGCTGGGATGCAGGATTCCGTACGTTGTCAGCTGACCCTCCTCTCAGGGCCATTCGCATCCGATAGTCGGGGTGCGTGCGGTGGGCACGCAGCATGCGCACAGCTTGCTGTCCTTGAGCAGGGACGGCAAGCTGTGCACTTGGAACCCTTCGAAACTCTCGGAGCCGATGGACCAGATGCCCCTCTCCATCGGGAGAACTTCAAGTGCCGCCCCTGAGGGAGCAGCAGGCGCATGGAAACTCGACGACCACACGGTCTCCGCCATCTCTTTCTGGGTCTCGAACTCCGACGTGGAGAGGTCACCTGCGAGCTCGCGGTTTCAGGGGCTCACGTAGTTTGTTTGCAGCTTCATGGTCGGGAGCGAAGATGGGTGTGTATACTTCGGCAGCAGGAAAAGCATCACCGACCGGGGCACCAGCCATGCGAGCACGGAGAGGAGGAGAGAGTGGATCTCCGGCTCGCTAGCAGGGCATTCTGCTCCGGTGACGGTGAGCTCCAGGCAATTTCCTCCGCCCCTTGTCCTCTGAGATGCTCGGTGCTACTCGCAGGCTGTGGATTTCCATCCGACTGCTGACGATGCCAAGTCGTCTCTGTCGAACCTGGTCGTCTCGAGCTCCATGGACTACTCCTGCAGGCTTGTCGCTGCCGATCTCTCCGCAGCTTCTTGACGCCCTCCTGACAGGATCTGGGACCGCAAGTCCGGCAAGGCACTCCTTGTACTGGACGCGGAGAGCTCGGAGTACATCTACGACGTCAAGTGGTCACCAAGTGATGAAGCCTCTCACTCGTTTCACAATTGACGTCTCCTGCCCCAGCTCAAGCTGGAGTCTTCGCGTCTGTGGATGGGTCCGGCCTGCTCCAGGTGTGGGATCTCTGCTCGAACCTGGAGGAGCCGCTAGGAGACTTCAACGTCTCGGCCCGCCACTCTGCTTCCGTGGATGCTTCAGTGGGATCGCAAGATCCTGTTAGAGGCCTGGGGTGTGTAAGTTGGTCAGGTGAGCCCTTCTCAACTGCTTCATAGCCGTCCTCGTCGTCCTTGTTCTCTCTCCTCTTCTCAATATTGTGTTCTGACCTTGAGCAGGAGACGGAAAGTCGTTAGCATGCGGAGACTCCGTGGGAAGGGTAAGCGATCATGATCTCTCCCTGCTCTGCCCTTCTCCTCCTTTTGTTCTTCAGACAAGAGCAACTGAGTTCCTCCGCAGGTGCATATCGTCGGCCTCGGATCTGACATCAGCGAGTTTAGAACAGATTCGGTGAGATGCTTTCATTTTTCTTTGATCCAACTGAACGTTTCCTCCTCCTCCTCCTCCTCCTCTTCCTCCTTTCAGTCATGGGAGCAGCTTTACAACTTGCTCGCGAGCTCAACGGAAGACGAAAAACAGTGACCGAGTGAAATCTTTACTCATGATTGATTGCCGGCTTCAAAAGCACACAACACGCCGCCGCCGCGCCCGGACCCCCGGTGATCGGACTCTGCCGAGCCGGTTCTACCGCACCGTTCAGTCACTCTCACTGCTGGCCGGCCCGGTGACGGACCGTCCGACTCGGAAACTAGAAACTTGACTCACTCAGTCACCGGCAGCCTTTTGGGCCCGTTCCCCGGCGTCCGGGACTGGGACCGCGACTCCGGGCCCCGGGCCCGGATGGAACCACGTCGCCGGCAGACCAGAGATCATGTCGTGGCGCTGTTCTGGGCGCTGTTCATCGGAGCGCTGTAGGCTCCACTGTAGGCTGAACATGCTGAACATGGCGAGATAGTGCTCAGAGTAGTGCTGCTGCAGTGGCCAAGTTCATGTCTGTTAGCCAGGGAAAGTGGAAGAGGAAAGGAAGAGAAGACAGAGAAGAGGACGAGGACGAGGAGAGGAGGACGGGAAGAGGAGAGGAAAGAGACCGTGAGAACGAAGAGATAGGGGAAGAGGCTGTGGCGAAGGCAAGGTCAGGATCAAGTCGAGGAGATAGATGATGGCAGAAGCAAAAGGGTCGTGGTTGAGTGGGCAGACACAACAAGCAAGATGATGAAGCTACGGCAACTCACTTGATTTTTCTCAGGATGTTTGAGGTAGCAGCAGCATGTCCATGAACATACCTGAACAGAGAGAGTTCTGGACCAAGTTGGTAGTGGCGGAGGTTGATCGGAGAAAGAAGAAGCTGCAGGAGAGGAATCTGAAGGCTATCCCTCTATCTGAATGTCCCCTTTCAAGCTGCCAAACTTCACTCCCCCCCTGGCTTTACCGCATCTCCACCGCTTCTCCTCGGGTGATCGAGTTGCTGTCTTGAGCTCAGAGGACAAAATCCAGCTAGGTGAGATAACTCAGGTCCACGAAGAGGCGACGTGCGATGTGGAGCTGGACGATGGCGATGTGCTGGCGCGCGTCTCCATGGCGAACATCCGACTCCCCATGCTCGACGACCTTCCTCGCGTCCTCGTCGTCACTGTTAGGGGAGGAGAGCGAGTCCCGGGGAGGAGCGTGAGGGTTCGCTTCAAGGGGAGCGAGATGTCAGGAGTAATCTTGCAGGAAGAGGAGAAGGGAACGAGTGTACAGTTGGGGATGGATCATGCTTGGCGATGCTGCAGAGAGAAGAGAGATCTGTCGCTGCATGCGGAGATCGTGACGAGAGGGGAGAGCGACTGGCTGGTCACGTCGCAGGCAGAGTTTACACATGAGGAGATGAGGAGCGTGCTGGGAGCAGCCGGTGGTTGCCAGGTGAGTTGGACCAAGAGGAGAGGAGAGGCGAGGAGGGGAGGGGAGAGGAGAGGAGAGGAGAGGAGAGGAGAGGAGAGGAGAGGAGAGGAGAGGAGAGGAGAGGAGAGGAGAGGAGGGGAGCGAGAGGGAGTGAGAGGAAGGGAGGTAGAATATTAGGAGGAGGGAAAGAGGAGTGGAGGTCAGCGAAGGGGAGCGGTTAAAAAAAGGAGAGAAGGGAGCCGTGGAAAAGGGTTTGAGAGATGGGTGGGGGAGCAAGGAAGGGAGCCGATAGATTTGCGGATGTTTTTATGCTTTCGGTGAACGAGACTTGACAGATTGATCGAGAGATGGCAAGAACGGGAGGCAACGAGACAGCGGTCAGTCATGACAAAGCTGTTGTGCTGATCGTTGTTGTGGTTGTGGTTGTGGTTGTGGTAGTCGTGATTGTTGATAAGAACGATTTTGTTGTTATTTGTGCTATTGATCATATTGACTTATTACCAGAAGTGCGTCCACTTTGTCTCCATCGTTGTTCGTCCGAACCCGACGTTCAGCATGTCATAAATACAGGGAGAGCTTAGAACTATTCGAAACTCATAAAACAGCAACTCAATAGCCAACAAGCTTTGAACATTGAGAGAGGTCGTAAAATGCTCAGGCTTGTTGTTGAATCAAAGGTTGGTTTGCCTTGAAAGACAGCTGTAACGCAGTCTCTGTCATGCCGTTGTCTTGTGCCGCTCTTGTGTTGTTCTCCCTCTCCTCCTGCCGACGCTTCACCATCAACGGTCACCCGTTGCACATGTCAAGTCAAACCGCAAGGCACGTCAAGATGGACGCGATGGACCGAACCTGGAGGAAGAAGCGAAATCAGATGCACGTGACAAGTAGCAATCACAACAGCTCAACGACTGGTACAAGTCAGCTCCACCGCAGCCCCGCAAGTCTCACATCACTCGCGAGTTCCTCGAGGGTGCTTTCAATCTTGTCCCTCCACTCTCTGCTCTCTGCTACTTGTCTGCTCGAACAACAGTGAGCGGGGGAACAGGAGCGCTCTGCTGACATGTCGCTCGGCTGCCTCCTCCTCCTGTCCGCCGAGATGGTCCTCTTGAAGATCGTGCTGCACCACCAGCAAGTCAGCGGAGGAGGAGGAGCGGGTCCTGCCAGGTGTACTTGTGCAGGGAGGGCCTGGCAGCCAGGAGCTCGGTGTCGTCGGAGCGGCTGAAGGTTGTGCTGTGATGGAGGGGCCTCGAGGGAAGAGTCGCTGACTTCCCCAGGAACCCGAGGGTGGCTTCTAGCTCTTGGTGTTGATTGCTGCGGGGAGGTCAGAGGAGGAGCAGCCGATGGTCTTGTCGTTGTCATTCACTTGCTCGTTTCTTCTTCTGCCGCCGCCAGCCCCGTCACGTCTTGATCCAGCAAGGCCAGCAGATTCTGCGCTGACGACTGAGGGTAACGAGACATTGTCAGCGAGGAGAGGAGGAGGAGGAGGAGGAGGAGGAGGAGGAGGAGGAGGAGGAGGAGGAGGAGGAGGAGGAGGAGGAGGAGGAGGAGGAGGAGAACGAGAACGAGAACGAGGAGGAAGAAAGGGGGTAGAGACAGAGAGCATTATATGGTTCGAAGGGGTACAAGGTGA